GTAGGAGACAGCCAAAGAAATAGAAAAGTCTTTTTTTTTCTTTCCTTTTTCTTTTTTTTCCGCTGACAGAGGGAAAAGGGTTTGATCCCATTGTCAGTCTGTTTGCACAAGTGCTCCTCCCGGATAAACCTGTCCCAGCTGATGAACAACTCCGCAGCTATTTCTCAACGGCAAACCAATCAAGGTGGAGTTTGCATTACAGATGACATGCAGACACATCAGTGCTGATACTGACATTTGCATCCTCAAGTAAAAAGTACTGAGTAAACATCCTGAGACTTTTTATTCTAAATATTTTATTTTCCCTCACTGACATTGAGCATCTTTGTCTCTGGTCCCCGTCGCATCTTGCAGGTGTACAGCTCTGGATAAGATCTTGCAGAGCCACACTTTCCCAAGCAGGACAAATGAGGGCTAAGCCTGCTGCCTAACAGCACTGTGCTTTACGTTGGGCACAGGCACACCACAGTACAGCAGAGTGGAAATTGGCCCTTTGCTCTAAGAGAATGTATTGCTGCACAGCTCAGTACAGCACTGAGAGGATTTCAGCAAACATTGGATGCTTATAAATAATATCTGAGCAATGAAATATTAAAGCAGTTGATTCCGAGCTGCAACAGAGAAAGCCATGCTCCAGAACTGCCTTTTGGTAGAAAGAGTGATAATCTGCACTAAGCAAAATCCTGGAAATGAGCTGTTAACATTCAGGAACTCTTTAGATGCACAGTAGAGGCACAGTCTCCCACGAATTATTATTTTGAGATTTCAGCAATATGCAGAAAATAGAAAGGAGTCTTTGCACATCGAGATGTCAGTATGGTGCCCCTCACAATGGAGGGAGAACACAGTCTGAACTCAGGGCTGCAGCCCAAAGGAAATGGCTCAAACCATGCTTCCCTCCTTCCCATAGGATGGCACTTTCCCACTGCTCCAAGAGCAGCAGAACAGAAGCAAAGATGCCACAGTGCTTTTTCTCTCCACCTGCAGCACTGCCCACATGGAGCTGCTGCAGGGCACAGGGATGCTCAGAGCCTTTCATTCTGGCTTCCGACTCCGCCACCGCAGTGCGTGGGTTTGAAATTTGTCCCTCCCCCCCGGGATCTTGCTGCTCCCATCCGTATAAGGCCTACTGGAGGCACAAAAGCCAAACTGTGCTATTTATACCGCTAGCAGCCCTACCATTGTACAGACCATGTGCATTTTCTGCTCCGGCCCTTTCGCAGAGCAACTCCATTTCATGCACGGCTCTGGCGGCTGCGGAGTTCACCAAAGCGCAGTGAAGCCCTGCAGGAGTTTCTGACCCCAAAGCCATCAGAAACGTCTTTCTCTGATAATGAAGCTGCCCATCAAGGGGCAGACTGTCTCTAAAGTTTGGCTCTCACGTAAGTCTCCAAATAAGGGACCAGCACGTTTTAGAAACACCCGATATGTCTGCTGAGTGCTGCAAGCACTGCGGCATCTGGCTGTAGGAAAAACAGACCATTGGCATTTGAAGGAATAAATTTAATTGTCAAAAAAGAGTTTGGAGGAAATATCCCATGCTTACATAACACTGACACGTGCTGCTCGTCAGATGAATGGGGCTCACTGTCTGCTTCGAGAGCTGCCGTTACCTAACCATGAACTGCAGTAACCACCCCATGTCTTCTATCTGTAAACAGGAGCTCTGGGATGAAGTCACCTCATTTTGCTGTATTGGCAGCTGCTCCAACTCAGTTTGACGTGCTGTGCTGATTTCTCAGTAAGATGGGAGCCCAGGGCAGAAGGCAGAGAGGCAGCACTGAGGAGCTCCGTATGTGCTTCCAATGGGGCACACGCAGCCATCTGACATCCAGCCTTTCAGGAAGGAAAGTCCTGTTTACAACAATACTGAGTTCAAAAGAGTGTCTGACTGCCATCCCCACTAATGCTGAAACCAAGCAGACAGAAGTGCTTCAGGCTCATCCAGCAGCTCAAGCTGAAGAGCATTTCATTTTCTCTTCCTCCCAACCTCTCCTCTAGCACAGTACAACACTTGTGTGCAGTCTGACCTCTTCTCTGAAGGTGCCCATTTGCACTCCTGAAATAGTCCCTTCCAGAACTGCTGGAGACGGAGCATTAATTGCTGAGAGAATAACAAGATCTGTAATCTGTAACTACTGACTTGTCCTTAACACCTTTTAACTCTTCGTAATGCAGAATCATGCAAAATTAAATCTGTGCAAAACGGTTTTCTGTTCAGCCATCTTGCTTAAAAATAGCCATTGCTGTTTCATGTAATATTCTGTGTCTCTTCAGATGAGTTTCTCTCGTTACCCAAAAGAAAACACTGGTAAATCTTTGCCCTTTTATCCATAATAACTGGAAATGCAGTTATGCAGGAAAGTTAATCACAGCTTTCCAAAGGCAGCTTTCCCTGAGCAGTCATAATCTCATCCACCATGACACAATTAATTAAATCAACATGAGAGGACCTCACTTAGACCCTGATGGGTGCTGGGTCTGAAGACGTGCAGCACCGAATTAGATGGGAGTTACTTTGTAATGTGGCTGTTTGTTTTTAGGGTAAGACACAGTTCGGAAAAAACAGCGCAGTTTCCACATGTAAACTCCCACAATGTGATCCATCATTGAGTTCTGGCTTTATGGACTGTTAGTGCATTGCAAAACTGTGTTGATTATTAAGACTGAGACACAGGAGGATATTAGTAAATGCAGGGAGAATCAGCGGGCTGCATCCAACAAACAGCACTGTTTGACAGAAGTAAAGAGCAGGACATCGTCCCCATCGGGTAAACACCTCTGCTATGTGCACACAACGGCCATCACTTCTGTCTGTATAGAGTTAAATTATTTCAATGCATTGGCATAATCTGTTTTGCATAATCCCAGCAGCAAATCCTCATCATTGATGTGCCCATTATTACCAGCAGTGATAAAGTACAGCAATGAATTCACTGAGACAAAAACTTGTACCCTGATGCTCTGTATCTGCTGTGCAATTCCCAGGGTCAGACTGTCAGAACTTTCTGAAGAACACCATCTTTATCATCAAAGCAAAATGTAAACTTGATAAATACTTTTCCTCTCAGGAAAAGCGAGGCAAAACAAAATCTCCCAACCCAGAAGCAGAACTTCCAAAATCCTCCCAAATGTTTGACTTCCATGGAATATGTTTCCACCAGGAAAGGAGATTCTGACACGCAGCAGACAATTTTTTCTTATACCAACCCCTCCTGCCCAGGTTTCTGTACAGTTAAAATTACATGATGAACTTTTCATGGAGTTCAATCTGCAGATTAATGCATCTATTAAACAACTACCCATTTTCTATAGGAGAAATATTAACTCCTGCAGCTCTGACAGACTGCAGACTGATAAAGTTTAGAAATGTTTTCTGCTGAGTAAAACTGTGTTTCCATCATTGCATGCAGGGAGGGGTGGTTACACTGCTGCTTTGAGGGCATTCCTTGTGCTCCAAGGCTTGCCAGCAACATTCTCATTGCATGGATCCATCTTTGCACAGCAACGCAGCACAGGAGTGCTACAGCTGTTACTTATGCACATTAATCTTAACACGCTCATTTCTTTCTAGTTTCACACATCAAAAACCCATAATGGATTTTGTTTTCCAGTTAAGTTGTTCCAGCCTCACTGTGGCAGTGTTAGTTTTGCCCCTGATGCCCTTCAGAAGCAAAATTGTTTTTTTTAAATTCAAAGAAAAATTTTACTCCATATTCATGAGCAGCAATAAACAGAAAGGAGCAGCCCACAAAATGACAAGCTGCAAATATTTTGGATGCTTCCCATGGACTCTGCAGTTTGCCAACTTCCTACCTATTTCCATAACCCACACGGAATGTTTTGTAAAACAATTTCCTTTGGTCTTCTCATTTTGCACCGTTTGTTGCCACTCCAGGGTTCCAATTTACATTTCCATGGGTAGGTCTGTCCTCCTCAAAAAGCCTTATGTAAGGAGCGTGCAATAAGTAGAGATATAAAACTGGTCAGATTGCCTGTAGGGTCCGAGTATGCTCAAGTATTTCAGTCTTTCATACACGATAAAAGTACAAATGCTTATGCTCTGAATCAGAGTTGCAGAGGCCTCAGTACTTGCCAGATTCCTGAGCTCATTATCACCAGCTCTCCCTTCAGGCACTGTAGCAAGAATTGTTTCCCATTTTGTTCTGGTTTTCTTCTCTCTGGGGTCAGCAGTGGGCATTTCTCTATTTGTCCCTGACACTGTTATCAACCTCGAGGCTCCTAACTGAATCATTAACTATTTCACTCACTTTTTTTGCATGGCCCAATACAAGAGTTTGCTCTGATAAAGAGGACTGACTCCAGACTGGAAAAGAGAGAGAAATATATTCCTTTTTCTTCTCTTCCTTAAGATTAAAGGAAAAATCCACCCCTTGACACAAACGGTGAACACCAAGCAAACCAAAGCTGTTATTGTAATCAGACAATTAGGAGACTCAGGATGTGCAGCTCACGGTAAAAAGAACGTGGAAATACATACAGGCACAAAGGCAAAGGCAGACCCAAGGATTTTTGAGCTGTTTGGTGTTTCCCCACCATGTGTCTGTCCCACCAGTGAGATTAACCCGATGCTCACTGCGCCCTGTCGTAAGATGCGTGTCACAAACAGGAAACATTACTGCTCTCTGACTACAAAAGAAGTCAGCAGGTGGATTTACCATACCCCCCCCAGAACACAGAGCATTCCTGTCCTTTTTTTAGTTCACAGTACATCAGATTATTGTAATACTTCGGGTCCTTCACAATAATCACTTTGAGGCATTCCCGCTATCTTCATTAAAACTCCTGTTAAAAAAGTAGCAACTCTATCTTAGAACACACAGACGACATTAAAACATGAATGAGAGCTACTCCAGACCCACGTTCATGTGGAACACTGGCCAGGCAGGGGAGCTTGGGTGAGGAACGGACCATGCAGCATGTCAGAACCAGTAGGATTGAAAACACCCACCAACAACGCGTGGAAGTCTGCTCCTTACCTGGTAGATCATGACTTTGAAATTTCTGCGTTTCAGGAGCTCCGCTTCGTTGGCCTCCAGCTTCTTTATCTGCCCAGCCTGCTTCTCCAGGTTCTGCCGGACGCTCTTCACGTTGACGCTCACCTTGCGCACTTTCTCCAGCATTTTGTTCACGGTGTTACTGGTGGTGGTGTGAGCTTTTGTCAGCTTGGTTAACTCTCCCTGGATGCTGACCACTGCACTATCCATCTCTTGCTGTCTTTCCTCCAGCTGTGTTTGGGTCAGCTGAATCTGATCTACTGCTCCGATGATCTTGTCCAGAAGGGTCAGCACCATCACACCATTGATCTGGTCTGACTTGATGGGTTCTTCGGGCATTTGCTCCTCAGAGGCCTCAGAAGCGGTTGGTGGTTCGATAATTTGCAAAGTAGTATCCTCCATGATCGGTGGGGAGTCCTGGCTAGGAGAGCCCAGAGAAACTGCTGCTGCAGGGAGAGCAGGGAAAGCTGAACCCGAGCCTCTGCTAAACTCTGTGCTGGGAGGCACGCCAGAAATGGAGAGTGCAGTGCGTGGATGTCTGTGCTGAAATTCAAATGGCACAGCTCTGCAAAGCTGTCCAGTGAAACTGCCCTGCAAAATTTTCCAGGCTTGCAGGTCATTGGCTGACTCCACCTCAGCTATATAAAAGGAGCCTGCTGCCAAATGCCTGATGACCCACCCTCTTTGAAATGATTAAAATAGTTGGAGGGCTGGCGATGGCTTTGCATGCAAACACAGGCACAGCTCAGCAAGGAATGCAAAGCTCTGAAACTCCAACAGCCTCAGCTTTACCATAAGTCTAAAGGCATTATGTGCAATGAGAGGAAAAAACAAAAACATTAAGCAAACGGCGCAGGAAGCGGCTGGAAAGAAACACTACAGCTGTATGCATTAAGGGAAGGCTGCTCTAAACAATTGCACACGTTCAAGTTCAGCTGGAAAATTCAGATCTTTTGCTAACTGTTGGCATTTTTTCCAGCACTTTGAGAGCTTGGTTTTCAGTACTTTTAAAAAGCGGCTGAAATTCAGATTGGGTAGTTACAAAAAATAAACTCTGGATCACAAAATCACATGCTTCCATGTGTCTGAATACGCACAGTAGGAATATACACAATGTGTACAGTGAGTGCCACAATGCTATGTGGGATTTTACATAAAAGGAATAAGTATAATTCATCCCTGCAGTGAAGTCGACAGCCACTCCTACCTAAAAGCAGCTATCTCTGCTCTGCAATCCTCTGCTTACCAACAGATCCCACCACTAGGCTTCAATGCAGGACATGCTTCCATGTGTGCTATGCAGAAATGTACTTCTAAGGAAAACTCAAATACTGTGTGCTACATTGGGCATCACTGGTAAAACAAGCAAACAAACCAATCACCTGATTATTTCAGAAAGTAATAGAGTACATAAAGCTTTTGAAAATGAGGGGAGAAAATCATCCTATTTTGCTAACTTTTAACCTTGATTTTGGCACATGGCAAGTCATGGAGTCTTACAGTGTTGGCAGAAGTTTATGGCTTGTGATACCACCATCAGCTTATTGCCTTAAAAGACACTCGTGATGTGCTCCCAAAGTGTCTGCAACAACCTGGTAAGACCAAGGAGAGGAACATGATGAAGGAAAATTTGTATCTTGGAAGTGTCCCTGGATGGGATCTCTCTACTTGTACTGTTGGTGGCTCAGCCAGAGGAAATCACTGCTGTGAAGCCTCTGCTGGTGTGGGGCACAGAAACCCTTCCAGGCTCAGCTGGAGGGCTGTGAGCAGACTGGGAAGGCTGCAGGTTCCCTCTCCTCCTGTACCTTGATGACAGCAACCCATGCTCAGCACATCTTGCCTCGGGTTGGGGTCAAGCCCACTCTTAACATTTGCCCCTGGCAGGCAAATAAAATAAAGGCCCTCAAAAGTTTGGTTTATCCAGGTTCATATCTCAAGCCAGTACTGGAAGAAATCCTTAATTCCTAGCATACAAGCTGGGAAACCCACTACACACAAACAGATGTATAGGATCATTGTTTAATGAGGACTGCTTGCTGCAGTTAGCACTTTCTGTGCCCCCGTGTTCTCTGCCATGTGACAGCTTGCTTTTCAATTGTTTACCCGTAGCACACCATTGATCTGGATTTGGTTTCAGAAAGTTGTGTTGTGCAGCTTCCACTATAGGTATTATGTCATGTATTAAAAATAGCTTGCTTTTCTACACCCTGTTTTTTCCTGGAGGGGCCTTTTTCCTGAGCATTTATTTCCAGTGTTTGGTGCTGATGAGTCAGTTCCATGTAAAAACCCTCCCTCCTGCCAGACAGCAACGAAGCTCTGCAGTTGTTTGTCACTGGGGAGATCTCCTCAGCGTGGATTCCCACAACAATCTTCTGTGAAATTTTATGTTCAGGCCAGGATGCAGACCTTATAGTTCCTTCTGCGACTTTATTGCAATCTCTGTGTCTTGGGTTCCCCATTTGGGAACAAAAGCAACAACACCAAACTGAGTATGTACATCTAGATAGGGCAGCATAAGCCAACAGAAGAGGAACTTGGTTTCAGTCTCGATATTCAGTAGCACACATTTAGTGTCACCTTCTGGGCTTGCTGCACACACAGCAGTCACACCCCAAGCTGAAATGCAGTGAGTAAGATTCTATGTTAAGACTCGTTTCCTTACAGCCCTTTTCTGCAGCAGAGACATACCACGGAAAGCCAATAGGTGGCAAACTGCAGCCTTGCCTTTGGAGCCTTCCCACCGATTTGGACACATAAGGGCAAGCGGATTCGTCTCTCTTGCAGCACGAACAGCTTCTTGCTGCTGTTACTGAGCGGTAGATCGGGTTTGACCTTTGGATCTCCCTGTAGGCAGGGACAGCGCAAACAGAAGCGAGCATCGTTCGGCTTCAAGGCAAACGGAGGTGTGGAGTTCAACAAAGGAAGGCAGAGCACAGCACGGGCGCCGCGCTGCTTTCTGCTCAGTTCTGCTGTGGGGCAGCGCGTTCCGCAGGGCAGCTCTACAGTGAGACGGCGGCTGCGGCGCTGCGGGCACCGAGCGCGGGGCTGGGCGGGGCGCAGAGCGGCGGGGCGCAGAGCGGCAGGCGGGGCTGCGGCGGAGAGCGGCCCGGCCCTGCAGGGAGCCCCGCCCTCAGCCGGCTGCCGTGCCGCCCCGCCCCGCCCCGCCCCGCCCCGCCCCGCCCGCGCCCCAGCTGCTCCGCGCGGCCGCTTCCCGCACGCCGGGCCGGGCCGCGCCCTCACACCTCGGCCACGCCGGACGTGACGTCACCGCCCGTCGCGCGGCGCACAGTGACGTCTGAAGAGCCGCAGTGCGGCAGAACGCGCAGCTTCCGGTCCTCCCGTGTCGTCACTTCCGGTGCGGCCCAGCGAGTCGTGCCGTCGCTAGGAGACGTGCGTGGTGACGTCGGAGCCGGGCGTCGCCGCCGGTCAGCTGGCGGCCGGGGCGGTGCGGGTGGTGCCGGCAGGTAAGGTGGCGGTGCCGGGCGGTACCGGGCTCGTGCGGCCCGGCGGGGTCTCTGTCCGACGGGGCTGAGGTTCGCTTCCACCCCGTGCGAGCTCGAAGGGCGCCGTGAGGGGGCGGCCCCTCCCGTGTTTTTATCGCCGCTTCTCCGTCAGAGGCCGCGGTGGGCGCCGCCATGGGGGAGCTGTTCCGCAGCGAGGAGATGACCTTGGCCCAGCTTTTCCTGCAGTCCGAGGCCGCCTATTGCTGTGTCAGCGAACTGGGCGAGCTGGGGAAGGTGCAGTTCCGCGATGTGAGTAACGGCTGACGCGGGAGAACCGGCCGGGCCCCGGGAGCGGCCCGCTGCTCCCCGCCTGCCCCCTCGTTACCCCCCCGGTCCCGCCTCTGGGGGTCCCTGACATAAGGGTGGCGTCGAGGAAACGTTTTTCTCTTGGCAGCTGAACCCGGACGTGAATGTGTTCCAGCGAAAATTTGTTAATGAAGTCAGGAGGTGTGAAGAAATGGACCGAAAGCTCCGTACGTCCCTCACTGTGTCCCGGTGTGCCTGTAGTGCTGCGGCTTTTATGGGGAAACAAGTAACATAGTTTAAGCCTAGAACAGCATTAAAAGGCAAAGTGCGGTTTGGAGAACTGAAGGCTGCCTTTCTGCTGTATATCAGCCAGTCAGACTGCATCCCAGGATTCATTTCCTGGTTGAAAAATAACCCGATCACACCATCTTGTAGGTGAAAGGACTCACAGATCGGCCTATAGGTGTGGGCTAAAGGAGTGATAACTTGACATTAAGGTGTCTTTTCAGCTAATATTAATGGTACTGTCTTTCCAGGATTTGTTGAAAAGGAGATCAAAAAAGCAAATATTCCTATCATGGACACAGGTGAAAACCCAGAGGTGCCATTTCCACGTGACATGATTGATTTGGAGGTAATAATGTGTCTTAAGACTTAGGTAGTGTTTGACCTTGGTGAAAACACGTGGCATCAACTCCATGGATAGACATCTGTTGTATTTAATGGTAGAGATTCATTAACATTGGGCCCCAGTCACTTGAAATGCGTCCTCATCATTAGTTTGATTTTAATTCACCAACTCTGTTTTGCTTTTCACATTTATATGGCTAAAAGTGAAAGCCAGTACATTGGCTCACTTGAATAAGTGAAATTCCTGAAAAACTCTTCAGCAGCACAATTTATAGTGAGTGGGTCAGTGTTGAGGTTGTTAAGGGCTTGTGATGATCTGAAGAATACTGCAAGTCCTACCTATAGTGGAGACTGCCTGAGTCTGAAATGTTTCAAGCAGCCCAAAGAGAATGTCACAAATAGTTTATGTGCAGCCTCCATCATTGTATGCAAATCTCATGGGAGCATAAAGCAGCCTGTGTTGTTTTAATAGATTTAATAGCACTTATTTATTCAATTGCTTTAAGGCACTTTTTTTTTCTCTTCTTTCTCCATCTTGCAGGCAAACTTTGAGAAAATTGAAAATGAGCTTAAAGAAATCAACACAAATCAGGAAGCTCTGAAAAGAAACTTCTTGGAGCTGACAGAGTTAAAATTTATACTGCGTAAAACTCAGCAATTTTTTGATGAGGTCAGAATACCGGGTGTGGGTCAGCACTTGGGCAGCAGGTTCTACCCCCTCAAACTACCATTTTTATTCTCAAATATATTTTCAGTTGTTTTGGACTGCAGATTCATCTTCCTGCTTTATCTAAGAAAGCTTCTCAAATTATTTTCCATTTCTCATGCAGTATACATAGCCACCCATGATTTGCCTCTTTTTTTTAACTTAAACAATGGTTTTACTAAAAATGTGCAAAATAAAGTACTAGTAGCCCTGAAAGCATGTTGACAGAACAGAAATTTGGTGGTACAGTGAGCAAGAGTTTCTTCGTTATGTGTACAGATAAGCAGTCATAACTCACTTACACAGAGGTATTACAATCAAACTTCAGTGTTTGAAATGTTATATGGAGATTGTTCATTAAGTCGTAAGACAAAGTTCATTGAAGTTAATGGATTTATTTTTAACATGTTGAGCCTTTGATCATGCCCCAAAACTTTTAGAGGTAAGTTCTAGAGGAAAACAACATTTAAAATCATTAATGTTTTGTCAAATGAGAGCTAGGTCAGAAAGGAACATACATCTCTGGTGTCATTCATGGTATAGTGGCCTAAAGCCTGAATAACAGAAAAGTTGGTCCTTCATCTTAAAGCATAATTATCTCAAAACCCAGGGCGTTTTCTCAGAGAGCTCCTGTGTGGTTGTTAGAGTAGTAAAGACATGGTTTTTGCTGAGAATGTGTCCAGTTTCCTCTAATCAACAATTTGATCAAAGAGTTCTTATTGGATGTGGCTCCTGGCGTTCACAAAGGCTGTGATCAAGAGGAGTTGGGCTCCTGCAAACTTCAGGCCATTTATCTAATTTTTTTTTTTCTTGGCTCAGGATGGTGCCTGTTCAGGCATTAAGATTATTCCTGTGCCAAAATAAGCCTTCCTTGCTGCTGATGTAGATAGTGCCCATATGATCTGTTGGTTGTTCATGGGATTTGTTCAATACTAAAAGACTCGTCTCCAAGTGTTGAATGCTCACCTGGAAGTTGCTCAGAGTCTCTTTGGACGACCAGCATGAACTCGATAATCTGTTACATGGCTGCATTAAGATGCTGATTGGCTCTCCTGTTCTAACTCAATATTGAGTAAAACCTCTTGCACTTGCATTAATTGCACTCACCTAGCGAGAGCTGCCTACTGTCTTTTTTCAAGGACAGTATGAACATACTAAAATTAATTTTCTACCTAAAAATCTGTCAGGTTGCTTGCATAAGGAGTCCTTGTGTCAGACTTCAATGAACTGGCCAGTGAAGGTTTAGATATTTATCCTCCTGTTTGATAACTGTATTCTGTAATAATAAAATGTCACAATCTGCTACAGATAGAAGTGAACTGAGCTGTTCATGCGTGAAGTTCACTGAAGTTGTCAAAACTTTGACTATTTCTTCACACTGTAATCAGAAAGCTGTGCATGAGGTCCTGACTAGCCCAGGACTTCTGGGCATTGTGCAATCCTACGTATCCTCAAACATTGAATGCTTTACTTTGTCATGCTGTCATTTGTATGGTACCTTCAACACTTGAAGACTTTAATAAGTTGTAATCAAGATTGTGCTGTTCATAGTAATAAGTTGCACAAGAAATGGCTTGCTACTTCGTCTTTTATATTTAGCATTTGCTGTCTGGAGTTTCTGCAATGGGGTTGGGAGGTTGTGAAATTCTTTCAGTTCTTGTTATAACCATTCTTGTTAGCGTAGCCATTTCTTGTTTCAACACACCATGTTGATGATTATGCTCCTTTTCTTAGTCTTCTTGTTTTTGCTTATAAAGAACAGTATGGGCTGGAGAGATTTCTCTGAAAGTTTTGCCATAAGCATCCTAAAGTGTGAGCGTAAAAGAAGACTGGAAAAGTAATGGTTAATGGCATGCAGTCCCCGTCTCTCTTCCCTCTAACTCTTCTCATCATCTGCTTTTTTTCTGTTTGTTTCGCATCTGTCATTTCTGTCTGGGCTCTGGGTCAATAAGCTAGATGGTGAAATGAATCCCTTTTAGTTCTTGTGAAAATTGATTTTTTGTTTCGATCGTGACCTGGAAGGGGCTTGAATTGTATGGTGCTGTGGGCAGCAATCCAGAGCCAGTACAGAGCAGAACCTGAATCAAGAGTGTGGAAAACTAAACTTTTCTCAGATCTTGAGATTGAAGGTGCTGATCAGGTGAACACTTAAAACTGAGTGTGACCTGATGTCACAACAACAAAAACATATAAATACAACTTCACAGTAACTTGGATGTTTCACTCACTGCTGGAGGAAACTCTTGCTCAAAGGACATTTCCTAGAGTTTCATCTTTCTGCATCGTTGCTGATGGCACTTTGATTTCCTTATAGTCTCTCCACTTTTATTAAATTAAAGCACTTGGGAGATAAACTTAAAGAACATATTTATTTATTTTTTGTACAAATAATTCTTCTGTAAGTTCTTGTTTAGTGTAGTTAGTCTAGCCATCTTTTTTTTTTCTTTTTTTTCCCCCAAGCTGTTTTGTTTGGTAATTTTGCTAAGCAGGACTTCTCTTTGTTTTGTGAGGTGTCCCACATAAAGGGCACAGCCCTAAGAGGGTCAGAGGTAGTGTTAAACATTTATGCAAACTGCTCTCCCAAATGAGGAGGATCCAAAGTTTTCACATGTGCTAAAATTTTTTGTTCTGTGTGCTAAAATGTGGTGATGAGCTGGTGTGCTTCAACTAGACTGGCACTGCCTCACCAGCGTTATCAGAGCATCTTGCTGGATGATAAATGCAATACAAGCCTCTTGAAATCCTAACTGTCTCATTGTTCTTCAACGTTCTGAAATCTTAATGTCAAATGGTTGCTGGTATGTTCAGTATGTTTTCTTTTGGGGGACCAAACTTTTGTTGTGTCCTCTATGGAAAAAACATGTATATATTCATGCAGTTTGTTTGATGTTGCAACAAGTTGACTTAAAGATGAATGAACCAGAGCTTCATTTTACCTTTCCAAAGTAAATTAGGGGCTCCCCTACTTTTGTAACATCTGTAAGCTAAAGCAAGTGTGTGGACAAGCCATTGAGCTTCATTTCATCAGCATTAGAAAAGCTTTCCTTGCCCATAGTGAGTGCTTCCATCTGGGAGGCAAGTAAAACGTTGCTGAGTTTTCCACTAAAACTATCGTGCGACTGTTGCACAGATGAAGGCAATGTGCTGTGCTGACAAACTGGCTGTATACTTTCACAAGGCTGTGTTGCATGCATGCCTTTTACGTGTTCTGCTCTCAAACTCTACCTTCAGGTGTATTGTCGCAGTCTCCCCTGCGCTGCGGTGGGGAAGAACTGTTTACAGAAGGTAGAGTTTGGCTCTCTGTGCTGAGGGGCTCTGTGTGTTTCTCCATTTCTCTATATAAGCTGCAGAGGTAGAAATAACTGTGTTGTGGGGCTCTGGATGAAACATGAAAGTGGTGCACAGGAGGATGTGGTCTGAGCATCCTTCCTGACTCAAATTGCTGGTTCTTACAAGCTACGTTCCCAGGAATTCTACTCTGCAAATTCCTTGCAGTGAGGGACTGTATGAACTACTTCCTGTTTTAATGCCTAGTAGTCAGGAATTGAATAGCATCCTCAGACTGCCTTAAGCAATACATCTCACTTGTCTGGAATAATAAATACAGTGAATGGGGTAAATATCTTGAAGAATAAATGGATTTAAGCACTAAGCATGTTTTTAAGATGCAAGTATACTGTGTTTTTCGTAGAGGGAGGATTTTCTACAGCCAGTAAGGAACAATTGTTACCCGGTACTTGCAGTCAGAATCAGCAACAAGATCTACATCACAGCGATGTGACAAGAAACATGGAATCCATCAAAAGTTTATCGCCTGATTCCAAGATGAAAAGGGTATTGCCTTGTCTTTGAGACATGGCAGAAGGCAGACATGGATAGAGTATGTACATCATGCATAACTGGGTGCAGGACTGCAATCTTGCAAAGTGGAAAGCTGCCCTAAGGTTTGATAAACTGCCTATGGAAGACTCAGATGAACAACAACCTTCTGTCTGTACCAATGTTGTATGTGTAAGTGCAATTCCACGAGCACTTCTGAGTGCCTTCAGCATCTTTATTAATATGCAGAAAATGCTCAAATAGGGCCAAAGTGAATCAGCATCTACTTTTTTTTCCTCTCCATTTGAGATGTAAGAAAAGATGAGTAAGATGTGTCACTGTTTTGTGCAAAAAAAAAAAAAAAAAAAAAAAAGAGGTTCTTGGGAACATAACTTGTATTTAAAACATAAGTTTCTTGGAATTCTACCTTCCTTCAGACTTATATATCCCACAGCCTGTTTGTTCTGTTGCAGCAGCCTTCAGACCTTCTTGTATGGGAACTTTGCTTTGCCATTCCATCTTTTCCTCTTGTTGTTTTCCTTCTTGTGTGATTCTTGCTGTCTTGTCTATCACCTGTCTCCTTTTTCTGCTGTTTTGTTCTCTTTTTTTCTTCTTTTGTCTCCCCAAACTATCTCCTGGTTCCTCGTTCCCTGCATGCCACTAACTAGTTTCATTAGATGTTAATTGATTTGTGAATTCAGGCTGAATTGCATCATCAGCAGATGGCGGATCCAGACCTGTTGGAGGAATCCTCTTCACTCCTGGAGCCAAGTGAGATGGGAAGAGGTGCCCCACTACGGCTTGGGTAATGGCAGTTAGTGCTTTCTTCTGTCTTGTGTTAACGCAGCTGCCTTTTGGTCATTCTGCAGAGTCTGCAGTGATTTGAGCACTGTTGTTGCAGAATTTAGACAAGTGCTTGAAGCAGATGAAAGCTGACCTAAAACTGACTGTTGGTCTGTGCTCTTGTCCTGCATATGTGAACTTCACACTGCGTGAAGTTTCTCTCTACATGAGGGATTGTACAAGTCTATTTCTTGTAAATCTGTTCTGTTTGCTTTTTCAGAAACTGAGCTCTCACAGCTTTGTTGAAACCAGTAACTGTGAGCATGTACTACTATGAAAAAATTCTGTGGTTCTGTATCTTTGTCACAGTTAGGCCTAGTTTCCATGACAAGGGGGTGAAGGGACCCACGGATCCGTGCCCTGGGAAGAAGGTGCTTCCAGGCTGCTTCCATACGTGTGTAACTCTGTGTGGACACAGGGATTTGAATCAGTGAGGTCTTCTGAAGCACATGCTTAGAACACAGTCAGTGGTATCCCTGACCGCTCTAATCCTTCACGTGTGACATGCCAGGAGCCTGATAAAATGAGCAGTAGTGGGCTTAGAAACTGTATGCCTAAATGCATTTGTTTCCTCTTCTAATCAGTAATTTTTTTAATAGACAATTCTGTTAAGTCTCGGTTGGTGTAGTGCTGCTGTTTTTGTTTCATCTCTGTGTATGTAGAGAACTTCCCATAATGCATAAAGAATGGCTTTCAAAACGAGATTTTTGTAGCTTTCAATACGATGCTGAGCTCCAGCTGCTGTCGGTGTTCTGGGTACAGGGCTGCATGCTAATGTAGGTGCAGGGCTCACGCTGTCCCCTCTCCAGGTTTGTGGCTGGAGTGATCAACCGCGAGCGAATCCCCACGTTTGAGCGCATGCTGTGGCGCGTGTGCCGAGGGAACGTTTTCCTGCGCCAGGCTGAAATTGAAAACCCCCTGGAGGATCCCGTCACGGTAAAGTTACCCATCGTGTACAGTGGCAAAAGGCTCAGATGTGTAAAAGGATCCATTTACAGTTTTATGCCTCTTGCCCTTCATGAGCTCCATGAAGGCAAGCATTTGTGTGCATCTCTTCACAGTACCTACTTACAGCATTTTAGGCTTTAATAACAAAAGAAAAAAGAGATGGATGATAAGCCCTGTTACAAGAGGGATGAGCTTGGGCTGCAGCAAGGCATAGTTACCTCTCTGGCACAAGCATGCAGGTGCAACTCGTGTGCACTAGGCTTCCTTGAAAGAGACGCTCTTTCAGATATCAGCACTGCATGGCAGCAGTAGCTCATTTATTCTGAACTTGGTACTTTTCATAATATCTTAACCAGAAATTTAAATGTACACCTGAGAATTGTTGGCTTTTTTGCAAATACAATTAGTAAATCTTGTAATTGGGGCTGGCTTTACATAGTGTCCTCTCTGCTCAAATATGTGGACAATACGCGAATTTTGGATCTTAAAGTGAAAAGAAAAAAAAAAGGGGCTGCATGAAGGCTGCACTGGAACAAAGACAGGCGTATGAAACTCACTAATTGCCTCTGTTTCTCATGCAAGGCTCCCTTGTTCTCCTGTCCTAACTGCTGGTAGCTGACCTGTTCAATTATCTGTCAGCAAGGAGAGGCTTTGTTCTTAATGTGCAGCACTTCCTTAAATTGAGGTTACACCTAATGTAATTAATTTCTAAACGTTATGGAAAGGTTTCCTAAGTGAAGTAGAACAATAACTTGTCAACAAATGCAGGAAAGGGGAACTGGCTACCAACATGAAAACAGCTGTGCAAAGAATGTGCTCTTGGCCTCCCTGGAGAAAAAAGGCCACTGAACTCCATCTTTTTTTAGTTCACTCTTTTTGCTTGATTCTGTAGTCAGCTGCCTGCAGTAAGTGATGATACATCTATTTCATTGCATCCCTGTTCTTTTGGCAATGTTTCCCAGATTTTCATGTTTATTCTATGAGGTAGGATAGATAATCTAGAATATTTTGCTTCAGTAAACACAAATGCAGAAGTAGTATTGAGGTCAAGAAACCCTAACTCTAATCCTTGTGACTTTCTGTGTTAAGGTGCATTCTTGACCTGCTGTACAATTATGATCTCTATGTGTACAGATTCCAATGAAGGGAAAGTAAGACACTGTTGTAATTCACTGTAATGCTAATATTTGGAACTAGCTGAGCTGTTACAACATACTCTTTCTTCTGTTCTAGGGGGATTATGTGCACAAGTCTGTATTTATCATCTTTTTCCAAGGTGACCAATTGAAGAACAGAGTCAAGAAGATATGTGAAGGGTATGAAGTTACTTGAAAGCCTTAGAGTTGGGCATCTTGCTACGTGTAACACTCATAAAGAACACTCTCAAATGTTTGAAACACATTGAAATGGTTTAATATCCACAGTTTTCAGCTCCTTGCTCTACGATGACTGTGGGAGTACATACTTTGACAGCAATTGAAGTGTACCAGATGTAGCTGTATCATATTTTACAGTCACAGTGGCTACTCCCTAAGCTGTAATGCTCAAAGCAGACAACTGCTTTGTGTTAGAGAATGCCTAAAAACAATGGGGTTTGTGCTGAACTCTCACACAGACTTATCAGGCTGCCAGCAGGCAGTACTGTCACAGGGTCTCCTTCCAGCGGCAGCTGCCTTGGCATGATAGGAGTAGGAGCACCCTGAACTGGGGCTAATGGACTTCACAACAGTGCTTTTGAGACTGTGTCAGTGCAGGGAACAGAGGTGGTTTTGTTTGTTTGTTTTGTTTTTTCTTCAGTATTCAGCTTTTGTTTTGGCCTTAAGCAAACTTCTATATTCGTTGGAATTGAAGACTGAAACAGTGCTTGACAGGCTTTGCTGATATTAAGATGCTCCTTGCTTTATTTCTGTGTTTAGTCTTAGCCATTTGTTTCCCTGATGGGTTAATGTTTCTCCCATCTTTGTTACTAAGGCTGCTTGCATGTCTTTCAGATTCCGTGCCTCCCTCTACCCATGTCCAGAAACACCACAGGAGCGGAAGGAAATGGCTTCTGGTGTCAATACCAGAATTGATGATCTCCAGATGGTAAAATAAATGCAGTCAATACTTGTTTGTTTAATTAATAGTTAAATTCATCTTTGGATCCTATTAAAAGACAATTGTTTTGGCCTTATTAGGTGATCATATTTTCAGCTGAGGGTAGCTTGAGACCAGCAACTGAACACTGCAGGAAAGCTGCTTGGAGGTTTTCTGCTCATTTTCTTTTTCAGAGTTTAGAGTGGTGGTTTGATCTTTGCGTGTGTCTGAGCAGTTAATTATATATATGTAAATACAGTGTCAATATAGAACTCAATACCAGGGAGCAGAGAGGAATGTGCATGAGTAAGAAGATACTGTGCTTCCAGCTCTGAAAGCATGCTTGTATAATTGCCTGTTTCATCTGCAAGAGCTTAGAAAACATTTTTAAACTTGTCTCCATGTTGAGATAACGATGCTAATTTTAATCTATCAAATTTTTTGCCTGTCTTTGTATTTTCACCTTTTGCTTTCCTAAAGAGTTTCTGCATTATGATTAAACTGTTGTGCAGCAGCCTAAATGCTTGGTAAAAGCAGTCAGCACGCAAAACTATGAAGTGCCAGCTCTGAAATATTTGACATTTGCTTCAAGGAGAAAAGGCAGTATTTCATAATGCAGAAAAACTGGAGGGATCTAAGATGAAAATCAGGAGAAAGTTCAGGAACTAGAAGGAAAAATGGTTGCATCTGAATGGCTTATTTGATACAGAACCCGTATTAGCCTGGAAGATTTGTGGTGCAGCTGTTTAGTAAAGTAGATAAGAATGCAGAAGCAACTTGACTGTTAACATTCAGAGCTGCATGTGATAGCTGTGCCCTGTGTCCTCACTTTCCCTCGAGTCTCAGACTTTCCAGGCTGGGAATCTGACTTTGCCTGAGTTAGACATGTTCCAGTTGGAAAACACTCTTAATAAAAAACACTTTATCCTTTTCAGGGGAAAAAAAAAGTGTTGTAATATTACTGGGGGGTTTTAAGGTGCTGTATACCTCGCCTGCAGAACTCTTCTCTGCTCTTTTAACCTGGGTGGAGGAAAAAATGTTCTCTGTTGTCTCTGAACAGCTTAGCTCATTGTTTGAAATACCGTTTGAAATATCCACTGACCTTGGGATTAGAGGAGGAAAGTAGTCAGACTATACCTGAAAAGAAGCCCTAAACCCTTTTAGCAGAAGGGAGTAATTAGTATGGAGACTAAAGCATGTGGAAGTGTTGTGCATGGATGGGGGCAAGGGCTTATTCATCACTGTCTGTTGAATAAGGCTTGTCTTGTTGTTCAGCCCTACTTCTCTGTGCTCTTCGTACGCTACGAGTTTTGGCTGATGATTTTGCCTCATCTTTGTCTCACTTTTCCATGAAAGGTGCTGAACCAAACAGAGGATCACCGCCAAAGAGTTCTGCAGGCAGCTGCTAAAAATATTCGGGTCTGGTTCATCAAAGTCCGCAAGATGAAGGCCATCTACCATACCCTGAATCTGTGCAATATTGACGTGACACAGAAGTGCTTGATTGCTGAAGTCTGGTGTCCTGTAGCTGACCTCGATTCCATTCAGTTTGCCCTCCGGAGGGGCACTGTGAGTAACTGCTGCACTGCTCCTGTCTGCTTCTGTTCAAGCAGATTAGCAACTGTCAGCAAATGCAACAGGAATTAATTGATTTTTCTGGAAACCACTTCTTTAGACTGTTTCAATCAGCCCTCGCGGAGGAAAGCTTATCTAACATGCAGGAGTCATGGCTTATAGGTATTCTGCTGTGCGCCTCACTTAGTTACAAAGATGTTGTGTAAGCCTTCAAGTTCAGGAAAGTGCCGCGATAAAACGTTTTCCTGTGTTTGAGTCATTTGGTGCATTTGGTTAACCAGGCTGTGCTTTGCAGCTGTTTTTATATGCAGTGGAACTTAAAGGAATGATCCAGAACTTTAGCAAGCTCACTCCCTCTACTCAGACAAATAATGAAGAGTTAGGCGCCTTGAAAATTTTATTTTTCCTGTTATGTGACAGGGAGAGCAGAGGAGATTTGGCAGCCTTCTTCAATGGCCCAAGTATCTTTCATCAGGCTAGCAGTCTACAAAAATGAAAGCCTGTATTTTTCCAAATGCCAGCAGGAAATAAATGTTTTACTCTGTCTTCCATTGCCCCAAGGATATTTTCTAATCCTGATCTGTTTGTTTTCTTTTTTTTTCCACTTCCACAACAGGAGCACAGTGGTTCCACCGTCCCATCTATTTTAAATCGGATGCAAACCAATCAGACCCCACCAACATACAACAAAACTAACAAGTTCACTTGTGGCTTTCAGAACATTGTTGATGCTTATGGCATTGGAACTTATCGGGAAATAAATCCAGGTAGATCCATACTTTAAGAAGTAATGAAGTAACTTTTAGTCATGGTGTTTTTCCATGTTGACTGTCCTGTGTGAAAATGTCTAATATGGTACTTTGCAGCCTTTCGAAGTGGGGAACAAACTTGGGAGTCTGCACTACAGTAAATCTGGACTTGGTCAAATACAGTGCATTAGGAGTGTGTTTCTCTTACAGCCCCGTATACAATCATTACCTTCCCATTTCTGTTTGCTGTGATGTTTGGAGATTTTGGCCATGGAATCCTGATGACTCTGATTGCTATCTGGATGGTGCTTAGGGAGAGTCGTATTCTGTCACAGAAAAGTGACAATGAGGTAAGGAGAGGTGGTGTGCTCAGCTTTGTGTTTAATACAGGGTTGTGACTGGATTTACTTGTATCTTCCCCTTTGTTATTCCTTGAAACAGGAAGCACACAAGCAGAATGCCAAGTCTGTATGCCATAGACTGAGCTGCATCATTTCATAGTAACAGTCAGTTTCTTTTTTTTCCTTTCAGAAATTTGTAGGAAATTATTTCTTTCAGACATTTGAAGGAAATTGTTTATTGAGTGTGGTTGGACAGCTAAGCTGCTGTAAATGGATCACCCAAAACCAGATCTGATCATAAAGGCTTGCAATGACTGCACAATTCCTAGTGTTTGTGCACACAAATGTGTGCATCTCCATGATTTTTTTCTTTTTTTTCTGTTCTAGACAATTCTGCTTCACTCAGGGCTTAGATTGATAGGAGATGAATCAGTTAATGTACGTGGACAGAGTGTGGAGAAAGCTGGAACAGGGTCAGCACTGCTTAGTTCCAAACTGGTGCTGCCAGCTGGGGTTTGCATCACTGCATGGAGTGCAATTTATCCTCCTCAGCTAATCAGCCTGCATTCGGGTTCTGTTCTTGCAGAGTTACCTCTTGCACCCTTAATCTCCCCCAAAATGGATACTGTGCTGTCAGTCCATGGGCCAGCATAGCTTGTTCTGCCTCTGACTGCTTTTGCTGTTTTGTTTGTATGAGAGATGTCCCTTGTTCTCACAGACTTTTTCTCCTCTTTCATATTAGATGTTCAACACTGTTTTTAGTGGTCGGTACATCATCCTGCTGATGGGACTGTTCTCCACTTACACAGGCCTTATCTATAACGACTGCTTCTCCAAGTCTCTTAATATGTTTGGTTCATCGTGGAGCGTCCGGCCGATGTTCTCCAAAGCCAATTGGTCGTGAGTAAATAGTTCTTAATTGAATTCTCCCCAGTACAAGAAAGACAGGGAGCTGTTGGAGAGGGTCCAGAGGAGGGCCACGAAGATGATCAGGGGACTGGAGCACCTCCCCTATGAGGACAGGCTGAGGGAGCTGAGCTTGTTCAGCCTGGAGAAAAGAAGGCTGCGGGGTGACCTCATTGCAGCCTTTCAGTACCTAAAGGGAGCCTACAAACAGGAGGGGAATCAACTCTTTGAAAGGGTGAGTGACAGCAGGACAAGGGGAAATGGTTTTAAGCTGAGGGATGGGAGATTTAGGTTGGACGTCAGGGGGAAATTCTTTACGGAGAGAGTGGTGAGGTACTGGAACAGGCTGCCCAGAGAGGTTGTGGATGCCCCGTCCCTGGAGGTGTTCAAAGCCAGATTGGATGGGGCCCTGGGCAGTCTGGTCTAGCATTAGGTGGAATGGTTGGTGGCCCTGCATGTGGCAGGGGGGTTGGAGATTCATGATCCTTGAGGTCTCTTCCAACCCTGGCAATTCTGTGATTCTGTGAATGAAGTGTGATAGTGGCAAGTAGGTGATTTATCTTTCACCACTGTCTTACCAGCTCTAGAAGACAAAAACTTCTGAACTCAGTTTCAAGTGGAATAGGAAGAGGGGTGCAAATGTGATACCTCTCAAGTTTCAAACCTGCTTGTTTTCAGGAAACTCATAAAGATGCACTTTAGCACCTTTCTTATCTTTGACGTAGCAGATTCCTGTCCCTCGGTCTTTTCCGTGTGACATAGAATAGCAGGTCAAGAGACAGGTTTGTTACTGGAAAATCTTTAGGGCTGCATGGGAACCTTAAAGTTCTCTCATTTTGAGATATCCCTTGCACTCACAAGGAAGAATGCTATTAGTTTTAAAAGGAGGGCAACATTGCTTATGCTAACATATTATATAATCTACTCACATCCAAACAGAGATGAACTGCTTAAGACTACTCCTTTGCTTCAACTGGACCCTGCTGAAGCAGGAGTGTTTGGTGGCCCCTATCCCTTCGGCATCGACCCGGTAAGAACTTCCTCTGCTGTCCACAAAAGAATCTGTTCAATTAACTGTGAAAGTTTTCCACATCCTAGCAAAAGGTATTTGAAATAGTTGTGAATGATGAAAATGAATCTAGTTCCAAAGAGGCAGTAGGAGCAAGATAGAAAGACTTATTCTTGGGACCATGAAAGATTTCTTCCTCGCCCTTTCCGAGCTGCATTTTAATCATATCTGGTATGAGACTTAGAAATCGCTTCATGAAGTTACTTTTATTCCTACTTTGGAGAAAGCCAGTTCTCTCTTTCCAGTCAGTCTTGGAAATATAATTTCTGAGTAACAGTCATTTTGTAGCTGCCTATTTCAATAACACTACTCCTATGCTTTTAGGATTTGATAGAAAAATTTGCATGTGTTCCACATAAAAGATGAGGTGGCAGAAAGTCAGAACTTATGTGTAATTTCTTGTTGAAATGTATAAACAGGTTTTCTGTCAAGATAACAGCCCTCTGTACTCCTTTCCTGCTACTTTTGGCAAAATGAAAATAAGCAAGGTTTGATTCCTGCTCTGGTGGTGGGATCAGTCGGTTCTTATCAGAAAGGTTGTCTGCTGAGTTTTCCTGAGCAGATATCTGTATGACAAACACATACTGGTTAGCTTAAATGGAACATTTTCATTCTTTTCTGTTTTCCTTTTACTCCGTGTTTGGCTGACTCAGTGTTGGTTTTTTTTCACAGATCTGGAATATTGCCAACAATAAACTGGCCTTCCTCAATTCATTTAAGATGAAAATGTCTGTGATTCTTGGCATTATCCACATGCTCTTTGGTGTCATGTTGAGTCTTCTCAATCACATGTAAGAGTCTTTGTTCTGTTTTTCTGATGGGAGAGGAGGGAGAATTTCTCTGGGTGTAGTTTGTGTATCAGTTTAAGATGCAGAAACCTCAGACTTTAACTTTCTGATTGAAGGGCATAGTAGTTATTTCTGTCTGTGTAACTATTACGTGTCAAGTAATTAACTGTGTTTTAAGTCCTAGCTCTTACAGAAATACACAGCCTCTGCAGTTTTGATACAAAACTGCTTTTTCCTTCTCATTTAAAGTTTTTGCCCTACATAAGGCTAATGCAAACTAAATGTAATTTAAAATTTTCCTCTTTTTATTTTCCTGTAGATATTTTAAGAAGCCACTGAACATATACCTTGGATTTATTCCAGAGATGATTTTCATGTCCTCGCTGTTTGGATACCTTGTTATTCTCATTTTCTATAAGTGGACAGCCTACGATGCTCATACATCAAAGGAAGCCCCAAGCCTTTTAATACATTTTATCAACATGTTTTTGTTTTCCTATGGTGATACCAGTAACAAGATGCTTTATAAAGGGCAGGTGTGTACTGTTTTTTGAATTGTAAGGTCAGAGGTGCTTTCTGATATTCGTCTTTGATTGACCTTGTAATAATTGTAAAATTAAGCATTAAGCACTTTGTGAGAGAAGAAATGTGGCATTGTTGCCAAAGCCTGACACTATGTAATATGGAAGAAAGACAGAGTTTCTATGCAGAGAATTTATATCAGTCTGAGCACATCAGCTGTGGCTCCACGATACTTGGATCCAAATCAACAGTGGGAAGTCAATAGGAATATTGCCCTGCACCTACAGTACAGTGCCTCTGAGCTTAGCAGCACGTGCTAATGCTGTTTGCAGGATCTTTTGGCTTCTTCCCTCATCTGACTAGTATCAGTGTTACCTGCTGCGTGCAGGCAGTTGTGGCAGCTGCAATCAGGTATCAAATACAGCACATCTTCTTGGAAGAGAGAGTGTGTGAAGCATCCACATACTCTGGGAATTCAGTCATTCAGTGTTGCTTAAGACTGCCTGAAAGGGTTTGTGTGAAGATGGATTGTCACTAAATCATCTGAGGCTTGTTTCTTTTACAGAAAGGACTCCAGTGTTTCCTTGTGGTGGTGGCATTACTGTGCGTGCCATGGATGCTGGTAGCTAAACCTCTGGTCCTTCGCCACCAGTATTTAAGGAGAAAGCACTTGGTGGGTGACTACCTTGTATATTTTCAATATGAGAACAAATTGTAATTGAAAAGCTGTTTTCCACCTTGTCCTTGGTATGTGGGTTCACACAGTGTTACAGACCTGTAAAGGCTCTCTGCATATTCCTGGGCATAGAGGCAGGTGGCTGTTACTGGAGATGAAGTATTGCCTGCCTGCTTCTCAAACTGGATCCAGCATCAAACCAGCTTTAAAAATCCTACCTGTTGGTAATGATAAAAACAATAAAACCACCTTCAGCACTGTCAGCTGGTTCAGGAACCCGGTCTTAGTTGTTGCTGGATGCACTTCTGGGCTTTTGCTAGGGTGATGATGTAAAAGCAAAGGAGTTAGCTTCATTGGCGTACAGACTTAATAGCCATCTTTGTTAAAGCAGTTTGGATGGTTTAAAAAAGAAGATAGCATAAGTCTATTTCTTTTTTTTTTTTATGTGAGAGATTATCTCCTGGGGGTAATCTCTAGGTTTCCGACTGTATTGTAAAGAATCTTTCCAATAAAGTGCAGGAACTTGTCACATGTGCACTGGGGATACTTGAAAATTCTCCCTGCATGTATGGCAGACAGCTTTTAGGATGTTAAGTGAGTCAAAGATCAGTTCAGTTAAAGACACTCCCTCTCCCTTCTCTGACCATCTTTCATCCTCCCATGTCCCCTCCATTCGTCTCCCTTTCTCTTTTTGTCTTCTTCCTCCTCCCTTTCTTTTCTTCCATTCACTATCAGGAAGGGCAGCCCGTGGAGGCCCAGGTCAGCACAGTCCCGAACGAGCAGGCACTAGAGGCAGCAGCGGCTGCAACAGTGAGTGGATTTAAAAATCACCTGATGGATTTATATCGAATTAACAAGAGAGCATGAAATGTACCTGAATTTCATAAGTGAATGACTACTGCACCTTTAGGGTGAAAGAAAGACACTTTCTCTTGGAAAGAGCAAAGTTCAGCAAAGCTGATGCATTCTGGAAGAGCTACCAGGCTGCTGGATAATAGTTACATACGCACAGAATGCAGGCACACTTCTTTGCAGGAGTGTTGCTGAAATCACAACCTGCAGAGCAGCACAAGAATACCTTGCTGCCACATCCCCCCCAAGTTAAGTTCCCCTTTTTCCTTTTCTTGCATATCTGTTTAAGCTAGAGTAGGATTTCTTTCACTGAAGCATTTTTGTTTACATTGTGTTCCCAAGCATGTTAGTGATGGCCTCCCAACAACATCATAGCAGTAATTACTGCATCTGTGCCTGTGTAGGCACTTTGACTTAAAGCTGTAACGTGGTGCTGCACAAATAAGCTACAGACAGCCCTTTGGTGTGAAAGCTTTCTGGGAGAGCAATGATTGCAGCAGCTCCAGAACTTTATCCCTTCCCCTGTACATCGTATTTCAGATGGGTTTTAGTTCTGAATGCTACCTCTCTAACAAGCTGAAGTCTTTCAAACTATGAAACATGTTGTACTTTGTGTCAGAGGTGATTTGGGGACAACTTCTGAGCTGTTGGCTCCTGTTTCTATTATGAAATCTTAAGTAGCTACACAGGTCAGAAAAGACAGTGCATCTCTTGTGCATAATTCATCCAACATATTAAGTGCATCCAATAAGAGAAGCTGTGAGTGAAGATGTTTGCTTGAAGTGTGGTTAGAACTGTGAAGTTGGTTGGAGCTTTTGGAGCTGTGTTAAGTTTGGCTGCAAAGAACAGACACGAGTGTGAGGGAAGAGCTTCAAAGTACAGATTCATGCAGACCAGGAATGTAGAAATGCAGGACTAATACTATTTTTCAGTAACTACTGATTTTTTTTTTTACTATGATATTTTTTTACTATCTTAGCTATAAATGTAGTCTGGCTGTTTTCATCTTATTTCTATTTTCAGAGCATAAATGACTGTCTAATTTATTTTTTCGAGAAACAACCCAGCCAAATCTTAAATTCATGTCTGATATTTTGGCCAAACGTTTTGTTCAGCATTAAGCAGAAGTAAGCTTTTAAGAGCAGATCAGCTGAAGAACAGAACGCTGAGCAGCAGTGCTGCTGGATGCCAGAGCCGTGCAGTGTGAGAGCAGACGGCTGTCAGAATCTTGAGTGCTTCGTTTTGTCAACCCTAAAGTTATAAAGAGTTAATGTTGTTACTTAGTCTGTTTACATTCCATGTCACAGATGACCCCAGTACAATCCTGAGGCTGAACACAGGGATTTTGTTCCCATTTGTGGCATTTTAGTTTGTTTCTCTAGGTAGGTCAGACCCAGAGGTCTTCACGTGCAATCCTTCAGATCAGTCACAAGCATTTTGTGTCTTTGGAACACCTGGAAGGAAGGAGGAATCCTGCTGTACAGTGCCACGTGCTGAGCAGAAATCCAGAAATAGTGATATGCCAGTCAGACCTTTGTAGTGTGGTACACATTTACAATGCATAAAAGCTCAGCTTGAGAACAGTCATGGTGAGCAGTTCTCTGCATCCATTCTTGGCTGTGAGAGTCTATGTGCCTGCCATAAACCTCACGTTAACTGCGTAGTGACTGCAGTCCTTGGTGACTATCGAAGGGGTTTCAGATTGGTTTGTGGCTTATTCTTTTCTACTTGGAGTGCAGTGGATTTATGGCTGTCAGACCCTGAATGTCAAAACAACTATCTATAAAAGGAACTGCTTGCACAACGCAGAATTTCCATGTGAGGGAAAGTCTGATTTCCCACGTGTGTTGGTGTGCCTGACATGGTGTGCGTGTGCATTTGTGAGCCACTGTGTGACTTGTCTCATCTACAATAACAGTGGTGTTTCACTCGGATTCTACGTGCTTGCTTCACAGCTGCTGTTGTGCAAAACATTGGTCTGTTCACATCAGTTACAGCAAACGTCCTCATGAGAGATTTGGCATTTATTTCACTTAGGTTTGCAGTTACTTTATAGAAACGTATCAAGTATTCATTCAGACCTTTTTTCCCAGCCTTACAGGATTCAGCATCTTTTCTATCCAAACTGAGAAAAGGAATTGTACAGCTGATTAAACCTGGGCTTTAATATTTTGTCTTCTTCTGTGAGCAACTGCTGCTGTGCACGGAGTCGTAAGAAGCTTCTGCTGTCATAGTAAGCCACAAACAACACTTTTTATTCTTTCTTTTTCTTCGTGTATTAGGGAACACACAACTTTGGTGGGATCCGGGTGGGCAATGGACCAACAGAGGAGGATGCTGAGATCATTCAACATGATCAGTTATCTACCCATTCTGAGGAGGGGGAGGAGGTAAGTACCTGAGCGTCCTCTGTCTCAATGCACTTGGGAACAGAACATGCTGGTTTGGCTGTATTTTCAAGTTGTTTAAATAGCAACGTTCTCAGTGGAGTGTTTTCATAGCAGTAAAGTACTGCAGTCTTCTGGTCATTCCCAGGACTTCAAGGTGGGGAAAAAGTATAATTTGCAGGCAAAGGGAAATTTAGTTCTGTTTGTCTTCATTAGAAGGAACCACCATCTCACAGGCTGTGCAGTGAGGGTTGCACAGTGTTCCCACACAGCTTATGCCCTGGCTGAAGTGCAGTGCATTTTGCTATTTGCTTCTCCACTGTTAGCCAAAATCCGAGGCCATTTTTCTGTAGTAGTGAGTTCCTACTTCTTGTATTTGTTCTGACTGCTGGGGTTGCATTGGCTGCTTTGCCTTACTGCTGGTAGAGAAGAAAAAGGAGACGATCTCTTTTAATTTGGGAGTTTTTTGCCTCCATGTAGTGCATGTGATTTGTTACTGCTTTACTGTGTCGTGTTTAGGAGGGAATGATTGAATGTGTTCATGATTAATGTTATTGAGACACCACACTAAATGCGAACTTATGTTTTCAAGCCTACAGAGGATGAGGTGGTAAGACTACAGCCAGCTTTGCTGCATTCATGTGTATCTGGAACGTTTCCCATTGGTGTAAACCACACACTGAATTGAGCGTTATGTCATGGCATCTTTTCCAAAAGATCCAGCTATTGACATGCTACAGGCCATCTTTAATCCTTCATACGGTGTCACACCCACTAACAGACCTTTGATTACTTCATTTATTTAGCTTGTTTGTCTTATCCCTTGTCTGCAGATCTCTTAGTTTTCCCAGAAAGCTGTTAAGCCAGAACTCTGAAACTGAAAAGTTTATGCTTTAAACTTGTAAAGAAGTCTCATTCGCCTTATGTTGTGTCTTTGGTAATTCTGCATTGCAATAAAACACTTAAAGCTGGTATGCTCTCCCCCCCCTCCCCCACTGACTTCTATTTTAAGGACAATACTGGTTGTTGCCAATGAGAAAATACAGCAAATCTGGTCCAGTTTTCATATTTCATTTCAGCAGCAGCTTAACTAACCTGCATTTTTCTGTAAGAAGAGAGGCTCTGTTCTGAGAAACTGCTCATTCATAAATAGTTGTAAGAATTATGAGTGTTAAGTGGTTTTTAAGAACTCCTGTGCAGAATTTATTGCAGGTGTCAGGAAATCAGGTAACCAAATTTGTTATGAAAATATAAAGGTCACGAAAGTAGAGTAGCTTTGCAAGAATGATGTTGTCTTAAATGATGCTGAAGGTGGTTCTGTTATGTGAAAGGTGGACCTGTGATGTATGTTTCCATGAGGAATTGGTGTTAATCCTGTAATCCTCTGAAAAATGTGTAAAACAACAAATGCTCCAACAAAGTGATCCTGCTGAGCCTTCCAGCCCCCAGCACAGTGAAGGCTTCTCTCCAGCAGCTGCATGAGGCTGTGAATTGTCATTGTTGAAATATTTATCACGTTCCATTAATTGCACACTGGTGTGCAATGTGTGCTGGGAGGTGGCACTGTTTGCTGGGACAGTTTTTGCTAAAGAACATTGCAGCTCTCACTCTGCGGAGGAAGAATTACACTTTTGACAGTTCATTTAACTTTGCTGCTTAAAATATTTACTGCCCTGTGTATATTGAGAGCAGAATGAGAGCATAAATAGCCTGCTGTGCATGCCTGCAATGCGAGTTGCTCCATGTCTTTAAAATACCACTTTGACTTGACTTAAATATGAGCAGTTTCTGAAGCACAGATTAAATCCAGAATGTGGGGAATGCTTTCACAAGGTGAGCAATAAGAAACTGTCCTTCATGGCAGACTTTCTTATGATTTTTTAATTATTATTTCAAAAAATTACCAAGGCACAGAGATTTATGAATTGTACGGGTAGGACTGTCTCAAAACTGCTTTGTGCATTATTTTTGCTTTCAAAGAGGATAAGTCCATATTTCGCAAAACGGTCTTTTCACAAAGGTGCATACACAGTATTGACTTGGAATACTGTCTCTTTTCTTGTAGAAGTACATGCAACTTACCAGTGAATTCATACGAACGCCATCTTGTTGCTGTACAGTCTTTTCCTGGCAAAGTCAATGGCAGAATTCAGAATATCTTGATTTTGTACAATAGGACATGAAAACAATCATTAAAACTGCAGCAGTGAACTGTCATTCTATAAAGCCCAATAAGACAAGAGAATTTGGTTTTAATTCATAAAACTGACATGCTAAACCAGGAGAAGACAGTATCAGTGTCTAAGTTCAAACACGATGACCTTGGTGATAGCACCAGGTAGTTGCTCGTTCTCCCCAGTCAGCCAGCCCTTCCTGCCTGCACATCTCGCAGCTTTCTTCATTTTCTGTGTTCACTTTGCAGTTTGACTTTGCTGACACTGTGGTGTACCAGGCCATCCACACCATTGAGTACTGCCTGGGGTGCATCTCCAACACTGCGTCCTACTTGAGGCTCTGGGCTCTCAGCTTAGCCCATGCACGTGAGTACTGCTGGAGTGGAAATCCAGCTCAGTGCCACCAATGGACCTGGACTGGTGGTAGGCAAAGGGCAGCGGTGCAGGGGGCTTCCCCAGAGCTCAGCTCTGCGGTGTCAGGCACTGCTGGAGGAGGGCAGAGCTGTGTGTAAACACCACTATCTACTTGTACAGCACCCTGCTAAGAGCTGTCTGGATCTGGAAGGATGGGTGGGGTTGGAAGAGCTGAGTGAAGCAAAGGGCTGCTGACCAGTGGGTCTGCACTGCATGCAGCAGTGTCCTGACATACCTGCCTGCAAAAACTCTTGTCTCTCTTGAGTTTCCCATTTCATTATGGTGGAAGATTTTTTTTCTCAACCTCAGTTTCTGCTCTATAAGAAAACTGCAGCTCTCTCTTCTTGTCGGATGCTCTGAAATGAGTCCTCTCTTCTCTCTTCCCCTGGCAGAGCTCTCGGAGGTGCTGTGGACCATGGTGATCCACACTGGGCTCAGTGTGAGGAGTCTGGCTGGAGGCTTTGGCCTTTTCTTCATTTTTGCTGCTTTTGCTACCCTGACAGTAGCAATTCTCCTGGTCATGGAAGGCCTGTCTGCTTTCCTCCATGCTCTTCGCTTGCACTGGTGAGTTACAGCAATGCTCAGAAATCATGAGCTCAACATGGAAAGGAGATTGATGTCACGTGGGCTATCTGGAGAAATGCACATCTTCTAGAAGTCTGTGCTGGTTGTTACACAGTGAAAGTGAGGCTATACCATTGGGGTGGTGGATAACACTGTGGTGAGATGGTCATGTTCAGAAGTGCTGGAGGACCATAACTCTTTCCTAAACATCCTACAGAAGATGTGCTCTGACAGCAGGAAGTCTTTAATATGGTCAGAGATTTCACTCTTCATTCTGTTAATACTCTCCTCTCTCCTAATCATAGGCATAAACTTGCTTAGAAACTGTGGAGAGTAGCTGAACTCTAATTAAAAATAAATTAGACCAGAGCTTTGTGAACAGTAGGATGGGGATGCTGCACAAGGTGAATGAACGTGCTTCTGGCTTTCAGCTTTTTGTTCTGTCCTTTGGTCTTCTGCCTGGTTCTGTTGCTCCTGGTAAGCACAGAGAGCAAAGTGAAGTTCGGAAGGATCTTTCTGTTTTGTTAAATGGAAAAAAAACTGTTTTGAACACTTTTTAAAAGCAGTCTCCTTAGTGGGAAAAGGAAGTTGTGCTTTTCAACAGTGAGCAGAAACACCCTTTTTTGCACTTTTCCCCCAATTTCTCAGGAGTGGTAACTTTGTCCCTTTGCTCTCTCTGCTGACAGCCTATTTGGGTGAGCACTGAGATGTTCAGGTGTGTCTCTGTAGCGAAGTGAGTGGAGATGGATCTGGAAATGCAGGGCTGGCTGTAGCCATCTTGTGCTGAGGGAGCCCATGTGGGGGCTGCTGCTGAAAATGGCTGCTGGGTGGTGCTTCTGTTTTTTTTTCCTGGCTTCCAGCCTAGGAATCTTTATACCAGGCAGTTGAGGCCTTCTTGCTGGCTGGTGTTTCCTCATCCTCATACTGCTGTCACTGTACTTGCATCAGTGTGAAAGGAGTTCTGCACACCCTGCCCAGTATTGCTGCTAACAGTCCAAGAAGAGCAGAGTGAGCAGAACTGTGTATGTTGTGTCTCTGGTCTTCAGTGTGTGCAAATTAATAGATTGTCTGGAGTTTGGTGCTTGTTGGCACATTTCTGTATAACAGTAGGTACGCATTTCTGAATGCTCTTCCTTGGCAGACTGTAACCCTTTTTACTCAAGGGAATCGCCTTAGTTAGGAAAGTGTGTGTTCTTGGTCTTTTTTCTTTCTTTTTTTGGAGATACCGATTTTGTGTTAATAATCACAGACTGCACTTAAGGATACTGCTCACAAAGCATCTGAACCAAGTGTGAGTGAGAGGTTACAGCTCAGCAAAGAGAGTTTTTTCACATTGTATGTATGTAAAATGTGATTAAAATTATCTGGAAATGTGTAAAGGGAAGATAGATGCATGAATGGAGAGCAAAGAGGAAAAAAACAGCTAAGCAACAGCAGTAAGCACACAAGTCACAGGTGCTATGCAGAGCATAGTAGGGCCTTGTTGGGAGCTGCAGAACTGAAGCTCTTCAGTCATATTTCCCCTGGACATGTTTCAAACTTGTAAAGCCTTAAATTACATTCTCTAAGATAGAACCTGCTCAAGTTTAGTCTCTGAAAAGCAATCTGAAGACAGTACTTCAGACTGAATGTGATGTGCTGGGATTGTTTTGCGTTTGTTTGGATTTCCATTATCAGTGGAATGAAAAGTGCACCTGCAGATGTTCAAAACAACATGCTGTTCACATTCCTTTTTGTTTCCAAACTTGAAATTGGTAAACTTCCAATGGTATGTGTTCCTTTCTTAGAAGGAAGGTGGAGGGGGGGGAGCAAAATATCTGTCCTGGGAGGAGCAGATCGGATTTTGTTACTCTTGGGACAAGAGTCACCTATCTGGAATTCTGAAGGTGTGGGTGGTTCAGCCTTCCTGGAAAGGGGGAATCGTTCAGCACATGTCTTGTTAGTGAGGAGAATAGATTCTTCCAAGAGTTCTACCTATCAGTGCCAGTTGAGGAAGACCTGCAGCGTGCTTTTGCAGAAAGCATGCATTCCTTCTGCAGGCTGGGTTCTTCTGGGGGCATTTTGGGGTGGAGAAAGCAATCAAAGTGCTGCCAAGATTGCAATTCCATATCAGTTCTGCTGGAGCTTGGTAGCTGCCTTAACTATTCCTATTCCTTTCATTGCAACATCACTGTACTGAAATATAATGCTGTTTGCTTTTTTTTTTTTTGCTATCTAGTTTGACATTGCTGTTGATGTTAATGTATCTTTTTTAATCTGGTCAGATATTCCAACTGAGCAAACACAGACTTTGTCCAAAATGAGAGGATTATAACTGGAAGCTAAGCAGGCTCCCAGCTGAAATAGTTTCAGTGCAGCCATCTTCAGCATAAAGCAACATTTTAGGCTCTGTTTCAGGCCTGATTTGGACCTCCCTGGGAGGCGTGTGTGCTTCTTGTGCTCTTGAGACAAACATAAGTGTGTTTTTTCTTTACCATGTGTTGCCTGAGCTGTTTGCCACTAATTCATACATTGAAAGGATGAGCTCAGTCCTTTGGAGGCAGTGACACAGATCCAAGGCATCTCCCCTGGCTGCACGGTGCTGGGTGCAGCTGGAGGCAAGCAGCTCGCCCACCGCCTCTTCTGTTCTGAATGGCAGAAAGTGCTGTGGGTTTGTGCAGTGACAGCAGACTGGATTTCAGATACAACAACTGTGGTCAGCCTCAGTCAGCCATGCCAAATAAATAGAGTTGCAGTTCTGCGGTGCCCTGCCTGGCTGCTGTAAGCTGACCCTGCCCTGCGTGGGCAGTGGTGTAGCCCCCAGGGGTGGCACTTTCTGGAGGCGTGGGTGTGCTGGGGCCCAGTCCTGCTCACAGCCCAACTCCCCACCCACCTGCCAGAATTTTAGTTATTTTTCTTTGTAAAGGTCAGGAGCTTGGGCTTGTCTTCTGTGCAGTCATAACAGCATCCTGCTGCTCATCTCCTTTTGGAAGACAGAGTGACCCGTGGTGTATGAACCTGCTGCCATCTGGGAAACCTGTGCACAGCACCCTGATCTCTTGGTCCTGCAGGGGGCCTGCCTTCTGAGCCACTGCTGGCCTCACGCTTCAGCATTCTGCTAAGAATCCAAAAATACCATGTAGGAACTTACCTTGTACCAAACGAAAGTTGGGTTTCCTGCCCAACAGATGTCTCTCTCTCTCTCCAGTTGCTTTCTGTTGGGGCTGTGAGCTGCCCGGTTTTCCAAACATTTGGAAATTCTGTGGCTGTCTGTTGGAAAATCCATGCAATTGCAGTCTGACAAAGCACTCAACTATTACTATAAAAAAATCTGAAGAAAGGTGTTTGTTTTATTAATGCAAACTGCCAGACAGCATTGTCTGTTTATTGACAGTGCAGTGCTGTCCAGTAAATACTTTTGCAGAACTTGATCAATGTTGAGACGCAGTTCAGCAACAGAGGTAGCACACAGACAGGGAGTGTTCCTGGAAACAGCATTTTCTGATTCCAGAAAGGCACCTCAGGTTCTGGGTGTTCCTCTGCACAACTGCAGGAAAACACAGACGTTTAAGCTGTGGCATTTAGTTAAACCATTTCAGTAGTTCTCCAAGCTCCAACAGCCACTCCTTGAGTTTCAGGCGTTCAGCCGAGGCTGGTGGTAACTCAGTCTGTCCAAAAGGCACTTTCAGATGTCAGGGTCAGCTGGAACAGTTCATCACTGGGGTTAAAATTGCATTTACAAAGGGTTCTGTGTGAGTCAGATACCCAACCAGCTGCCTCTTGTTTTCCCTTCGCTTATGGAGTTGTTCCTGAGTCACTTATGGAGATTACTGAGGTTCCTGAAAACTGGCGCCTGTTGGCGAGGAGCCCTTCCTCCCACGTGGAAAATCCTGCTCATCCCAGGGATTCCTCTGCAGGGAGCTCTGATCTCATCTGCACCAACAGGCAGCAGAGCCTATCAGGGAAAACGTTTTGAGGGTTTCAATCCTGAGCTCTGCCAAGAAACCACTTTTTGCCCTGAAATACCAGCGACTTGGGATTTTGCCTTGATTCTCAATTTGGGAAAAAAATGACTAAAATGAGTCTTTTTCTACTTGTTCTGATTTGTTTTGAACTGCTGTGTCATTTGCTGTCTCCTGATTCCTACAGACCTGGTGTTTTAGCAGACCATGCAATGGAAAGTTTTTCTCATGAGGCTCATGAAACACCATGCTTGTTTTTACTGTGACCCACGGGATTCTTTTTTCTTCCCCTATTTGGCTGTTCCCAACCATTGGACGGATCTCCAGAATAATTCTTTTTTTAAACCGAGTTCTTGGGGGCAGTGGGCAAACCAGGCTGGGCTGCGTTCCCCATCAGAGTGCGTGTTGTGAGCTCAGGAGTTGTGAGGGCTTAAACCAAATGCACTTCAGAACCCAAACAGCAGTCACCGGTGGTGGAAGTCAGCACAGCATCACGAGGCTGGGTTGTTGCAGCTGAAACAGCCTTTTGCTAACGTGACCTTGTGTGCTGCTCAGTGAGCCTGGTCAGGGGATTCTTCCTGTTTTTGTTGCTCTTTGTATTGCCTGTGGGTGGAATTGGAGTGCTGCAGCAGCTCTGCTGTGCTCCAGAAACATCAGAGTGGTTTTTGTGCCAGTGGGAATGCTACATTATAGTATCTTCTGTTATATTATAAAGATTATATATTCCATAATATATATATAATTCTATAATACAATATTGTGTATATAATCCTTAAAGCTTTACTTTTTATAGTTGATAAACAGCTACTTGCTAATCTCTAACTCCTATGAGAGACCTGCCTTCCTAACGAGCAGTTACCTTCCTTCTCTTGCAGGATCGAGTTCCAGAACAAGTTCTACACTGGCACGGGCTTCAAGTTCCTGCCGTTCTCCTTTGACACCATCCGCGAGGGGAAGTTTGACGATTAGCATCCCCCGAGCTGCACCCGAGCTTTGTGTCCCGTCTGTGTCCCCATAGTGAACGTAACTTATTGCAGCAGCCTGAGTGTTACCGGGAAGTTGGAAAGCCGCGAGCTTTGGCATTCCTGGGTTAATGAGTGATCCTGATCAAAGAAACTTCTCCCTTCAGTTACTGCCGCCGCGGCACGGCGTGTCGGTGTGGTGTAACTGTGCTCTGTGCTGTGAATTTCCTGCCGGGTCTATCAGGGTACTGTGAGAATAATGCAGCTGAGCGGGCGGAGGGGCACGGGGAGAGGAGGGCGCGGTACCTCCATCCTGCATAAAGCTTCCTGCTCAGGAAAAGAGATTTCGGAGGGAGTTTTGTGTGCGGTTCCTCCGCGTCTGCCTGGAGCGCTTCTCCCCGGCGCCTCCACGCCTGCGTTGTTTCCCGCTGGAGGAGCGGCCGCAGCGCTGCCCGAGCTCCGTGCCGGCGGGCGCTGCGGGTCTGCGTGGCAAAGCAGCTCCGCTCCGCACCTGCCGATGCCGCTTTTTCTCCTGTGCAAATTGTGGGTCAGCCCCTGCCTTCTCAGCCCGATGAGCTGCAGTGCTGTGTGTTGCGATGTGTGTCGTGCTGCGTTTTGTGCTGTGCCGTGCGTTGTGCTGTGTGTAACTGTCAGTTATTGCTGTATTGTTGTGAACAGAGCAGAACAGTAACGCAAATCCCCCCAGCCTGGAGTTGAGCTGGAAGCCGTGGAAGAGCTGCGCGCGTCTCCTGCAGCGCTGCCGTGTGCGTGCGGGGCGCCGCGGCGATGCACGGGGCAGCGATGGGGCGAGGGGCGGTGGGGGCTGCGGAACGAGACCCGCCCCGCCGCGTGGCTGGGGATCACTGTGCGTTAATTGAAGTCGCCGTGCATTAAAGGCGCTGCGCTGCAGGCTGTGGTCTCTTTTTGCTCCCAGGGATCGGACGGGCGCGGGGGATCCTGCGGCCGTTCCTCCGGCCCGTTACCGTGGCTGCGGTCCGTCCCGCTCCCCGGCGGCGCGCGGAGCGCTCCCTTCTTCCTCCCCGTTTCCTGCAGCGCCGCGGACTCGCAGCGCCCCCTTCCGGCCGGGAGGGAGGGGTCGCCCCGCCCACCCCCACGGCCCCGCCTCCGCTCTGCCCCACCCCGGTCGTCCCTCCCGCCTCCCGCCACTGATTGGCTCTCGGTGGCCCCGCCCCCCTCCGCCGGCGGCGCGGATTGGCGGAGTTCGGCACGGCCCGAAGCGAGCGGCGCGGCCATGGCGGCGCCGCTGCGGGTGGCGGCGATGGCGGCGGTGCTGGCGGCGGCGCGGGCTCCGCTGCCCCCCGAGCTGCGGGGACCGGCGGGGGACGCGCGGCAGGAGGCGGCGGTGCGGGCGCTGGCGCGGCGTCTGCTGGGCTCCAGGGCCGCCGCCGTGGCGCTGTCGGTGGACGCGGCGTTGGCGGCGGGCGGGCCTGACGCGTACCGGCTGCGCTCCCCGCCCGGCGGCGCCGTGGCCGTGGCCGTGACGGGCTCCAGCGGCGTGGCGGCCGCCGCCGGCCTCTACCGGTACCTGCGGGACTTCTGCGGCTGCCATCTCTCGTGGTCCGCGGCGCAGCTCCGCCTGCCGGACCCTCTGCCGCGGTTACAGAGCGAGATCCGCGCCGCCACCCCCAACAGGTACCGGCGGGGCGCCCCGAGGCCGTGATGAACCGCGGGGGCCCGGGCTGCTCCACCGGCGCCCCGACCCCGCGGCTCCCCGGTTCTGGGCTCCGGCGTGCCTCCCGGCCCCCCGCCCGTGTCCCGGTGTGGGCACCGCGCACCCCCGTCGGCGCAGCGCGAAGCGCGCCCGGCCCTCAGCGTCCCACCGCCCCCAGGTACCGCTACTACCAGAACGTCTGCGCCCACAGCTACTCGTACGCCTGGTGGGGCTGGGAGCGCTGGGAGCGCGAGATCGACTGGATGGCGCTGAGCGGCATCAACGCGGCGCCCGCCTTCGCCGGGCAGGAGGCGCTGTGGCAGCGGGTGGGTGCCGCGCGGGGCGGGCGGGGCGCGGGGGCGGCGCGGGGCTCACCCGGGGCCGTGCAGGTTTACCGCACGCTGGGGCTGAACCAGAGTGAGATCGACGCGCACTTCACGGGGCCGGCGTTCCTGGCGTGGAACCGCATGGGGAACCTGCACGGCTGGGCCGGGCCGCTGCCGCGCGCGTGGCACCTCCAGCAGCTGTACCTGCAGGTATGGGGGGGGGGGAGGCCCCACCCTGGCGTTTCCCGGCCCCGCTCGGGCCGCGGGGCTCCTCTCCCTGCTCTCCCCCCCGCAGTACAGGATCGTGGAGCGGATGCGTTCGCTGGGGATGACCACGGTGCTGCCGGCCTTCGCGGGCCACGTGCCGCCGGGGGTTCTGCGGTAAGCGCGACCGCGGGTGGCCGCTCTGAGTCGCAGCCCTGCGCCCTGCAAGGCCCCGCCTGCATCCCTGCATGAGGCCCCCGGGCCTCGTCCCGCCGCCAATCTCCATCCCGTCCCCGCTCAGGGTCTTCCCGCGCATCAATGCCACGCGCCTCGGGAACTGGAGCCACTTTGACTGCACGCTGTCCTGTGCCTACCTGCTGTCCCCTGAGGAGCCCATGTTCCAGGTGATTGGGACGCTCTTCCTGAAGGAGCTCATCAAGGAATTTGGCACTGACCATGTCTACAGCGCAGACACCTTCAACGAGATGAGCCCGCTGTCCTCTGACCCCGCATACCTGGCGGGCATCACCAACGCCGTCTTCAGGGCCATGACGGGAGGTGGGTCGCTGTGGGGCCGTGCTTTGCACACTTGAGGCCCCACCACAGCTGGCGTTGGGACCGTGGCTGCTGTGCTCACTTTGCTCTCTGCCCGCAGCGGATCCCGAGGCGCAGTGGCTGATGCAGGGCTGGCTCTTCCAGCACCAGCCGGCCTTCTGGCAGCCGCCGCAGGTGCAGGCGGTGCTGCGTGCTGTGCCCCTGGGCCGTATGATTGTCCTCGACCTCTTTGCCGAGTCCAAACCCGTCTACGAGTGGACCGAGTCCTTCTATGGGCAGCCCTTCATCTGGTGCATGCTGCACAACTTTGGCGGCAACCACGGCCTCTTCGGCGCCGTGGAGGCCATCAATCATGGCCCTTTTGCGGCACGGCGCTTCCCCAACTCCACCATGGTGGGCACGGGGCTGGTGCCCGAGGGCATCGAGCAGAACGACATGGTGTACGAGCTGATGAATGAGCTGGGCTGGAGCCACGAGCCCCTTAACCTCCCTGTGTGGGTGTCCCGCTACGCCCAGCGCCGCTACGGGGCCCCCAGCGCCGCCGCCAGCGCCGCGTGGCAGCTGCTGCTGCGCAGCGTCTACAACTGCACCGGCGCCTGCGTCAACCACAACCGCAGCCCGCTGGTGCGCCGCCCGTCCCTGCACATGGATACACAGCTCTGGTACAACGCCAGCGACGTCTATGAGGCGTGGAGGCTGCTGCTGAGTGCCGGCACTGCGCTGGGCTCCAGCCCGGCCTTCCGCTACGACCTGGCCGACGTGACGCGGCAGGCGGTGCAGCAGCTGGTGGGCGATTACTACCAGCGCATCCGCGACTCCTTCCAGCGCCGCGCGCTGCCCGAGCTGCTGGCGGCCGGCGGGGTTCTGCTGTACGATCTGCTGCCCGAGCTGGACGCACTGCTGGGCTCCCAGCGCCTCTTCCTGCTGGGCCGGATGCTGCAGTCCGCCCGCGCCGTCGCCACCAGCGAGCGCGAGGCTGAGCAGTACGAGCGCAACGCCCGCAACCAGGTGACGCTGTGGGGGCCCAGCGGGAACATCCTGGACTACGCCAACAAGCAGCTGGCGGGGCTGGTGCTGGATTATTATGGGGTGCGCTGGAGCCTCTTCGTCTCTCTGCTGGTGGAGAGCCTGAACACAGGCAGCCCCTTCCACCAGGAGCAGTTCAACCAGGCTGTCTTCCAAGTGGAGAGGGGCTTCGTCTACAATGAGAAGCGCTACCCTGCGACGCCCGTTGGTGACACACTGGAGATTGCCAGGAAGATCTTCCTCAAGTACTACCCCAGTGCCAAACAGGGTGGCCGAGATGGGCCCCCCTGATGTGGGATTGTGCCACTCAGAGCCCCCCAGGAGGAGGGCAGAGCCCCCACACCTGAGTGCTGCATCCCTGTGACGCCAGAATGAAGGCGCTGAGCATCAGCGAGAGCGGACAGCATCCCAGATGATGGGAATTGCCCCAGGGGCTGCTGCAGCCTGAGACCTGCTTGATCCTGCCAGCACCCAGCCTGTCCCATGCTGGGCTGCCCACAGAGCGTGGAGGCACAGGAGTACAGCTCTGCTGCCCCACTGGAAGCTGGGTGGTGCCTGGGCAGGAGCTGGCAAAGGCTGGAGCAGCAAAATAGGGGTCCCCGGGGCAGTCTTGGGAGGACTGTGGTGCTCCAAGGGCAGCCCCAGTTACACACAGTGCCTTTGTATTGAAAGAGACTGCCAGGCTCCCCATGGCGGAGTTTTCTCTGCCTTTTCTTCCCAGTGCTGGCGGTCAGCACGAGGGGCTATTAAAGCCCTGGGTGCTCAGTGCCGTTGGGTTCCTGTGTCCGTCTCTGCTGTCCTCCAGCACACCGTTTGTTTCTAATGAGCTGAAGGGAGCAGCTCATGACCCACACAGAGGGAATGTGGGTGGTGTGCAGGGAAAAAGTACCACAGGATGTGGGGCAGCTCGGGGCCATCCCAGGCTGGTGCAGGGCTGGGGGGATTGTGGCAGCAGCGTGGGGTTCTTATCGCCTTAGCTGCAGGTGGCGAGCCTTGAGATAAGTGGGCAGACACAACACGGCGGGTGGGTGGGAGGGAGCCCAGCCTTTAAAAGACCACACGGCCCTGAGTCCAGCACTTTCAGCCATGGAGAGAACCTCGGTGCCCATGGAGAAGACCACGGTGCTGATCACCGGCTGCTCCTCGGGCATCGGGCTGGGGCTGGCGGTGCGCTTGGCAGCCGACGCCACCCGCAGGTTCAAAGGTAAAGGGCTGATGCCGTGGGTGGGGGTCCCAGCACTGCAGGGCACAGCACAGCTGCACTCTCTCCACAGTGTTCGCCACTATGCGTGACCTGGCCAAGGGTGAGCAGCTGCTGGAGCGCCTGGGGGGCCGCTGCCCCGACACGCTGGAGCTGCTGCAGCTGGACGTCACTGACCCGCACTCGCTGGCTGCGGCCGTGCGCTGCATGCGGGGGCAGCACCCAGACGTGTTGGGTACGGCGTCTCCTCTGGGGCACAGCCGGGAGCGGGTGCCAATATGGGGATGGGCCTGGATGGCCCTGCAGCCCTGGGGATGGGCGTGCTGGGGCACAGAGAGAAGGATCAGGGCTGGGTTCCCACATCCCCGTATCCAAACAGTGCTGGGGTTATGCGACACCTGCTCACCGGCACCGTACCCCACAGTGTGCAACGCGGGGGTGGGCTTGATGGCCCCCCTGGAGATGTGCTCAGAGCAGGCCATGAGAGCAGTGTTCGAGGTGAACGTCTTCGGCACCGCACGCACCATTCAGGCCTTCCTGCCCGCCATGAAGCGCCGGCGCGCCGGGCGCATCCTCGTGTCCAGCAGCATCGGGGGGCTGCAAGGTGGGCACGGGGCCGCCCGTGGGGCTGCGGGGGGAGAGACGCAGCTCTCAGCCACTGCTCCGCCCTAGGGGTGCCCTTCAATGCCGTGTACTGCGCCAGCAAGTTCGCGCTGGAGGGGCTGTGTGAGAGCCTGGCCATCGTTCTGCGGCCCTTCAACATCCAGTGAGCGCCATGGGGTGAGGTGTGGGACCCACGATGGGCTGTGAGTCCAGGGGGGCTGCTTTCCCGTAGCATGACGCTGGTGGAGTGCGGCCCGGTGCACACCGCCTTCATGGACAACGCACGGCGCGCCGACCCCGAGGGCCACGAGCTGCGGGCGCTGGACGCTGAGACACAGCAGCTGTACCGCCGCTACCTGCAGCACTGCGCGCAGCTGTTCCTCGACGCCGCCCAGGAGGTGGACGAGGTCTTGCAGGTCCGCGGGGTGGGCGCCGGGTGGGGCTGTGGGGCGCACAGCGGGCGCTGAGCTGAGCGGTGCCGCGATGCAGGTGTTCCTGGAGGCAATCGCCGCCCCGCGACCGCCGCTGCGCTGCATCACCGCGCGGCTCCCGGCCCCGCTGGCGCGGCTGAGGCCGGGCGGTCCCGACGGCGCCGACTACGTGCGGGCCATGCACGACTTCGTCTTCGGCCCCGGTGAAGCCGCCGAGGAGCAGCCGTGAGCTCCCGGCCCCGGGACGGCCTCGGCAATAAAGCCTCGTGCCCGCGGCTGCGGTCCGGCCTCTTGCTGAGGGACGGGGATCGGGCACGGGGGGACGGCACCGGGGCTGGGAGGGTTGTGACATCGGAGCTGCCGAACGAGCGCTGCCGAACCCGGTGCCCCACAACCCCGACCCGCCTCCGCGCCGGCCGCACCGCTCCCGGCTACAAAGCCCGGCGCAGCGCGACGGGGGCGGGGCGGTGGGAGGGGCTGTGACGCGTTCGAGGTCGGTGCGATCTTCCGGCGGGGCGATGGCGCCGTTCCCGTCGGGGCTGTTGGTGCTGACGGCCCCGCTGGGCGCGTTACCGCGGCGGGCGGCGGCGGCGCTGGCGGAGGCGGCGGGGGTGGTGACGGGGCCGCTCTACGTGCACCTGCAGCCGGGGCTGCGCCTGGACGGCCCCGCGCCGCGCCCCGCCGCCCCCCCGCCCGCCGCCGCTCTGCTCCGCGCTTTGGCCGCGCTCTACGCGGCGGCGGCGGCGCACCGGGGGTTGGATGTGCGGGTTTTGCTGGGCCACGGACACCGGCTGGCGCGGCCGCCCCGCGTGCTGCTGGCCGACGGCGGAGCGGGCGACGCGGGGCCGGTGCGGGTGGCTCTGCGGGAGTTGGCCGCCGCCGCCTACGGCTGCCCGCCCGGGCTGCCCGCGCTGCTGCTGAGCGGCTCCGACGGCCCCGAGGCGCTGCCCGACGGCTCCGGCGCGGAGCTGCCCGCGTACTCCGACGTGGCGGTCGGCGGCACCTTCGATCGGCTGCACGGCGCCCACCGGCTGCTGCTCAGCGCCTGCTGCCTGCTGGCACGGCGGCGGCTGCTGGTCGGGGTGGCCGACGGGGAACTGCTGCGCCGTGAGTGCCGGGGAAAGCGGGGCCGGGGCGGGCGCGGTGGGGAGCGGGTAATGCCTGCGGTGATGGTGGTGCTGACGGGCACGGCACTGTGCTCGTGGGAAGGGACGCAGTGGGGGCTGAGGGCCACCCCCGGGCTGGGATCTGGTAAAGCGTCCGGGTAGCTCAGAGGGCTCGGGGACTGCTGGTGGCAGGGGATGTGGGTCAGCACCCGCGGTGGGCACTGATCATGGGGACAGCCCAGACCCTGCAGCTGCTGTTCCTCCCCACAGCCCAGGGCCCTGTGGGCAGGATGATGGTGGTGGCGGTGGGGCACCACTGAAGGGTTCCTGCCGTAGAATCTTTTGCTCTGCTGCTCTCACTGTTCCATCATTGCACGCTGTTGCAGACAAGGTCCTGCGGGAGCTGATCGAGCCCTACGAACTGCGGGCGGCCAAACTGCGTGAGTTCCTGGCAGATGTGCAGCCCGCAGTGCTGTATGACATCGTGCCTCTGGGCGACCCCTACGGCCCTGCCGTCACGGACCCGGAGCTGCGCTGCATCGTTGTCAGCGAGGAGACGCGCCGGGGCGGGGAGGCCGTGAACAAGAAGAGGATAGAGAATGTAACTGGAGGGGCTGAGATCTCTGGGCCCCATGGTTACATTTGGGGGGCTCAGTGGTGTCCCCTCCCGGCAGGGCCTCGCTGCGCTGGAACTCTTCGAGATCGAGCTGATGGAGGACCCCTACCACGGCCACAATGAGGAGGAGAAGATCAGCTCCTCCAGCCTGCGACAGCGCCTGCTCGGCACGCTGCTTCGGCCCCCACGGGTAGGGGGAGCCTGCTGGGGGCTGGGAGCTGCAGGACCAGCGCCCGTCTGACCCTTCCTTCCCCAGGACAGCCCCACGCTCCTCCCCCGCCCCTACATCATCGGTCTGACCGGGGGCAGTGGGAGTGGAAAGACCTCCATCGCCCAACGCCTGGGGCAGATGGGAGCATTCCTCATTGATGCTGATGCGCTGGGCCACGCCGCATACCTGCCTGGCAGCCCGGCCCACGGGCGTGTGGTGGCTGCTTTCGGGGCAGGTAGGGCTGGGTGAGCGGCGGCACCGGCCAGGAGGTGCTGTGGAGGTGTGAGTTGGATCATTTCTGCTCCCAAACCATCTCCCTCTGTCTTACAGAGATCTTGAACAAAGATGGGACAATTAACAGGAAGGTCCTCGGGGCAAAAGTATTCGGAAACCAGGTACAAGCAGCAGAGAGAATGTCAATATTTAACCTCCTGAGCAGGGAACTCTGTGCTGGGGCTTTGATTTTCAGCCCTTTGAGCTGGTGCCACGTTCCTGCTGCAGTGGCATACAGCAAATCAGCAGCCATGCAGAATGCACAGTCCAGGCAGCAGCTGCTGTTGCTCCCCTAGCTGTACCCCCCTCCGTCCATCCAAGCGTGTCCTTTGTGGACCCCCAGGACCTTTCGGAGGACCCCTGACACCACTGTGTTTCCTTTCCAGGAGCGGCTGAAGAGCCTCACAGACATCGTGTGGCCAGAGATCGCGCGGATGGTCAGGGAGCGGATCGGAGAGGCGGGAGCTCAAGGTAACGGGTGGCTGCGAGGAGCACGGTGGGCGCTGGGTGCGCGGTGCTGTGCTGCTCTGGGGCAGCTGCCACTTTGGGCAGCACTGGGAGTATTTTCCATGCTCACAGCTGCTCTTTGCTGGGGATTTTCACTCCCCTGAGTGCATTTGTAACTCAGACTTCCTGTTCTGAAGTGGAGTGGACGTTGTCTTCTTTCTCCTACGCTACTCGACATCCCTTTTTGGTTCAATGCCCAATATATAAATAGCGAGCATAGTGTGTGCAGAATCATTTTCTTTGCTGGGAGCTCAATGGGCATCTCGCTACGGGCGTCGCTTTGCAGCGGGCACCTGCACACATCGGGCACTGAGCCGCTGCCCCTCCCACGTGAGGTTCTGTGGGGTTTGTTCGCTGCCGGCGGTGCAGGACGGCGTGACCGCGAGTGGCTGCATCGCCCCCCGGGGCCCGCGCTGCCCTGGAGTTGCCAGGTGACGAGGAACGGCTTCGTTCCGTAGGAAAGGCTGTGGTCGTGCTGGATGCCGCCGTGCTGCTGGAGGCCGACTGGCAGGAGATGGTGCACGAGGTGTGGGCGGCCATCATCCCCGAGGAGGAGGTGAGTGAGGCCCGCTGGCTGCCTCCGGCCGCACGGCCGTCCCCGTGAGCCCCCGGTGTCCCCTCGTGGTCGTCGCAGGCCGTGAAGCGCATCGTGAGGAGGGACGGGCTGAGCGAGGAGGCTGCCCGCAGCCGGCTGCGGAGTCAGATGAGCGACAGCCAGCGGGTGCAGCAGGCGCAGGTGGTGCTGTGCACGCTCTGGGAGCCGGAGGTCACCCGCAGGCAGGTGAGCCGCGGGCCGCTTCCGACGGCACGGGAGCGGAGGGGGGGGAACGGGAGCTCGGCGGCGGGGCTGCCGCCGGTCGGAAGCGCGGCAGGGAGGGACGGGCGGCGCCGAGCTCCGCGTGCGGCGCTGCTGACGGCGTTTCGTCGGCAGGTGGAGAAGGCGTGGGAGCTCCTGCAGCAGCGCCTGAGCCGCGCGCCCGCGGGGCCGCCCGCCAACTGAGCGCCGCCGGACGGGCGAAGAGCGGCGGCCGCCCCGGCACCGGGCGCGAGTCGGCACGGAGCGGCCGGAGCCCACGGGGCGGGGAGCGCCGCCCGCTGCGCCGAACGGACCGGGAGCGCCTCGGCTCCGAGGGCCGAGCCCGACCCGCGGAGGGGCGCGCCCGGCTCCGCGCACCGCGAGCCCGCGGCCGAGGGGCGGTTAAAGGGCGGTTCCTGTCTCTCGGTGTCCGTGGCTGTTTGTGTCCCGTTTCGCCGCGGCGCTGCCCGCAGTCGGGCGGGGCGCCCTCCGGCGGTCGGGAGGACTGCGCCTCCCGGCGGCCCCCGCGGCGCTCACGTGACCGGGGCGGGGGAAGATGGCGGAGCCGCCCGGCGCCGCGGCGGAGGAAGCGTGGGGGAAGGTGAAGGCGGGGTGGGCCGAGGGCGAGGGGTTGTCGGCGGGGGCGGCGGGCGGCCCGCGGGGGGCGGAGGCCCGGGGTGCCGCCCTGCCCGCTGACCGCCGCCCTCCGCCCGCAGGTGGACGCCGCGTACGGGGACAATGGCCCGGAGCCGGGTAGGTGCCGCGCGGCGGGGCGGATCCCGGGGTCCCGGAGCCGCTCCTCTGAGCGCCGCGCTCTCTCTCCCCGCAGCGCTCTTCATGGACGGCGCGCGGAAGGGCAGCGTCGTGTCCCGCGCCAACAGCATCGGCTCCACCAGCGCCTCCTCCGTGCCCAACACCGGTACGGAGCCGGGGGCGCCGGGCGGGGCGGCGGCGCTCGGAGCTGCGCGCGGGGCTCCGTCGGGACGCGCGGGGTCCTTCGGGTCCTCGGGCCTCACTGCGCTTCTCTCCGCAGACGACGAGGACAGCGATTACACGCAGGAGCACTACAAGGAGTCCTACAAAGACCAGCGCCGCCGGGCGCACACGCAGGCAGAGCAGAAGAGGCGCGATGCCATCAAGGTACCTCAGAGGCACCGCGCTGCGCCTCTGGCGCCTTTTCCCTCTTGTTTTGTGCCGGATCCGCCCCCCTCGGCCGCGTGTGAGCCAGGAGCCGCTTTTGGCCGGGCGGGAGCTGGGATGTGGGTCTGTACCGCGAACTGCCGCTGCCCCGTGTGGTGCTCCGCGCCCCTGAGCCGTGGCTCTGCCCCCTGTAGAAAGGCTATGATGACCTGCAGGCCATCGTGCCCACCTGCCAGCAGCAGGACTTCTCCATCGGCTCCCAGAAGCTGAGCAAGGCCATCATTCTCCAGAAAAGTGAGTCTGAGTGCAGGGAGGTGGGAGGGCTTTGTCTCAAGCCCCCAAACACCTCAACACGGGGATTCTGTGTGACAGTGCCTCAGAGAGCCCTCCTCAAGGAGATCAGAGGGGCCTCTGTGCGCTCACAGCTTCCTACTCTGTATTTTTGTGTTCAGCCATTGATTATATTCAGTTCCTGCACAAGGAAAAGAAGAAGCAAGAAGAGGAAGTTTCTACTCTCAGAAAAGATGTGATGGCCTTGAAGATAATGAAAGTGTAAGCAAGAATTCGGTTGCTGCCCTCTTCTTCCTGCTGTTTTTCCCCATGGTCTGGGTTCAGCGCTTTGCAGGCGGTCTGGCACCTTGGGTCGTACCAAAGCTGTACCACTCTGCTGCTGCTGTTTCTTCTTTGTGGGCTTGTTAGGAGGTCTGACTCAGATCAGTTGGTAGAATTAAGTATGGAGACAGTTTCAAGCTTGAAAATGAATCTGTTTTCAGTGTCAGGAAAGGCTGTAGCTTCCCAGCATTTATTTACTTGGAGGGTCTTCTGCAGATTCGTGGTCCTCTCCATTTCTAAAGCTGTTTTCAGTGTCCAGTTGTTGCTCAGGCACTGGGGAGTACGAGGCTTCATGGTAACACTGAACCGAGCTCTTGCTTTGTTTCAGGAACTATGAGCAGATTGTAAAAGCTCACCAAGACAACCCAAATGAGGGGAAGGACCAGGTCTCTGACCAGGTGAAATTCAATGTTTTCCAAGGCATTATGGATTCCCTCTTTGAGTCCTTTAATGCCTCCATCTCAGTCACGAGTTTTCAGGAACTCTCAGCATGTGTCTTCAGCTGGATTGAGGAGCACTGTAAGCCTCACGTGAGTACAGCAAACACGGGTGGGTTGATGCAAGGGCAGAGAGTGTTGTGCACAGCTGCACCTAGCTGGAGTGTAGGCCAGTGTGTAACTTTCCTTTCTCCTGGGGCTTCAGAAAGGCAGAGTGTGGCTGACACTGGACTGTGGCATAGGAGCTCAGGTCCCTCTCATCCCCAGCTGCTTGCTGAACTGGTTTTGTAGTGAAAGCCAGACAGTGAAAAACAGAGTTTAGAAAGATGGTCCTTGTTCCCAGCACCGTGTTCCCTAAGACACCTAGAAGTTTGGAAGGAATTAAGCCTTTGATAGAAGTGAGTTGTATGGGCAGGGCCAGGTCCTTGTTGTGCTGTGACTGCATGGAGCCCTGCAGCCTGAGAACATAGACAGGTGATCGTTTCCCATACATGTTCTGTGATCATTGGCACCAGGTGTGCTAGCTGTAGCATTGAGCCTGGGAAGGACTCTTTCTCCCCCAGACAACTGACTGTGTCTCCTCTCTGCCCCAGACTCTACGGGACATTGTCATCGGGGTCCTGCACCAGGTAAAGAGTCAGCTATACTGAGCATTCCCTCACTGGAGCACCTCCTGACCGGGTGACAGATTCCAGGAGAGGCTGGGCCATCTTCCTTGTGGTTGTCCTCAAAGCTTCTCCGATTATTTATTGTCACTACAAAACCAAAATAAGGCTGTGCAAACATCTCTGCTTCACAGGTACTGTCACAGTCAACATCACCAAATACTGCTAAGGATTTAGCAAAGGGAAAGAAAAAAGTGTGTACTGAATACAGATCTTTTAACTTGCCAGTCTTTAGCTCAGGCACGTGTGTTGCAGTTGCGTTTGCCTGTGCCACTGACTCCAAGGCTGCAGCTCAGCAGGTGAAACAGATTTGGTCTGTAACCTTAGACCTGATAACGAACCCTTTTGACCCTGGGAGCAGGGAGAAATAGGAGAGAGAGACCAAAAGCTGTTGGTCTCTGCTAATGCAGATTAGGAATAGGGTTCTCCTGCGACTGCAGGCTTTCAGTACCTCCCTCTGAAGCAGTTCTTAGAAAAGCAAGAGGCTGCTTTTAACTTCTGTAGATGGTTTGGAGAACGCCCAGGAGAACTGAGAGAAGGGTTAGCATGTCACTGCCAGGGAGATGCTTACATGGAACAGCAGTGAGTTCTCGTGCTGGAAAGAGTGCAGTGGGGCTGTGCTGTCCTGACCTCTTCAGTTGTAACTCTAACACCCCTGAATGGGAAAAGGGAGTGAACTTTTTTGCAGTCTTCTCCTGCTTGTACTGGTGAGTGCTGAATTGTGCCTGGCTTCATCTTTTTCCAGGTGGTTATGTGGCTATACTGAACAGAAAAGTAGTTCAGTAGCTGCAGCACAGCACTATGAGTTCTCACTGCTGTTCCTTAGCACCATAATTTTACATGGGTATATATATTTATATACATGTAACCAGCCTTGATTTTATTTTATAGATCACTGAAATCATTTTATCAGTGCCAGTTTTGTAGTGTTAGACTTGTCACACACTGCTGCTGTCAACGTGATTCAACTAAACAAGCACAGTGAGTGCATTGGACAGCATCATCCTCCATGGCATTGATACATACAGCAGGATTTGTTCTCTAATTATGTTCTTGCTACCACTCCATCAGTAGCAACTATTTATTTTACACTGTTTTTCCACTGTAGATGAGGTAATGCTAAATTTCTCAGCTCTGGGTTGCTTGATTTGGATACTGCAGCTTGAGATTTTTTCAGCTATTGCTTCTGTCTGACTTAAATGAAGAAAAGCATTTTGGTGGGGTTGATTTTTTTTTTTTTTATACAAAATTATTTTTCAAGCCTTGTGACCTTTTCAGTATAATACAATAGAAGCCCAAGAGGAGTCAAACCCTGTGGTGTTGCACATAACTGATGACACTTACGGGGCAGACATGTCCCTGGTAGGTGTTGCCTTGTGACGGATACAATACCGTTGTGGATGGACAGACAAGTCAACAGCCACGTGGCACAGCTTAATTTCCCTTAGATGCAACCTCTTGCCTTGTGAGGAAGATGTGGATTTTTACAGACCTCATGTGTGAAAGTGGCATATTTTTCTATTGTGAGAAATAATTAAATAAATTTTGCTGAATGTTTTAATGGCTTTTCTGCTTTTGTTTCTGTTGCTGTGCACGTAAAGACTTGAATGGGATCAGGTTAGAGATGGACACAGTCTACAGCAGCCCAGCCATGGCTGCAGCTGTGGCTCATGTTACCAGCACAGGAGCACCCTCCTGGCTCTTGCCTTCCCCACCAGCCAGGGTTGTTGTGCCCTGAACCATATCCAAGGCCAGCCCTGCTGCCCTCTCAACACAGAAGATGCCACAGCAGAGCACATCTGAAACAGAAGCAGGGTGTTTAATGAATCACAGTCTTGCATACAACTCAGTGCACACTGTGGGAAGCAGTCCCCTCTACGTATAAATTACAGAAATACTGGCCATAATGGTAACTACTTCTTCACCTCTGAGGCACCTGCTTCCTCTTCTTACCAGAACACCACACCTCTAACCCAGTGCTCTTAAACCCTCCCAGCCACTGCCTGGTGAAGACACCCAACCAAAACAGCCTATAGCACTGAAAGGTAAAAAAAAAAAAATAACATTCCCTTGGTACATGAGAAAGGGAGAGGGTCCACTGCTGAGTCAGTTGCTCTAACCACCCTTCCAAGGGCAAAGCATTTTTAAACAAAAATATATAAAAGATGCAGGACAAGCACAAGCCCTGAAAAAAATTACTGAAGAAAACAAATCTAAAACCCAACAACTGAGTTTCAGCATCAGTTCCGCTGCAACGTGCACTCTGTAAAGTAAGGCCATCCATCTGCACCTCACACAGCTGCTGGGAGCGTGACGTTGTGGTCCTCATCGGTTTCTATTCCGACCTCCTCCTGTGCAAGGACAAAGTGCTCCTGTAACAGACAGCTGCCCTGGAGCACAGCAGGCTCAGCTGCCCTGGGACACAGACAGAGGCAGTGGGGCTTACAAAGAACTGCTTCTTGCTTTTGGGGTAACCCTCCAGGATGGCGTCGAGCAGCTCAGTCGCCTGGCAGAGAAGTTAGATGAGATTTGCAGGAGTGATGCTGAGCTTTCTGCCACAGCTGTGGGATACTGCCTCCCATACAGGGAGCCAACGCAGCTGTTCCCACATTATCCCCTGCACAGGGATGCAAAAACTTGTTTTGTTTCCTCGAGAACAAATAAAATAATCGAGAGCATTTCATATTTACACGCTACAGCAACGTGGCCTTTCACAGAGGATCTTAGTACATGTTAGCCCCAGTGGCCCTTGTGGTGGCACTCAGCACAGAGTTCTATTTGAAAGTTACTGATTGTGGAAACTTCAGGAAAATGCTATCCCATAGCCTGGATAAAGCTCCCCAAGATAACCTGCAGATTGTGCCCGCTCCACTGTCACCATGGGTTTGCCACTGACACTTCTGCCCACCCCACGTTCACTGGGGAAACCATTACCATTCGCTTCCTCCTCCGCCACTCCTTGCAGTACAGTTTCTGCTCGCTGCAGACCTGCCAAAGGCAAGGCAAAGTGAGAACTCAGCAGCCGCGCATTGAGCCTCTGTAAGCTCAAAGGCCCAGCTACAGCCAGAGTGTTTTCAGGCAGCAGGACTGATTCCTAAAGCTCTTGCTGGAACATGAACTGCTTTCTGAAGTGAAGCAACCATCAGAGACAGGAAGAGGTTGAATTGATAATGCCTAACGACTGGCCAGAGATTTGCAAGGAAAGGACAGTTCAGGCTATTTGAAGCTGCCACAGAGCGTGCTCCCCACCACAATTCACACACAGGCTCTGCAGGACCCACGTGGGAACAGCCCAGGACTAATGCAGTTTGCTTTCATCCTGGGGTCAGCCAGAACAGGTAAAGCAGCCAAGCGTTTGCTATGAGCGGCCTCAACGTGGACTATGCTGCACATTCCTCCCAACCCTCCCAGCTCTTTACCTTCTCTTTTTCTTCTGGCGTTACTTGGTTGGTAGCAGACTTGATCCTCTCCAGTTTCTCTGTGTAACTGGCGCAGTCCTTCCTCAGCTCCTCAATCTCACGGGCCATGTCCGCGGTGGTCATAGAGCTGCTCAGGTCCTTCGACTCTGGAGGGCAGCGGCGATCACCGGGAGGACCGGCAACCACGGCGCAGCCGCCCGCGGGCGGTGCCGTGCGGCGGGGCAGGAGCCGCGCTCACCTGCCTCCAGCTGCCGGCAGCCCTGCAGCAGCGCCTGCACCTCGGCGGACCGCGCGGCGATGTCCGCATCCAGCACGCGGAGCTCCGCATCGCCGGCGGCCGGGAGTTGCTCCTGGGGGCGGGCGGGCGCTCAGCGGAGCCGAGGGGAGCGGGGCTCGGCCGGGCCCGGGGCTCACCTGGTCGGCGAAGTACACCTTCTGCTTGCCGTAGGCCTTCTCGCGGATGCGGCCCTGCTGCGCCAGCTGCTCCAGCGCCTTCACCACGGCCTGAGCGAGCGCGCCATCAGCCCCGCGCCGTCAGCCCCGCTCACCCTCGGCCCTGCCGCGCCTCGCCCGGCCCGCTCACCGCCTTGCCCAGCCCGTGCTCCCGCTGCAGGTTCCCGAAGACGTCCTGGGCGCTGTACGGCCGGTTCTGCTCCCGCAGGTAGCGCAGCAGGACGGCGGTGGCCCCTGCGTGACACGGCCGCTGTCACAGTGCCCGCTCCGGAGCAGCGACGCGGTCCCGCCCCGCCCCGCCCGCCCCTCACCGCCGCCCGCCGCGGGGCCTTCGCGCCCTTTGCTCATCTTCTTCCCGCGCCCCGCTCAGGCGGTGTGACGCACTTCCGGCGCGACGCACGGATAAGGAGCGGGGCTTCCTGTCCCGGCCCGCCCGCAGATGGTCCCGTTTCGCGCCGCTTCCGGCCGCAGCCCTCGGGCAGTTCCGGTGTGTTTGGGTGCCGTGGAGGCTGTTTGAAGGCCGCTCCTTGACAGACGCTTTTAGTGTTGACTCGCACGGTACGGGACAGCTTTAAAAGGGGGGCTGTGGAATTAAGTAAACCAGCGAGGGGAACCACGTGGTTGTGCGGCTCTCTGAGCTCGAACCGAGCGCCCCGGGCCCGCTCTCTGCCAGGCGCACATACGCTGCTCCCAGAACGTTTCCCCAGCGCCACCATTTTTGCACAGCGCCACCTCCCCGCACCCCAGCCCGGTGCCCGTAAGAGCCTCTGAGGCAAAGAAAAAGCAGCAGAGGAAGTTGAGATGGGACAGCCCTCCCCCGGGAGCTGGTGAGACACGAGTGGGACAGAAGGAGCGAGAGGCCCTCCCACAGAACTCAATTATCACAAAATGAAAGAAGAATCCGAAAATGAAACAAGAAACTTTAATTCCACGAGTGAGTGCTGAGTGCATATTCTGTATCACTCAGCTCTGCTAGGGGGTTGTGACAGGCTCTTTACTTCAGATTCCAAAGTAGGCTGACATTTTATCAGATGACAGCTTGTTCTTGCAAGGCCCAAATGCAGATTTATGCTCGTATAAAATAAAGCCTCCACCTCAGTTATAGCTGAAAAAAAACACCTGCTTCCTTAAATCAAGACAGTCCACGCACTGTATGACCAACACCTTCAGCTAAGCAGATTCAGACCAAAAAAAAAAAAAAAAGCACATAGATGGGAGTTTCCCTGAAGAGGTAAATGATCTGTATCCGTTTCTATGGCTTAGAAAAAGCAATGGGAAAGCTCAATGACTCAGAAAGGGCTGGAAAGCTTGGGCACTCCAGCTTCAAGAATGTCTCTCCCCTCGGGGTTGCTGGTTTGTTTAAGTGACCACAACAAGTAGTTCTTCAGTCACTTGTGACTTGAGCTGCTGTCCTCCATTCAACTCCTGCTGGTAGGCTCTAAACTATACAAAGCTGTGAAACAGCAGGATGTCCTGGAAGCCCAGAACAAAACTGGCCAAGCAGGCCAAGTCTGCTTCTTCCATCCTCCAGAAAATCTCTCCCTAGTAGTTCTCTCGGAGGCAGTGTCAAGGGAAACATTGTATTGCTACTGTCCATGCTGAACGTGTTCTGGAATAACACAGGAAGTTTTTAGCAAATTGTTAGTCCATTATTTTAAGAAAGCAACACAAGTACAGCTGCCACATGTAGATGTTCTTTGCAGGATTCTAGTCTTCACAGTAGATGTCTTATTGCCATTAAGTTTCTTACAAAATAGCATCACTAGAAAGCTTGAACTGGAGATGAGTGGCCAATAAGTCACGAACATTTGTGGCTGTACACCATCACATTCACAAGAGGAGAAAGGTGTTTGTTTCTACCCACAGCTGAATATTGCTGGGAGAGACGAACTGGATTTCTGTGCATGTTTTAGGAACAGGGAATGATTGTCTTAAAGACAGAACAGCATTAAGTCCTAGACATTAAGTCTGAGGGGAAACCAATCCCATTCACCTTATCACGTAACAGCCCCAAGATTGGCTTCAAGATTGTTCTCAGTGATGCTAAGTCAGCCTGATTAGTGGTCTCTAGAGCTGCAGACACCAGACTAATTGCCATAGGTGAGGAAATTTGGAGCATGCAGCATCCTGGCAGGGCAACGCATGAGTGATTGTGGATCAATCACATCAATGCCTTTTCCCTCTGAATTACCAACATAGTTTATTTTAAAAATCCAAGCGAAGCTACAGAGTCACAGGTCAGTTGACTTCTCAGCCAGGACCAGGTGTGTTATCACTCATACTCACACAAGAGACAATCTTGTAAGTAACTGTGCAATGCTTTTTCCTTCCAGGATTCCCCTCCATGATGCACAACAGAAAACCAGAAGGGAAGTGATGTGATTGCTTATTGGCCCCGTGAGCCAGCAGGATCCAGCTGGTTCAGCTCAGACTGATCCAGAAGTTCAAAGTCATCCCCTTCCACATCTGTGTCCAAGTCCAAGCTGGCCGTCCTAAGATAAGTCTTTGCATCTCTGTGGGGATTGTCACTGCGTGAGGAGCCTGGCTGAGTGGTTCCTGACAGTGCAAGTTGTATCATCCCTCTGGTGACAAACCCAGCTATGTTGTTGGTAAGATTCTGTACAGATGGCAGCACACCAGCTTCTTCCTGGTAATAAGGGAGATGTACATCTTCTGTTACTTGTGGGCGGTAAGCCAGACTTGGGATTCCAATGCTGGTGTCATCTTCATCATCTAGGCCAGTTGCTTCTGGGTTTATGGAAGGGAAGTCAGGGAGATCCCTAGCAAAAGACTCTTCTGGGTCACTGTGACCATCCAGGTCTAGAAGAGAAGAATGAACACTTCAAATACACAGCACATGCCAAACACCCTGCAGGCAAGGGCAGCACAGCACGCAAAAGCTGGGCCACTACCTCACCAAGACAGACCGTCTCCTTTCATTTCACAGAAGATCAAACTTGCCTTGATCTTTCCCTCGCATAATGATTCTGGATGCTTGCTTACCTCCCAGCTCACTGTCAAGGAATGCAGATGCTGAACAAGACACCTGCCAGGGGAAAGCATCCTCTCGCTCATTCAACAGATAAGCAGAGGGTGCAGAAAGGTCTTAGAATGGAAGAGCTGGCTACATCTATCGCATAATGACATGACCAGAGGGACAGAGTGGTCATAGTGACAAAGGCTATGCTGCAACAGATCTCTGCAAAGACTAGCAGAGCTGGACCTGCCTTTGAAGAACAACCATCATTCCTCTACTAAAATACCACACAAATTACAAAGGAAACTGTACTGGAAAAAAAAAAAAACAAAACAGGTAGTTTCATCTCATCCTGGCCAGCAAGACAGAGATCAAGCAGCCAGATCTCAAGGATAGAAGGAAACGTGCATCTTTCCTGCAACCCATCACACTGATTCCTGCTCAGTATTTCATATCTTTGAGAAGCTGACCATTTTCACTCACCTTCTGATCCCTCTGTCAGTGGAGTCTGACCTCTTGAAAGGTTAAACATCCCATTTTCAGTGTATGATACCTCAGCGTCTGAATGTTCCGAGTCAGAGATGGTTAGTTCCTTGGCAACCACAGAGTCATCCAGCTTTGAAATAGAAGATACAATAGAAAACATAAAATACTGGAAATCTTGTTTCTGTGCCTCAAGATAAAACATGCAATCCACTGGCTGCCAGTTAAGCCCAGTCCTCAAGGGACACTGGTATCTGAGGCTCATTTCATGCTTTATTGTCTAGCCTAAGAGACCGTAGGTGGTACAAACAGAACTGTTCATCTCTAGTGCCCATTATCCTCAACAGCCAGCTTGGAAGTAACATTAAGCTGAAGCTTGCAGCTGAGCACCTGAAAGTTCTACCTGATCTCTCCATGTCTAGAGGAGCAAGATTGGAGATAGAGGTTTGAAGGGGAAGACATTTCAGACTTCACCAGTGTATAACACCAGTGTATGTTACAAGGTGTAACATACTTTAACAAGACAGAATAATAAAGAATAATAATAATAAAAGAAGAATATCTTCATCTAATTTTCCATCACAAGGCAGCTGCAACATACTGGATACAGTGCTGTGCACTGCATGACTACACAATGCAGACAGTTTGTTCTTGTTAGCTGAGCTTTCCTGTTTCACAGACACTTTGTTACCTTGGGACAGAAAGCAGCAAGCTCCTCTTCACTGTCACTCCCATCATCCGTACCCTCCTGATTAATGGATCGGCGACGTACTGCCAGAAACAGAGGCAAACTTTATTACTGCTGTTAGGACAGAGGTCTGTTTTGTGCAGAAAACACAGAATTGGCAGACTGGGACGTAACACAGCATACTTTGTCAACACAGCAATATGATCATTTCTGACTTGGGCTGCTGCAGATATTTTGCTGAGATGTTTTGCAGCAACCTTAGCCTGAAAAAAGAGGAAGGACTCAATAGTACTGCAATGCAGAACAAATAGTTCTGTCCGCTGAGAAAAGGCACAGTCCAGCACTATGAACAGCTTACACCTAGTGCTCACTACCTGGCAGATTCCTGTGGAGGCAGAGCTGCCCTGCTTCCCTGCCAAAGCCATTGTAAGTATTTGCTAAAGGCACTGGAATGGCTGCCTTTCGAGACATGCAGCACTATCCCACTCACTCCAAGGACCAGGGGCTTTAGTTGCATGTAGTTTCAGGTATCAAACATCAGTATCTGAAGGGTTAGAAACACACTATGGTAACTTACATTGCTTTTCCCGCTGCTTTGATATCATGTAGCCTCGAACACTGAAATCCAGCCGCTGCAGAGCTGGCTCCAGCTTCATGTACACACGGTGCCCCAGCCTGTGATACACAGCAAGAGGCCACAGCAGGATGAAGAGCACTGAGAGAAGAGGGAATGCTGATTAGAAATTATACAGGGTATTACTTGGCAAATATCTTACCCAATTTGTGAGTCAGTATCACATGCATACAGAATAAAAGATCTGAGCACAGAAGGTGATACTGCAGAAGGCAGTTAGAACGGGTGCAATCATCTCTGCCAGTTTAAGAAAACAGACCATCTCTTCAGTGCTCAGATCTGTAATTAACAAGCACTCAAACATGTTCTGTCTGAACCAGAGACCTTAGAGTCCTGGTCAAGAATCAACATATTCTAGGCAGAATGTATTATTTTAAATTTAAAGCCACTCACACAGGTTTTCCTTGGGAGCAGAAAGCACTATCCCTCAGACATTCAGGTCCTGTATATCTCTACCCCTTTTTCATTTTAAGGTCTGTATTTGGCATAGGGTTCTTCTACTTACACAGCAAATATGAGAGCAGGAGTCCAGGGATATACCGGCCCAGAACAGCCAGGAAAGTAAAGACTCCACATACTAGAAGGCAAAACTGAAGACATGGGAGACAGTGAGTTTCCAAGGTTAAGTGATGGAATTACTCACTTCTTGACCATCTCGCTCTCTGCAGAATTCTATGTAAAGTTCTAACTCTTAACAACAGCAAAGCCTTCCTAGCATTTAGCCACCCCATTCTAGGATTAGACCAGATACAGGAAGCATCTGTTTCAGAGCAATAGGCAGCATACAAAAGCTTCTTGCTTCAGAATATAAGGAGCTTCCAAAGCAGATATGCTAAAAGCAAAGAAGAGGTTGAAGAAGATAGAAGTCTTTCAAGGTGAAGAATACTAGCACAGTTGCAGGTTCCTCTCTGCATGAGTCTCAAAACAAACAAATCTTTCTCAAACTGTTAAAATCCAGTGAGGAGATACATTTGATAGACACCTGAAAAGCTAGAAACCTACAGAAGGTGGGACTGTACTTCCACTTCACTACTACAATCAACATGCCAATACTTGTCAATACTTGTTTTCTCCTCCTTCTTCCATAATCTGCTTTTTCTGCTTTCTATCCCTCTCCAACACTTAATAGTCGTGTCTTTCTGGGAAACTTTCTGTAGCAGTCTCCCATGCTTGGAACATACTCAGTCAGTGCTGAATACCATCACAAAGGGATGCCAGCAGTCAGCAGAATGGACACCAACTATCTAATTTATTAAAATCTATAAATTCTCACCTTGCCAGGGCTTTGCCTCTTGAAAACAAAGAGATTATTTAAGAAGTTGGTCCAAGACACCCATCCTTCAGCCAAATGGTGACACAGTTCTGGCACTCCAAGCAACCGAGGGTGGACATATCCCCAGCTGCAGTAAAGGTAAAAATTCAGAAACAAATATTACTGCACTGACTTCAGCGTAAAAGTCACTTGCTGTGAATACTTGTCTCAGCACTACCTTCTCTTCCCCCCCTAGCTGCCAAGCTCTAGAGATGCAGATCAGCCTGCCTTTCAAAACACCACCTTGCCGAAAGCAGCACTTCTACACCCCACCCAGGCATCTCAGTTCCTCCGTAGCAGCTAAGGAACAGCAATTTGAATCATTCATCCACTGTCTGAGACTGGAGTTTTCATGCTATTGGAGGGAAAGGGCTGTGCAGAAGCAAATCAAGTTAACCCACTTGCTTCCTCTACATCTATTTGGTCAAATGCAACTCCCAAGAATTCAACATGAGGTTTCCAAGCAGCTTTGTGCCTTACTTAACATGTCTGACTACTTCAGAGGCATTATCTTTGGTAAGTTCTACTAGTGTTTCTTAACTGCTAGACACAAGTACTTGAAACTTAAGAAAAACAATCCCTTTTGTATTTGGGCCTCTTGCAAATACAAAAAACAAACAAGCCAAAACAAACAAAAAAAACCCAACAAGGAAGTCATGTGGCAACAGCTTGAGTGATTTAAAAAGGTGTTGAGCATCCAGTATGGCTCAGCAGCATAAGCAGGCAGAAAGGTGTGCCCAGAGATAGAAAGGTGTTATTAGTAAGAGAACACCCTAATGTTTCACAACCCACTATTAATACCGCAGTCAGATCATAACTATGCTCTAACAATTCCTGGGGCATGCCTCTTTAAACATTCCATATCCAGGCTCAGAAGATATATTTATTTATAAGAAATAGTAAAGCAGCAAGTTGTTTTCCTGCTACTGGACACCCATACAAAAGGAACTGTTTTTAAGACAGCACCTCTAGCTTAGGGGTGGAAGGGGATAGAGCAGCAGAGGTTTTACAGTGCTCAAGCAAGCATTATTGTATGCCAATGTAAAGGCAAAGATTAATGGTTTGGGCAAGTCAAAAACCTGTCACAGCAGAATGACAGAGTCCAGGGCTCCATTCTCCCTCCACCAAGCAGTTTCCTTCTCTCCTTTCATGCCCCCCTTAAAGAAGCCAACATTACAAGCACATGCAGCTAATTATTACATAGTATCACAGCAAAGTACCAAATAGCAGAGAATTCAATTAGTTTCCTACCTCTCATTGTCTAATTCGTCAGGTCTTGTCACTAAAATATTAAGAATAGACACTACGTTAGTTGCAAGGAATTTGCCGTAAGAATGCTTAGCTTTGGGGATTTAAGTAAAGCTTTAATGAGCTGGAACATGTCTGAAAAAAGACATTAACTGTTATGAAACAGATGAATCACTCTATAACACATTTTAAACATGTACATGATACAGTACAAGACTGCAAGAGAGCTTCCTTGTTGCCTCCTTGAGCCTCCTATGACATCCTACAAACAGATGCTATAGTCAAGGAGACTTTTTCATTATGCATTAAGAGATCACCAAGTTTCTACCAAGTAAAACACATGGGAGAACTCAGAAGATTACGAGGCAAATGCTAGCACCACAGATGTGAGAAACTCCTATTTTGTATGGGTCCTTATTTGTATGGGTCAGGATTTTCCAGAGTGACTCCAGGAAGCACATGCCCACAATACTCTTGCGCATGCTTCTAGATTCACAAGTAACAAGAAAAGTCCTGGATTCTGCCTGCTGAACTCCAAATGCTGAAGGCAGATCTGAAAACAGTGCTTAATTTTCTGATAATAATTTAAGTGTTGCAACTTACCTCCAACTTCAGGCCAGATTTTGTTCTTCCACTGATCCAGACAAACTACTATTATAAGAGTAAACGCAACCAGGAACACCAATCGGAGAGAAGTCAGAGCAAAGAACCTACGGTGAAGAAATGAACAAATAAGTGACCAGCAAGATCTGTGACATAAGTGAGAAGGGTTTCACAAACCCACTGCAGAACTCACGATAGCTACAGGCAGAGAAAAGCAAGCGGCTGCTTATCAGCCAGCCCGCCCTCGGCGAGCAGCTTATCTCGCAGCACTGCAGACTGCCCCACCGAGCTGGAATTCGCAGCCTGCCCGTCCCCTGCCGCCCCATCGCGCCGTTCACACAGCAGTTCTGTTTTTGCCGAGCGGTTTTACGCTTTAGGATTAGGTGGGAAATGCCGAAAGGGATAACGCTCAAGTAGGCAGCAGCGCTTGCAGGCTCCCTCCCGCGTGCCGACAACCCAACCCGAACTCGCCGGCCCGCAGGTCGGCCCGCACCCCGACCACGAACCGGAGCGCCCCGCCGGAGCTCGCACCGCCCAAACCCGAGAGGCGTCCCGAGCCCCGCGCCGCTTCACCGCGGCGACGCTCCGCCGGAAGCTCCCCGGAGCGGGCGGTGCCCGGCACGGAGAGGCCCCAGGCGGCACGGAGAGGCCCCAGGCGGCCCGGCGCGACCCGCCGCCGCTCACCAGAACAGGCCGTGCGCCGCCGCCCAGCACAGCGCGCTGCGGCCCGGCCGCTCCCACACCAGCGCGGCCTGCGCGGCGCTCAGCAGCCGCTCGTAGGGCCCCAGGCGGCTCCGCAGCGCCGCGCTCAGCTCCTGCACTCGCCGCTGCCGCTCGCCGGGCCGCGCCGCCGCCGCCGCCATGGCTCCTTCCCGGCATCAACATCCGGCCGCCGCCGACATGGCGGCCCCCAGCGCCGGAAGCGGGGCGGCTCCGGGCGCCGCCATCTTGGCAGAGGCGCCGTCACCGCCGTCCGCGAGTGCGCACGCGCGTTTCCAGGGCGCCGCGAGGGGACGGAGGAAGCGGGAGCGGAAGTGCGCCGCGCTCACGCGCAGTGCCGTTGGCGCCGAGTGGGAGACGGCGGCTGAGCAGCGGGAGCGGAGCTGAACGGAACGGAGCGGCGGGCGGCATGCCGCGGGAGATCATTACCTTACAGCTGGGCCAGTGCGGCAACCAGAGTGAGCGGGCGCCCGAGAGCGGCGACGGGGCCAGGACGGGGCAGCGCGGTCCGGGCGGGGCCGGGATGCTATGGGGACGTGGGCGGGGCCTGGCGAGGGAGGGGGCGGGGCCTGGAGGGGGCGGGGCCTGGAGGCGGGGGTCGCTGACCGCCGTCCCCGCAGTTGGGTTCGAGTTCTGGAAGCAGCTCTGCGCCGAGCACGGCATCAGCCCCGAGGGCATCGTGGAGGAGTTTGCCACTGAGGGTACCGACCGCAAGGACGTCTTCTTCTACCAGGTACCCACGGCTCCCCAGGGCTGCTTCGCGCGTAGCGGAGGCAGCCGCACTGCTGCAGCCCCATTTGGGAATGGGTGGGTGACACCTCGGGCTGTTGCTGGAGTGGCAGATGGAGCCCTGTGCTGCTGCCAGGGCTGTATCCGCACGCTGGTTCCATGTTCTGGATGTGTCACGGGGGCTGGCGGAGGTGGAAGCGTCGGGCTCAGAGTGCTGCAGGCAGTGCATCACCAAACGGCAGCAGGGCTCCCCCACACCCGGCACTCGGGGTGCTCTGGGGCACGCCAGGAAGTGATGGGCAGACAGCACAGAGCGGGCCGCGCCTCCTGCGCCCCGCATCGTGCTTGCTTGTGGCCAGGAGGTGGCACGCTCAGTCACAGTTTCTCTTGTGGTGAGGAGCTATACTGCGTGCTGACCTTACTGCTCCTTGTTAAAGGCAGATGATGAGCACTACATCCCGCGAGCTGTGTTGCTGGACCTGGAGCCCCGAGTCATCCACTCCATCCTGAACTCCCCTTATGCTAACCTCTACAATCCAGAAAACATCTATCTGTCTGAGCATGGAGGTGGAGCCGGGAATAACTGGGCCAGTGGCTTCTCACAGGTAACAGGCCCTGGTGCTCCTGTATATGAACAGAGCAGTTATTGAGGCTTTATTGTGGCCTTTCTCATGTCAGGCTCAGCATGCACTTTCTGCAGAATTCTGTGTCATTCAGCAGAGACATAGGACTGACTGTGGCACCCTGGGTACAGGATCCCAGTGCACATCCAGCTTGGCTTCATGCCCAGCTTGATAAGCTCTGCACTGTTTTCTGTGGGAGATGAACAAATCCTGTTATGGTCTCTATTGCAGGGAGAAAAAATCCATGAAGATATATTCGACATAATAGACAGAGAGGCTGATGGGAGTGACAGTTTGGAAGTAAGTACGTTGGGAGCTTTAGATGCTCCTACCTGGCATTTCAGAGCTGGACTGCTGCTCTGTGAGGTTGAGCTCAGTCCTCCAGTGCATACAGAATGGCTCAGCTTGCTTCTGGGTGCTGATGCAGGCAACGAGTACAGAGGGGAGCTGGGAAAGGGAGATCTTTTCTGTCACTACTACATTTGCCAGGCTTCCCCAGAAGTCATCTTACTATATGCTCAGTGGGGCATTTTTCTGCCCAAAACACCGATGGCATTGGGTACCTCCAACAGAATACAGTCTGCAGGAGGAGTTTCAGGCATTATTGTGCTTTTTTCTTTCTCTGTTCCACCTCCTTCCTATGGCTCTCTCTTTCATCAATTGCAGAAGTGCATGCACTGCCCTTTTGGCTTGTTCTCCAATGAAGGTCTATGTGGGCAAAAGGGAACTGCATGGAAATGAGGCGCTTGGTGCTCCGTGGTGCCTGCAGCAGCAGAGAGAGCCACAGGGTGCCTGTAGAAAAATGCTCAGAGTCAGAGTTGCCCAGTGCTCCAAAATCTACAGATAAACATGGGGAGCTGCAGCTTCATGTTCTCTTTAATTGGATTAAAGAGGCATCGGGGATACCAAAAGCCTGGATAAAGCTTTGGGGTTTCTTTGCCTTGTGCCTTTGGCAGGACCTTGACTACCATCCAGATAAAACCATTTCCTGTATAGAAACAGACAAGGCTCCTTGGTGTTTGTGTCAGGCTGTCACATGGCAACAGGGAAAAGGAAAATACTGTCATAAAATAAGTTGGCAGAAAATCTAATAGCAGATCGTGGGATCTGCAGAAAGCAGGGACTGTCCTAAAGTCAGGTAGAGGGATTTTGGCCTCTGAGAGGAGGTCACAGGGAAAGGGCTGAGAAGATCTGCCTCCATTTAACATGACCATCTGGGTGCTGAGAGCAACATCTGAGCTATTCTGAACTCTCTGTAGTGGAGTGGGAGAACTCCAGGAGGCTCCTGAGCAGTGGTTGTGGCATGTGCAGAGAAGTAGAATCCTCTCACGCTGGAGAAGTGGTGTGATGAGCTTGTGGTTGTCGTTGCAGTCTGGAGGAGCCAGGGCTAATCTCCACGTGCTTTCAGCTCCCTGCTTGCAGCAGTATTGCCATGGGGAGGTTCTCTACTCTGTCTTCTCTTGGGGCTGAATTGGACCTTGAGCTTTCTGCATTCTGCTTCCTTCCAGGGATTTGTGCTTTGCCACTCTATTGCTGGTGGAACAGGCTCTGGGCTGGGCTCTTACCTCCTCGAGAGACTGAATGACAGGTGAGTGTTCAGCCTTATCCCCTTTCTGCACCGCAGTCTGGCCCAGGCTGGGCACCCTGCCAGAGCAGAGAGCTGACTCAGAGCCCAGGCCACCACCCCCACCCAAATACTGTCTTGTGCAATCCCTGGCAAACTGCCCAGGGAAGGGATGGCTCCTAATATGCCTGTGGACTACAGAGGCTCTGAAGCTGGACTTGTGCTGTCCAAGCTGTGCCATCCTTCAGCCATTCTTATCAGGCCTTCTGACACCTCGACTCTACTGTGGAGGGTGGGAGGCTCTGGTTGTACTTCTGAGCTGCCATCCCTGCCTGTTTCAGCTTGCAGCCTCTTGAAAAGGCTTGTAGGCAGCTGTTTAATCAGCTTGTGGATGGCTCAGCCTTGCCTGTAGCTCTGTCTGGCAGCCTGCTCCTGCACTGCTAGAGTAGGCACTGCTGGGACAAATTCTCTCCCTCCCTGGGAGCTGAATCTGGCATGCAGTGCTGGTGACTCACTGCCGTCTTGAGCCTGGAGACTGAAAAGAGAGCTTGTGGGAGGAGAGCGCTGCCTTGACAATGTTAACCCTTGAGATGGCTGGGCTTTCTCACTAGGTATCCCAAGAAGCTGGTGGAGACCTACTCAGTTTTCCCAAACCAGGATGAGATGAGTGATGTTGTGGTCCAACCGTACAACTCTCTGCTGACACTGAAGAGGCTGACTCAGAATGCTGACTGTGTGGTAAGAGCCCCACTGCATGGCAGCCCAGTAGCACAACCAGCTCCTGTGTAGCAGCCCTGTCCCTGGCACCTCTGAAGTGCAGCCTTTATTGGGGCAGGTACTGCAGCCTCTGAAGCCCCATACACAGCAGCGAGTACATCTCTGTCCAGAAGGTCTGGGCAGATATGGTGGTTCTAGAGACGAGGGCACTGCACTAACCCCTTACAAGCTGTCCTGCTTGGTAGTTCTGCCTCTTGAATCTGGCAGATTCTTCCCACGGCAGCAGTGGGCTAGCTGTGCTTCCTCTGCAGCACTGCCCCACAGCCTTCAGTTCAACTCAATTCCAGCATCCACAGGCCCTAGGCAGGCAAGTCCTAACCAATACTCCTGCTCATCCCTACCACCTTAACTCTGCACATGGCAGGGCAATAACAGCTGTGCCAGTGCTGCTGAAGGTTACTGCGAGGTGCTGGCCCAGAGGCTGTGCTCTCTGGGAGGGCACAGGGGAGCACAGCCAAGTGCTTGCAAGGCAAGAGTTCCCATTGACAGTGTCTGTTACTCTCCACGAATGAGTCAGCTTGTGGTTTCGAGTGTCTGCCACCTGCCACAAAGCACTCTGCTGGGCTGCTGCGCTTGGGACTTGTGCTGGGCCAGGCTGTGCAATCCAGTGCCGTCAGACATGTGGTCAGGGCTCCCTCTTCTCTGGCTGCCTCTGAGAGCCTTCACAGAGCTGTTTTCCTCTTGCAGGTGGTTCTAGATAACACAGCCTTGAATCGTATCGCGACAGATCGGCTGCACATTCAAAACCCGTCATTCTCTCAGATCAACCAGCTGGTGAGAAGGGCTCTTCCCTCTGGAGAAGCTGGCACAGGGCTTCCGTGGTGGCCTGGATTTGGTTTGAGCCTGCTCCATAAGCTTGGCACGATGCTGGACAGCCTGGAACTGTGAACGTGGTTCCTCTGCCCTTCTTTAGGGTGTATTCCGTGGGCACACAGCATCCCTTGACCTAGTTTTTTAAAGCAGGCTTTGAATATGCTCTGTGACTACTTGGTGACCCAGTCCTCTTCCTTCCAGGTCTCCACCATCATGTCTGCCAGCACCACTACACTCAGGTATCCCGGGTACATGAACAACGACCTCATCGGTCTGATTGCCTCACTGATTCCCACCCCACGACTGCACTTCCTCATGACGGGGTACACACCGCTCACCACAGACCAGTCGGTAAGGCAGCCTTCTGGGGACTCCTCCTTTTTCCTGAGGGCACCGTGTAACATCCCATCAATCCATAGTCTTGGCATGAGCTGTAATTGCATGTTCCTAATCCCAGATCCATGTGCAGCCACCTCACGTGACAGCTCAAGCACAACATGAATCAGCCACGAGCAGACAGTTGTGCTTGTGCTGGGCTAAATCGTTACTCCAAACATCCTTGGAATGGCTGTGGCAGCTATAGAGGGCCAATGATATTTGATTTGGTAAAAGTTGTCCCTAGAAATGATCAGAACAAGCCCAGTAAAGCACCCCTGCCAGTCCTGTCATTGCAGCGGATCACAAACTCACACCATTTAGGTCAGAAAGCTATTGGTCGTTGCCATGCCATGGCTGAATGTGGTTTCCAGGTGTCAGCTTCTTCACCAGGGTGCACCCAGGGAGGGTCTGGTTACCCTTCACCTGCATCAAACATTGCCAGTAGTGTTCTGCTTGTTCCCAGCCAGTGCCCCCCCCAGCCACAGGGGAGAATGAGGCTGTTCTGTTTTGAGACACTCACCTGCGCTGGCCGTGTCTCAGTTCTGCTAGGAGCTAACAGCTGCTAATCTCCTCTTGTATGCATTTCCTCAGGATGTTACTCAGAGAAGCAAATATGAAAAACTGCTGGCTCTGAAAAGGGTATCAAGTGTGTGTTCTGTCCTCCCAGAGAGGAGTGCGAGGGGGGTTCATCCAGCAACTCAGAGCCGGGCTGCCACACCACCAAGCTGTCCTTGCCTTAGGCACACTCTTTTGGGCACTGGCCCTGGCACCCACTGAGCAGACTGAAGTTATATGAAGTCTATGCCAGCACTTAGAGACTGCTGTGGCTGCCCACTGGCTCAGTGCAGGGTAGTCCTTCTCCCATCTTCCAGCCTTGCTCCTCTTTTCAGAAGTGGAGCAGGACAGATGGGCGATGGCAATATTAAATATTTCCCTTTACTCTGAGCTCAGCTGAGCTTCACCCCCAGCCCTGGCTGCGTTGCTGGATGGGCAGTTCAACTCCCTTGTGGGAGCCTACACCAGTGCTCCAGCTCTCAGCCTGGCTGTGTTTGTGGTGTGACTTTGGGATTTCCCCATCCTGCATGCAGTTTCGCACGTGGCTCCGTCCCAGGGGCAAGGGCTTCTCCTTCCAGCTGCCCTCTGTTCCTGTGTGCATGTTCAGGGCAGCAGCAGGGCAAGGAAGCAGCACACCCACTGCCTCTGACCCCAGCTGATATTTGCAGGTGGCTAGTGTGAGGAAAACCACAGTCCTGGATGTGATGAGAAGACTGCTGCAGCCTAAAAATGTGATGGTGTCCACAGGTCGAGACAGGCAGACCAACCACTGCTATATTGCCATCCTGAACATCATCCAGGGGGAGGTAGATCCCACACAGGTGAGCTCCCGCACGATGCCATTTCAGATGCTGATGGAAATGGTATAAGAATGGCACAGTCACCATGTTCCTGCTTGGAAATCCCAGAGCAAGGCTGAGGGGTGCCTGAGAACTGGCCCCAGGTTGCTCCTGCATGAGGCTGCATGCCACTTGGTGAAGTCCACCTTTCGGAAGCTGTATGCCCTACAGGGAGCAGCTCCTGGGAGTGCCACAGCTGGGCTTTGCCCAGCACCCTGCTATCCTTTGTTGCTCTCACCCCACCAGGTTCACAAGAGTCTGCAGCGGATCCGGGAGAGGAAGCTGGCTAACTTCATTCCCTGGGGTCCTGCCAGCATCCAGGTGGCTTTGTCACGGAAGTCCCCCTACCTGCCCTCGGCACACCGTGTCAGCGGCCTCATGATGGCAAATCACACCAACATCTCCTCGGTGAGCGCCTTCCCTCTGCACCACAGGCAGTACGCTAGGCCCCTGAAGCTGTGGTTCTGACCATTATTTTACAGGCACGTCTTGAGGCTTTCATAAAGCCACAGTGGCCTACAGATGAGGGGTGGGTAGGCAGTCCCAGTTTGCAGCACATCAGGATCTAGGTTTTCTGGACTGGGGTTACATCCATCCATTCTGCATTCTCTGGGCACATCACCATCCCCTGGTGCATAGGGGGCAAGACTCCCCCTGCAGTGGCCAAAAGCAGCCTGAGGAGCACAAGCTGATCCCAAGCATTGGTGGGGTGCAGGTGGCAGCTCCTGCTCTGCAGGCCTGGTGCTGCTTGAAGCCTGACAAGGCAAGGGCCTTCCCCTGGGCTGTGCAGGCACTCTCAGGAGTCCTGTCCTACCTGACTGCTGCGCTGCTCCCCAGCTGTTTGAGCGGACGTGCCGGCAGTACGACAAGCTGCGCAAGCGGGAGGCTTTCCTGGAGCAGTTCCGCAAGGAGGACATCTTCAAGGACAACTTCGATGAGCTGGACAACTCACGGGAGATTGTGCAGCAGCTGATCGATGAGTACCATGCGGCCACGCGCCCCGACTACATCTCCTGGGGCACGCAGGAGCAGTGACCTGGGGACAAAAGGTCTCACGGCCACTGCCACGTGCTGCAGAGCACGGCTCTGCTGCACCCACGCTGAGCACCACTCAGGCCTCCCATAGAGCTGCCGGTGGATGTGCACACACACACACACACACACACAAGTGTGCTCCTCAGCAGTGAGCAGCACTGCCCCTGCAGGCCCTGGGCAGAGGACAGCCTCCACCACACTGCATGCCCTGGCCCAGGATGGGACTGGGGCAGCCGCTCACTATTCTGAGGGATCCTCTTGCCCTGGGAGCACGCGTGCACTTGGAGGAGGGCAAGAGGAGAACCAGGGGCCTGGAGCGGGCCTGGCCCAAAGGTTGGGCCCTGTGGCTGAGGGCTGTGTGTGGCTGAGCCAGTCCTTGCCCTGGGCAGTGTCCTTCTTCCTCCTTTGCCAGATCAGGCCTGGGCCACAGGCTGCATCTATATTTTTGTAGGTTATTTTGCTTTAATAAAGGCTGTTCCTGCACTGACTCTGCCTGCAGCGAGTCCCCACTGCACTGCAGCACCAAGTAGGAGCCCCTGCAGCAGGCAGCATGCTGCTGGGCAAGTGCTACACCAGAGCCAGAAATACAGGCAGGACCTGCAGTGCAGCTGACCAGGACACCTCCCTGCCCAGCCTGCACTGCACACGTGGTGACGGCGTTAATGTTTCACAGGGGTGAGGCCACAGGCAGGAGGACCCCATTGGGGTGCTGTCCCCACCGCTGCAGCCCACAGCAGAGGGATGGCAGTGGTAGGGAGGGCAAGAGGCTGCCAGCACTGCCGGCCCATGCACAGCCAGCTCTGGTGCTGTTCTACACAAGCAAGCATGCCACCCATGACAGCACGGGGTGCGGGGCTTTGCTGGTAGCAGCCCATGCACAGGCAGCCCAAGGTGAGAATTAGCCTTTTCCTCTGACCCTGTGGCACGGAGCAGCAGGCTAAAAATACTCACAGCCATTGCAGCACTGGGCTCCCACGCCCTCTTGGCATGGGCCCCACAGAGGCGCCCGCAGCAGGGACAGTTCCCCCCCAGCTGGGGTGGCAGTGCCAGCGGGTGCCGGGGGAGCTGGACGCAGAGCTGCGGCGCTGTTGACGAAATGCCAAAGGGCAGCACGAGGAGCCACAGAGCCAGCAGCTCCCTGCCCCCAAGGACATGCTGTGCTGTTCCGCCGTGGACAGGGGCACCCAAGCTGAAGCCCAGCTGCCTGCAGGGATCGGTCCCTGCTGCGCATCCCGAGGATGACAGGGGGCTCAGCCTTCCTTTTGTGCATTTATTAAAAAAAAACAAAACAAAAAAAGAAACAACAACAAAACAAACAAAAGCCCCAAAGACAACTGACCAACTTTACAGAGGCAACGTTGTGGGGCCAAGCCCCAGCCGTACCACTCACCCTGCAGCCCCTGGGGTACCCCTGCACTACCAGCCCTGCTACAGGGCACCACATGGGTCCCTAAGGGCAGCTCAGCTAAAAGCCACCCGCAGCTTTCCAGGAAAGGTGGACTCAGCGGACGGACAGACGGACAATGGCAGTGCAGCTGCCCAGCACCCTCTACCCAGGCAAAGCTACCGGGATGAGGACTGGGGCATGGGCAGAACCACCAGGACAGCACAACTGCTGGGGGCAAAGGCACCAGGGACAAGGGACGGGGACAGGCCTGGAGGGCAGTGTGGGGCGCCAGCCGGGGAAACCAGGGCATAGCCACAGCAGGTACCCACAGCACAGCAGCCCCACTGTCCCTCCAGGGAAAGTGCTCAGAGACGTGGGCAAGCAGGCGTCTCGAAATAAATTAAGGAAACAACCAGAAAGGCAATAGTGGATCAGGGAGCACGTGGCACCTGGGTCCATGCTGACCCACCACTTGCTCTCCTTGTGCCATCCACGGAGCATCCTCTGGCTGCCAGGCTAGCTGCTGAAGGAGCCAGCAGGCACCAGGTGCTGCCAGGACCCGGCTGGAGGGCACAGCCCCCGGGGTCGCACTGCAGCATCAGGGCCGAGGGGGCTGGCAGGCAGCTCCTGGGGCTGGCGGGCAAGGTAAGTGTTGAGAAGCCGGGCAATCTCATCCACCTGCGGAGAGGAGGGACGCAGCTGGGTCAGCCTGAAACGTCTGCAGCCCCCAGACAGAACGGACAGACGGATGGATGGGGGGCCGGACACCTCTCACCTGGGAGGTCTCGAAGAGCAGGTCCTGGTCCTCCACAGAGAGGCGGAAGGTGCTGCTATCGGAGGCCCCGAAGGAGGAGATACGGCTGTAGCAGAAGCTGTCCAGGGGCTCCGGTTCCCCCGGCTTATAGAGCGAGACGGCCTTGGCCCCGACGCTCAGCCACAGCCGCTGGGGCCCGGCGCCCACGGGGCTCTGCAGGGAGACGGAGGGCCGTCAGGGCCACCCCTCCCTCCGCGCACCGCGTCCCCACCGCCGCGCCGGGGCCTCACCGCGCGCAGATCCACGTCGAAGAGCGTGGAGCCGAAGCCGGGCCATTCCCGCACCAGCGCCACGTAGGCGGCCATGGCTTCGGGCCGGCCCATGCCCCGCAGCAGCTTCCACTTCTCCACGATGGCAGCCATGGTGCTGGCGCCCTCCTCCCGCAGGCGGCCCCGCAGCCGCAGGTCCCGCTCGGCGCGCCGCTTGGCCGGCGCGCGCCCCCAGAGCCCCCCGGCCAGCAGCCCCGCGCGCAGCCGCGCCCCGCGGCACTTGGGGGGGAGGTCGGCGCGGGGCGGCGCCAGGCGGGCGCGCAGCACGCGAGGCGGGAAAAGCTCCTCCAGGCGCGGGAACGGCGCGCGGGCGGAGAAGTCGCTGTTGAGGCTCTGCAGGCGCAGCGCCGCCAGCGTCTGCAGCGTCTCCTCCGACGTGGGCACGTAACCCCGCAGCACCATCTCGTGAGCCTGCGGGACGCCGGGGTGAGCGGGGCCGGGCCCGGCCGTCCCTCGGCGCGGCCGCCCGCGGCGCGGCCCCGCTCGCACCTGCTCGAAGAGGAGCGCGAACTCCAGGCTGTCCCGCGGCACGCTGTCCGTGTCCAGAAAGCCGTAGTGCTTGAAGCAGAGCCGGCGCGGCGCGTCCTGCCCCCGCTGCTCCGCGGCCAGGCTGCGGGGGAAGGACGGAGCGTCAGCAGCGCCGGGCTCGCGCACGGACGCGGCCCCGCAGCGCCCCCCCCTCGCGGAGCGCCGGCCCCCCGGCAGCGCGGTGGGACATTTACTTTTCAAACCTGGTGAGGACGTCGGCCAGCAGCGTGGAGCTGCCCACGGGCTGCTCGCGGAGCCGGGACTGCTCATAGAGCGCAAAGAGGTTGGGGCTCTGCGACAGCCCCAGGCGCGACACGAGCTCCTGGGCCACCTGGGGCGAGACAAAGGCAACCAACGGTGACTGCGCGTCCCTGGCCGCGGTGCTCAGGACTGCAAAGGGACACAGACAGGTCACGGCCGGCCCCGCGCCAGCCACCCCCAGCGCCGTCTCCTTCAGCCGCCCCCAGCCCCGCGCGGCGCGGCCGCGGCGCCCACCTCCTCCGCCGTGGTGTGGGAGCTGATGCTCACGCTGCAGGCGGCCACCCCCGGGCAGTGCACGGTGCACACCATCTCCTGCCGCCGCGTCAGCACCAGGATCTCCTCCAGGGATGGCACGCACTCCCGGCCCCGCGTCTTTCCCAGCGCCTCCTGGATGAAGCGGGCGTACTCGGCCATCTCCGAGGCGGGGAAGCGGCTCTCCGTCCTGTGAGGAACACCGGCGGGGTCAGCGCCGCCTCGGGGACTCCGCGCCCTCCCAGCTCCGCGCCCCACGGCTCAGCGGCACTCGCCTGTCCAAGTGGAAGTGCAGGAAGCGCAGGACGGGCGGGGAGGGCAGGAACGTGCAGCTCATGCAGGTGAGCAGCTGCCAGTAGTGCAAGTCGCCCGGCCCGCCCGGCGCCGGTGGCTCCGTGGTCTGCTTCACTAGCTGGCAGTAAATCTCATCCACCAGCGGCGGCAGGTCCAGACAGGTCTGCAGGACGCCCTGGATCAGTGGCACTGGGTCCTGCTGCGACTCCAGCTGCTGCAGAGAGTTAAACAGCTTCACGGCCTCGTCACGCAGCGTGGTGTAGCTGTGAGGACCAGGAGCTGCAGGACAGGAACGGGGATTAAACAGCTGTGTGGGTTTTCCAAAGCGCCTCCCCACCGCCGCAGACGTGATGTGGGAATTCAGACCCAGCCCAGCAGCACGGAACCGCTACGGTACCGCATGCAGCGCTCACCGCTTTGGTCCAGGCTGCCGTAGGGGAAAGGCAGCAGGGGCGCGTAGAGGGGGCTGCTGGTGTAGCGCAGAATGGGGTTGCAGCGGTAGATTTGCTCCAGCACCTCGGGGCTGCCACAGTGCTCCTGCAAGGGTGAGGCGATAGCAGCAGCTGCCACAGGACTGCCCGCTGGGTGCAGCGCCCGCAGCCCTGCGCTCACCTCCACATCGCGCATGAGCAGCTGCGTGGGCGTCTGCACGGGCGCTTTGCTGTCGATCACCTTCTGCACAGCGCACACCCAGCGCACAGCCTCGTGCAAGTGCTCGGTGTACAGGCGGTAGCAGTGCTTCCTGCCAAACACTGTCAGGCTCCAGAACCCTGCGAGGGACACACAGCTCACCTGCCGCCCCTCTGGGTGACAATGCAGGGTGCGAGGGCACAGCCCAGCCCAGGGGCTCCCTACCCGTCTCCTTGTATGTCTGCTTGTCTGGCCACAGCACGGAACAGAGGCTGGTGAGCACCAGGGAGCCCAAACGCTTGGCCCCCCTTTCATTGCTGCTGTAGTAATCCAGGGAGTCGGGCGTCAGCACGAACCAGTACTTGCGAGGCCGCAGCCAGGGGGTCTTCACACCGCCCCGCACCTCCCGTTGCAGCCAGCCTGAGGAGGGGAAGCCTCAGCTCCTGCAGCACCTGCCCAAGTGCTCTGCCCTGTGCCATCCCAGGGCAGCTCAGCCTATCGGGGCACAGTCCTGCCAACCCCGGCTGGGAACCCAGCATCCAAGTGACAGAAGCCCACATGACACTGCACCCACCTTTCACAAGAGCATCGGGGTCCTCCTCCACTGGCCCTGGCCCCTTCTCCACGATGAGACTGCGCATCTCCTCTGACACCAGCAAGGACCTGGGGAACAAGGCAGGACTCAGCCAGATGCCCATGAGAGCATCCCACACAGGGGGAATGGCAGCACCCTGGCAGCAGGGACCTGCGTCCCCAGGGGCTTTGGTCACCCCGCAACTCCGCAGTGGGAACGCAGCAGAGCCATCGGGTGCAGATGACCCTGGCTAAAAATAAGCTGTCTGCAGCTGTGGCCCTGCCAAGGAATTCGGAAAATGAACAACCAGGAAGGAATGCTGGCAGCGGTGTCAGCGCCGCGAGGAAAGGGAGCAGGCAGGCTGCTGGGCCCCAGCACCCCCACTTCCCTGGGCACACAGCAGCCCAGGACAAGGCCCCGTGGGCAGACGCAGCCCTGCAGAGCCCCACAATAGGGTCCTATTGGGTAATCTGCTACAGCTTAGCTGTTTGGCACAGGGGTGTAGATGTGCTTGAGATGTGGCAGACAAGGATGGAGGCTGGCAGTCCTGATTCTGCCATTCCTCCACACCGTGCCTAGCTCCGTGAGCAGGACAGGACGGTGCACACTGGTACCTGCTGGGTACCAGCCCCCGCAGCACGGTGTGAGGGCTGTGATGGGATGTGGCAGGGGGTCACTCACCGCTCCGAGCCACTGCTGGTGCGGGTGGGCTGGCTCAGGCTCACCTCCAGGGATGCCTGCAGAAGAAGGAGAGATATCTCACTCCCCGCTCACTGCCCAGCAGCCCCAAGCCATCTCCCCACAATGACCGCACGTCTCTGGATCCGGAGGGATCGGCTCACATCCCAGGAGCACGCATGGCTGCAGCTAGGGCACCCCTCAGGGCAGCCGCGGGTGCGCTGGCTGTGTATCCTCAGCTCACCCCAGCAGGCTGAATACCGTGCAGAATTGCACAAGGTCAGTGCTGAGTAATATGCTTACGGCACAAAGTCCCATTGTAATGGGGCCGCTGACTTCCTGCCCGCGGCAGTGGGACGCTGAGCAGGGAAGTCCCTGGCCCTGCAGCGGGATGGGGATGGTTCCTCCTTGTGTGACATGACTCCATGTTGATGGAGCCACACACGTGACTGCCCCACGCACATGCTGGGACATGAGGCAGTGTCCCGGTACTGGCCGGCACCACGCCGGGCAGGGTGCAGGGATGTGATGGCACGGGCAGGATGGCCCCAGGAGGTGCACAGGCACTGCTGCCAGCTGCAGCCTGATGGGGGAAGACACAACCAAGTCAGAGCACACTGCAGAACGCCAAGAAAAAGAGACAGCTGCTAAAATTAGCAGTGGGGACAAGCAGCAAGAGCTGCCCCAGGTATTGCCACACCAGGGCAGGATCAGGCACCACTGATCTGTGGCATTAAGGGCACCCACCATGAGCAGAGGCACTTTGTGCACGGGGATGGTGTCACCCAGAGCTGTGCCACCCCTCGGGCGAGGAGGGCTCTGTGTGCTCCTGCATGGCTGGGCCATGGGGATGGTGCCCAGCACCTCTCACGACCCGCAGGACGGCTCCTTCTCAGGGTTATAAATAACCAGAGAGGAGCTGCCACGGCCAGGCCAGGACAGCTGCTCCCACGCTCCCAGGAAGAGGCAGCCACACCACAGGCTGACGGGGACCCCACAGCCACAGGGCGGGCAAAGGGCTCCCCAGGGACTTGGCGTCACAGCCACACACGCCAAACTCAACCTCCGGAGCCAGCGCAGCCCGTGGGACGCAGGAAGTCCTAGAAGGTTTCTTCTGCTGCTGTGCCCTTGGCACCAGCTCTAGTGCCCAGCAGGCCTATCTCCAGCCCTGCCTCCCTACCTCTGCCCTGGAGGTGCTGCTGAAGGTATCCCTTGAGAGCCAGGATCTGCTGCAATGGAGGCACCAGGGCTGTCCACAGCCCTTCACAGTCAGAGCACCCCAACAGCAATGAGATCACACTGCAAACCCCAATGCAGGCCAGAGAGGGGCTGCAGTGAGCTCGGCTGCACCCACCCCCACACCCCCACCGGGCAGCGATTCAGCCCCGCAGCTCCCAGCCTCCCCCCACTATCCCTCGTGCAGCCTAGCAGGAGGGAAGCATTGGCTTCCGCCGCGCTGCTCCGCTTCCCTGAGCAGAGGAAGCAGCCAGAGCGGGGAGATCTGGAAGGAGAGATGTGCTGGGAGCAGCCCTGCAGCGCTGCCCGGACCCAGGGCTGCGCAGAGCCGATGGGGACCCCTGCACCAACCTCACCCTCGACCGCAGCACAGAGTGGGATCCCGCGCCAGGCTCTGGCTCCACAGCTCTGCCCCGAGAAGCAGGCACGGGAAGCTCCGCTCTCCACCCAGACGCTTCGGGTTTGGCTGCGTCCCTATCACCCCATGGGCGCTCCGGTTCCCCCCGCGCTGCCAGGGCACCGGGAACAGCCCAGGGGGCAGCAGCCAACGCCACGGCGCACGCGGCACCGTAGCGGCGGGTACGGCCCCACAGACAGGAGCCACGGTGCCAGCCCGGCTCGGCCACACGGCCGGAGGCAGCTCGGGCTTTTGGGGCCCGCGGAACGTCCAAGGGTCCACGCGCAGCCCGAAGTAATGGGAACGTGGCGCCCGGCCCCGCGAACTGCGAGAAAAGCAGCCAGGCTGCCTCCCCCAGGGAGGGCGGGAGAGACTCTGCGCCCGGGGACCCCAACCGTCTCCGGCCCGCGCAGAAGCGGACCCCGAACACCGGGCAGACCCGGGCCCCGATCTCTCCACTCGGGCCGACGTCCCCGCCGGCACCGCGGCTCAGTCGCGGGAAGCGCGCGGAGCTCGGCACGAGCCCGGCCCCCGGCGGCCAGCGCTGCCCGTCCCGCTGCCCGCCAGCCCCGGCGGCTCCGATCCCAGCGCCCCGCAGAGGGGACGCGCCAAGGGCAGCCCGGCCCGCGGGCCCCGGCGCACCCCGAGCGAGGGGAGGACGTGCCCGGGCAAGCGGCGGCAAGGAGCGGGGCCGGGCGGCCGCTGCCGGGAACCGCCGGATGCGCTCGCGGCGTCCCGGCCACCGGGCCCGGCTCCGAACCCCCTCGGCGCGGGCGGCCCGCGCGGCGGGTCGGGATCCGGGCCCCGCAGAACCGCGGACCGGGGCCGCGCAGGGAGCGGGGCGGGTGCAGCGCGAAGCAGCGCGGTGCGGGGCGGCCTCGGGCCGAACAGAACCGAACCGCGCGCCGCGACCGCTGGCGTCTGGTGCCGCTCGGACCCACCCGGTCTCCCTGGGCGCGGAGCTCGAAGGACGCCTCCTCCTCGGCCTCGCCGTCCGCCTCCCGCTCCGCCTCGCCGTAGTCCCGCCGCAGCAGCGTGAAGCCCTGCCGGCAGCACAGCAGCCACCAGAGCCCGCCGGGGAACGGCATCGCCCCGCCGGGCCCGGCTCCCTTCCCGCGTCGCGCTCCGGCCGCCGCCGCCGCCGCCCCGGGCGGGCCGGTCCCGCCGCGTCACCGACGTCCGCCAATCGCCGCGCGCGGCCCGGGGCGGAGCGAGGCTCCCGGTACGACGGGGCCGCCGTTTGCGTCATCCGCCGGACGGGGGCGCGCGGCCGAACGGGGCGGCGGTCGACACCGGCACCGCGCGGTGGGCGAGGGCGGCCGTCGTACCGCTTTGCGCCGGGGCTGCGGCGTGGTCCGGCCTTGGCAAAGCAGCGCTCTGCGCCGGGCGGGGAGCCGCGGGGCGCGTGGTGTCGCACAGCGGAGCTGGCAGCGGCACAGACGTGGAGCGCGGCGCCGCGTCCCGTCCCGTCCCGTCCCGTCCCGTCCTGTCCCGTCCCGTCCCGTCAGCGCGCCGCAGCCCCGGCCCAGGAGGGCCCGGAATGCCGGTGCCGCCTGCAGGGCGCAGCTCCCATGTTGCACGGAACGACTCTCCCCCATCCCACCCCACTTCCACCGGCGCGGCCCTTTCACCCCTCGGTGTCACGGGCACGTTTCGTGCTCTCACAGCCGCGGTTGCACCGTGTGCACGATGCGGGCGCGGGGCCACAGGCCGTCCTGCCAGCGCCGTCACCTCGGCGCGGCAGCGAACGCGGCTGCTGCAGCCCCGGAAGGGTTAAACCATCCGCCCGGCCCTCCGGGAGCCGCTGGGACCGGGCCGTGCAGCCAGGAGCCGCCAGCTCGCCTCCCACGCACCGCCAGCCCCGAGGGGCCGCGGGGAGGGAGCGGGGCGGCTGCGGGGCCACTTCTGCGGGGGCAGAGCAGCAGCTCCGGGACCGGCATGGTGCTCGCGGTGCGGGGAGATACGGCGCGGCCGTGGGGCAGCCCGAAGCTGGGCAGGGAGCTGGGAGTGCGCGCGGCACGGGGTCGGTGCAGCAGAATGGGGGCTGCGAGGGGATGGGGGCCCTACGGTGCTGAGTCAGCGGTAATTGCGTTTCCTGCCCAGAAGTAGGCGAAGGGTCTAAGCTTCCCAGTATGAGCTGGGCTGATCCCAGAGCGTGTGCGTGAGCAGGAAGAGGTCTCCAAACCGAGAGATGGGGAAGCATCACCCCACACACAGCAGAAACCCTCGGTGTAAGAGCCAGAGGGAACCGACCCAAGGCTCAGAACCGCCCCCCCGCAGGGAAGCTTGAACTGCCCCTGCAGCCCCTGGAATTGCTGCTCTGGGCACTCTGCCGCTCAGCTCTGTGCTGGCATTGCTCAGCCCCGGTGGGAGGCCGAGGTCAACAGGAGCATCAACCCTTGGAGCCACTGGGATGGACGTGCTGGGGCCAAATCTCATGGGGAAATGAGAGGAGAGGAAGGGAGAGGAAAACCCCTCTTGCCTATCTCCCTGGGGGGGGGTTTCCAGCCTGAGCCAGAGTAGGATTTTCCCGAGGATCACACTGCGGGCCCCGGGGGGTTTTCCGCCCCCTACAGCCTCAGTGTGGGTCGGTGGGCTCTGCCACCGCCTCTGCCCTGCTGCTGATGGTGGAGGCTGTGACATCCACTGCTTCTGCTGGAGCGCGGCTAGGCCGTTCCCATCCCGTGACTGAGGGTCCCAACCCCGCGGGTGCCCCCGGCTCGGGCAGACGCGGTCAGGCCCTGCAGCGTTGTGCGCACGGGCAGGACGGGAAACGCTGGGTTCTGCTGCCTCCTGCAGGCATCCACCGGCCACTGCTGGGGCGCTTCCCCCGCTTGCCGATATCGGCCTCGGTACCCACGGCAGCTTCTGCTCCTCCACCCCGGAGAGCCCCGGCCTCGCAGGGATGTGGCCTCACATAGCGAAGTTCGAGCAGGGTTTATTGCAAGAGTGGAAACGAAGGTGGAAGGCGCTGCCCTGCGGCAATGCACAGTCCCACTCACACACATACACGGCAGTGCACGGTCCTACTGGGGCACGCATGGCACTGCACAGAGCCTTCGTGGCATGCGCCCCCCCAGCCACGTGTGGCATTGCATGGTTTCCCTGCAGCTGGGGACGTTTCTCCGGTGCTGGCATTTGGCTCTGCACGCGAGGCGTTGTCTCCATCTGCCCAGGACACAGTCTGTCCGTCCTGCCCCTATCAGTAGCTCCAGGGACTCCTGGGGCCATTCAGGCTTTCCCTGGGGGGGTTCTGAGTCCCGCGGGTGCTGGCGCCTGCCCTGGGCACAGCACTACATTCCTATGCCACATCTTGGCAGGTGGAGAGTGATGAGCGCTGACGAGGACTGGGGCAGCCGGGGCAGCGCGGGTCGATGTTCCCCACACAGCCAGCATCGCTGGCCAGCAGCCACAGCTCACGGCGGAAGCGCTGGCCCAGGAAGGCATAGAGCAGTGGGTTGAGGCAGCAGCGCAGGGATGCCAGCCCGCTGGTGACCAGCAGCGCCAGGTCCTTACGGCGGCTCTGGGCACAGCTCAGCTCCCAGCTGGCCAGCAGCTCGGCTGTGTCCAGCAGCACCATCAAGCTGTAGGGCAGCTGCAGGGCCACAAACACCAGCACAAGGGCCAGCAGCACCCTCAGCGCCCGGTGGGGCTGAGCGCCACGAGCCGCCAGCAGCGTCCGAGCCACGGCTGTGTAGCAGCTTGCCATCACCACAAAGGGCACGGCAAAGCCCAGCACGACCTGCGTGAGGTTGGTGGCTCCCCGTGCTGCCCGTGACACTGCCGGGGGGAAAACAACACGGCAAATGTGGAGGTCCTGGTGCCGTTCTGCTTTGCCGTAGACGAACTGCGGCAGTGCCAGCAGCGCAGCCAGCAGCCAGGCCAGGCCCACCGTCAGCCAGCCATGGCGACGAGCCCGCGGGCGCAGGCGGCACGCGGCTGGCACCCGCACAATGGCCACGTAGCGGTCCATGCTGATGCAGGTGAGGAAGAGGAAGCCGCTGTAGAAGTTGAGGGCATAAACGCCTTGCAGCACCTTGCAGGCAGCTGTGTCTGGGGACCAGCCCTGCAGCATCACAGTGACGGCAAAGGGCAGCGTCAGCAGCAGAAGGAGGTCAGATAGGGCCAGGTGCAGCAGGCAGACATCGGTGATGCTGCGTGCCCGGCGGTAGCGGGTGTGCGTGAGCAGCACCAGCCCATTGCCCACCGTGCCCAGCAGCGAGAGCAGCAGATAGATGGCTGGCTGGTAGGTGCGGGCAAAGCCCTGCACTGCCTGCTTCTCACACAGCTCAGGCAGCGTGCCGTCATCCCACGAGACGCTGTACTCCCAGGTGTAGAAGTCGGTGGTGGCCGTCATCACCATGGGGGTGGGGTTTGCCTGCACAGAGGGATCAGGATCGAGGGATCACAGCCAAACTGATTTGGAAGGGACCTTACAGCCCCCTCAGCCCCACTGCCCTCACTCTCTTTTAGTTTAAAACCATTCTCTCTTGTTCTGTCACTATCAGATCGTGTAAAAAGTCACTCTCCTTTCCAGTGAGCCCCCTGCAAGCACTGCAGGGCTGCTCCATGGTCTCCATAGGTCACTCTCTCCAGGCTGAGCACCCGCCACTCTCTCCGTTTGTCTCAATGGGAGAGATGCTCTAACCAGGGGTGCCCGCTGCCCGCTGCCCCAGTGCAGTGCGCAGCCCCCGCCCAGCCCCACCAAACAGCCCCACTGTGGGGAGCCCTGAGGGTGGCTCAGTTTCCATCTCACACCCACTCAGAGCAGTGGCAGATTCACCTAGCTCAGTCATTGCGAGAGCAAACAAGACCTTCCCACACTCCCTGCTGCAGCACAGTGCTAGTGGAGCAATGTCACCCCAGCCCCAATGTCTCTGATCGGATCCCACATCCACGAACCAGCTCTGACTCCATGGGGCTGCTCTGAGTGGTCCCACAGGGCTCCCAGGGGCTCACACTCGACTCCACACACAGTCCACAGTGTCCCCTTGCAGGTGACCCTGTGCAGCCAACCCCAATCTTGGTGCCAGTGGCCCCAGGTTCTGTGGGTGCAAAAGGACCTTTCCAGTGCCCACTTGTGCATCTAGGTTTGACACTGATTCCAGGCAGAATCTGTCCCCAGCAGCTCCCCAGCTCCTGGGGACTTGGAGCACCAAGTGCTGCCCTGCTTGTCCCTTACAGTCCCCCCAGCCCACAAGGATCACAAGAGAAAGTTTAAAAGCAAAAGCAAGAGCCAGAGAGTGATATGCCCACCAGACTCTGTGAACTCCTCTCTCCACAGCCTCTCACCTCCTCCATTGCACAGCAGGACCTCTCCCCTCCTCTCTCAGAGGCTCCAGAGCCGTCGGTGTCTTTGAGCTCTGCAACCTGTGGTTTGACCGCGTGCCGCACCCGATACTGAGAGATGTGCTGAGAGTACAAGCCCAGCCCCAGGGGGGAAGGAGAAGCAGCCATGACCCTGCTCTGGAGCTGCATCCTGCATCTTTACTTTGTGGCTACTGTCTGCATGCTGAGGTACAGAAATAACTGTGCTCTGCTTAGCTCTGGTGCTGCAGGGCTGGGGGATGACACCCAGGCACAGGGAGGAGAGATAGGCTGAGGACACCCAGCACTCACAGGAGTTCCCAGTCCAACAGGGTTGCTGTTGGTGTCTCCCACTCTGCAGCACAGGCTGCATGCAGAAGGCTGTGTGAGAGCCAGAGGGAAGCAATGCCAAAGAGAGTGCAGGACTGCTGTGGGCTGGCACTGTCCCAGAGCAGCAAGCAGAGCCGTGTCTAGCCTGGGCATTGCTTGCCCTGATGGGAAATGGCAGTTGCAGGAACCAGGGACACTGCTGATGCATGGTATCCCCCTTGCCCACAGAGTCCCACACTCTCCTCTTCTCCTGTGCCCCTGTGTTCCATCAGTGCTGGGCAGGCGGTTTGCTGGTTGTTGACAACACCATTCCCAGCCCCTCCTTATGAGCCAGATCAGGATTTGCAGGAAAGAGGACCCATTTTGCTCTCCCCAGCAGGGAGCAAATTGATTTCAGGCTCTAGCAGGCTTTTTGCCTCTTGTAGCAATAATCCCTCAATCCCCCTTTCTCCCAGCAACAGCCATCTTTCCATGGCTTATCCCAGCTCTGTGCAGAGTCCCTACCGGCCCCAAGAGCTCTCTGCTGGTGCCCTGGGGTCATGGAGCTGCTGCGGGCTGGGCATCCGCAGGGTTCTCTCCTCCCTGCCCCTGCTAAGGCGCATACATGCTCCAGACCTTTGCTCTGTGCCTGCTCTGGGGGTACCATTCTGCTGGGGGAAAGGAAGGGACACAGCCCTGGAACAAATGTCAGGATACAGCCTGGTTAGACCCACCAGCACTGCGAGGATGTGGGAGCCGAGAGGGCCCTCAACTGCATCCACATACCCCAGGGACGTGGCTCCAGCTCTCAGCAGCAGCAGCACATGCCACCAGCTCTCCCCACAGCCCCTCTGCACCTGGATCTTTCTGTTCCCTCTTTCACCACCTGCTCTGGCCTCAGCTCAGCTCCTGCACAGGAAGCAGCCCCAGCAATACTGCAGGTGACAGCAGCATTGCCCAGTGAAGTGCTGGACTCTTGCTGGGCACCAGGACCCTGCTTGGGCCCGGCAGCCCCCAGAGCATCCCCATCCCTCAGGGGCTGGATCCCCACAGGCACCGCATGGTCTGTGGGGCAGGTGGCATATGTAGGGCACACAGCTGCCAGCCCCCTCCCCCGTCCCCTCAGTGGGTGTCTGGGGATGTTTGGGAACAGTTGCAGGCTAAATCCTGCTCTTCTACGCCACTGGGAAAGACAGGCGACCCCTCAACCCGCAGGCCTTAATCTGCTGCTTGATTACAAGCAGTCACCACATCTGCTGCAAGAGGGCTGGCAGACACCACTTAAATCCTTCCCTGCTGCAGCTGTGGGCACCGGGTGCTGGGTCACGTCTGGGGGGGCTGCACCACGAGCCACCAGCGCTGCTCACCCTGCGTGATGCCCCACACAGCACCCACCCCGTGCATCACTCTCCGTGCACCCCCTGTGCAGTGCTCTTCCCGCGCAACGCTCTCCCCCTACGGCTCTCCCCCCAGGTGCCCCCCCTCCATTCCTGCAGGCCGTGCGCTTTGGGTGCCACGCGGGGCCGGGGCTACCCCGTGGGTGCCGGCGGGAATCGGGACGGGCACCCCGAGGCCGCTCGAGAGCTGCGGGGCGCTGGGGGGGCTCTGCGGGGGCTCTGCGCTTTGCCCCAGCGCTGCCCGTCCCGGGGCCGCCCCGCCGCCACCGCCCCGTGGGCGGAGCCGCCGTTATCGCTCCGCCGCGCGGCTGCAGCACCGGGAGCGGCGGCGCCGAGGGCGCTCGGGGCGCTCCAGCGATGGGCGTTCGCCGCCTCCTCGGGTTCCTGCTCGCCGCTTGCGCCGCTCTCCTCGGGCCCGGCCCAGGCTGCCTCGCACGTAAGTGGGGCCGCGGTCCCGGGAGCCGCCGCTCCGCACTGCGGGACGGAGCCGCATTGCTCGGCACCCCCCGACATCCCTCTCCCCTCGAGCATCCCCCTCCAGCCTCCTTCCCCAGTTCTCTCGGTCATCTCCTGGCGCCCCGCTCCGCGCTTTTCCCAAGGTCACCCCCGGCTACGGGCGTCCCGGCGTCCCCCCCGAGCGCCCGCCCGGGGCCGCCCAGCCGCAGCCCCCGCGCCCGTGCAGGGCCCCGCCCGCACTGTTCCGTGACCCCGCACCGGGAGCCCTGGGATGCGCCGGGCATCGCCCCCCGCGCTTCACATCCCGTCCTCCCTTGCCCCGCATCCCGAGCATCCCGGGTCGGGAGGACGCAGCTCCGTGCGCCTCCGCCAAGACCACGGGCAGCGCCGCGCGGCTGCGGCAGGGAGGGCGGGGGGGGGTGCCGAGGCCCAACGCCTGCAGCTCGGCGGGGCCGGGGGGGAGCGGTGAGGGAGGCGCGGGGCGATGGAGGCGCGCGGGGGTGACGGCTGAGGGTGGAGCTGTGCGGGTGGTGGGCTCGGAGCGGCTGCCGTTGAACCCACGCGGAACAGAAGCTGCAGCCGATGCTCCGGGTCTCCTCCGGGACGGCGCCCCGGGGTCGGCCTGCCCCGGCACAGCCGTGCGGTGGGCTCGGTGACCCCGACCCCACCAACATCCTCCTCTGCGGACGCTGCCTTCTCTGAAGATCTGCGGCTTTCTGCCCCGGCCCCACTGGGGGGCTCCGGACCCGGCAGCCGCCTCGGGCCGGGGGTCGAGGCGGGGCGGGCGGCGGTTCCTCGGCTCCCACGGCACTGCGGAGGCTGCGGTGCGTCAGCTCCCGCCGCAGTGGGAGCGCAGAGGAAGGCGCGGACCCTCGGCCGGGGGCGCTGAGCAGTGCCTGCAGACCCGTTCCCAAAAGCGGGGACAGCGGGAGGGGCCGACGGCAGCACCGCCCCCGGTTCTCAGCGCGGCTCGGCAACGCAGAAGCGCTGGGTCACGGTGCGGGGCTCGGCGGCTGCGGGCAGCGCGGGGCTGCGTTCATCGCCCCGCGGATCCGCCACCGTCCGTCAGCGCTCCTCCGTCACCCCCCGCCTCCCATTTCGCAGCGTGGGGAACTGCCCCCCCACGCATCCATCTCCCATGCGGCTGTCCGTGTGCGGTGCTGCGGGGGTTGGGATGCCACACCCAGTGCCCCGTTCCCCGCAGGGCCGTGTTACGATGAGTTGGTTGGATCCCTCTACTCCTCGTCCATCGGCGCCTCTTCCCGATACAACATCTTCTACTCGGCAAGCTTCGCCCGGCTGCACAGTGAGCACTCCCACCACGGGGACGGGAACAACACGTGGGGACAAAATTCACGGGGTGTAGGGGCTATGGGAATGTCCCCCCGCAACGTTTCCCCATCAGCATCCCCCTGGTGTGCAGGGAGCTCCCCCCGCGGGTACTGGGCTGGGAGTGTTGGGGTTGCGGATTCCCGCTGAGACCCCCCCACCCCTCCTGCTCCCATAGGCACTAGTGGGTGGTCCCCCGACCCCCGTGACAAGCAGCCCTGGCTGCAAATCGACCTGATGCAGAAGCACAGGATCAACGCAGTGGCCACACAGGGGACCTTCAACACATATGACTGGCTGACACGCTACATCGTGCTCTACGGGGACCACCCTACCAGCTGGAAACCCTTCTTCCAGCAGGGCAGCAACTGGGTAAGCACTGCCCATCTTCCTGGGGGGTGGGAGTCTGGGGGGGGTGAAGGCAGTTGTTGCTCCAGGCTGAACTGTCCCTTTACCACCAGACTTTCTTTGGAAATGTGAATGAGAGTGGGGTGGTGAGGCATGACCTGCACTACCCCATCCTCGCCCGCTACGTCCGCATCATCCCAGTGGCCTGGAACCCACGAGGGAAGATCGGGCTGCGCCTGGGCCTCTATGGCTGCCCCTACCGTGAGTACCAACCCAGGGGTTCCCGCATGGGGAGGGACTCAGCCCCATAGCTGCATGGCACTGGGCCAGCTTCTGTGCAGATGCCAGAGCCGCAGTCTGGCTTTGGCACACATCAAAACCCTTTTCCAGCATTCATTGGAGATGATATAAACCTGCCTCGATGGTCAGGACAGTCAGACCTATGTGCTCCCCAGTGTCGGGGTGCCCACTGCTGCAGGGCAATGACACGGCTCTGCCTCACTCTCAGGATCCCACGTGCTCTACTTCGATGGGGATGATGCAATCTCCTACCGCTTCCGGGCCAAGAAGATCAGCACCATGGAAGATGATATCTCCTTCAACTTCAAGACAGTGGAGCAGGATGGTGTGCTGATGCATGGGGAGGGCTCGCAGGGTGACTACATCACAGTGGAGCTCAAACAAGCCCAGCTCCTCCTGCACATCAGCTTAGGTGAGCCGGGGCTGGGGGGAACAACAGGTGGGGCTGAGGCGAGAATACAGAGTGACTGTGCACCCTCCCCAGGCAGCAGTCCGCTGCACGCCACTGAGGGCCACACGACGGTGGTGGTGGGCAGCCTCCTGGATGACCAGCACTGGCACTCGCTGCACATCGAGCGTTACGGCCACCATGTCAACCTGACACTGGATGGAGAAGTGAAGCGCTTCCGCTGCCATGGCACCTTCGACCACCTTGACCTTGAAACTGAGGTGGGTGTGCAAGCAGGGATCCGCCGGGCTGCCGGCTCTGTGCTGTGTCAGCATGAGGCTGAGCCCCCCACTCTACCTCCCAGATCTTCTTTGGAGGGGTGATCGACCAGGACAAGCAGCACCTCACCTACCGGCAAAACTTCCGTGGCTGTGTGGAGAACATAATCTTCAATGGGGTCAACATCGCTGACCTGGCCCGACACCGGAGATCCAACATCCGCTTCGAGGTCTGACTCCACAGCCCCCACCAGGGGCTGGGATCCCATCCCCTTCCCTGGGGGTCCCTGTCACAGAGTGACCCCTTCCCTAGAGCCTTGTCCCTGCTGTGGGTGACCCCTTTCCCAGGGCTGTGTTTCCCTTGCACTGGGGTGATGTGATGCTGGCGGCTGCTGCACTCAGCCAAGCGGTCCCGCATCGACTGCACGAGGTCACCTCTGGCCCAGGGCATCCATTCAGCAGCACCAGGCAACAAAATCGAGCGGTGGCCACTGGGGCCATGGAGGGGGGGTCTCCCTGCTGTGGGAGCATCTCACCCCTCACCACCTCCTATGGTCACCCCCAGGGCAGCGTGGGCCACTACTGCCAGGACCAGGTGAACATCCCCATCACCTTTGCCGGCATCAACAACTACGTGCAGGTGCCAGGCATCCCCCGCAGGAACCGTCTGGCTGTCAGCTTTCGCTTCCGCTCCTGGGATACAGCTGGGCTGCTGCTCTACACTAGCTTTGCTGACCGCCTGGGCTCACTGGAGATGGTGCTGAGTGAGGGCCAGGTCAATGTCTCCATTGCCCAGCCTGGCAAGAAGAAGCTCGAGTTCGCTGCAGGTGAGCTGGGGGCTGCCTAGGGGCTGGGGGCCAGTTCAATGCCTGTGCCCCCCTGAGTGCTCAGCTCTCTCCACACAGGACATCGCCTGAACGATGGCTTCTGGCACTCGGTGCAGCTGGTGGCACGGGAGGGCTCAGCCGTGGTTACCATTGATGATGACGATGGTGCTGAATTTCGTGTGGCTCATCCCTTCCAGCTCCGCACAGGCAGCCAGTACTTTTTTGGAGGTGGGTGTGGGATGGGCGCACCGTGGGGACATACAGTGCCAGGCCCTGCTAACACCCTGTACCCTGCAGGATGCCCCAAGCCCGCGTCGCTCACTGGCTGCCGTTCCAACCAGACGGCATTCCACGGCTGCCTGCAGATGCTGAGTGTGGACATGCAGCCCGTGGATCTGGAGATGCTGGTGCAGCACCGCCTGGGGAAGTACGCCGATGTCTTCTTTAATGTCTGTGGCATAACGGACAGGTATGGCTTGGGCAGCAGGGGGGAGGTGCAGGCAGGGCTGGGACTCACCCCCTGTGCCCTCAGGTGCACCCCCAACCTGTGCGAGCATGACAGCCGCTGCGTGCAGTCCTGGGATGACTTCATGTGCATCTGCGACTTGACAGGCTACAAGGGAGAGACCTGCCACAAATGTGAGCGTGGGGCAGGGCGGCACTGTGGCTCTCCCCACTACCACGGTACAATCTTCATTCCCCTCATTCCCCTCTCCCAGCCCTTTACAAAGAATCCTGTGATGCATACCGGGTCAGCGGGAAGACCTCGGGGAACTACACTATTGACCCGGATGGCAGTGGACCACTGAAGCCCTTCACAGTGTACTGTGACATCCGAGGTGGGTGCAGTGGGGTGGGGGGAGGCGTGGGGCTGCCTTCAAGGACTGGACCCCTACACGTGCCTGGATCTGGAGCACAATGGAGGGAACAGGGGAACCTCCTAACAGCTCCACTCTGCAGAGGACCGGGCATGGACGATCATCCGGCACAATCGGCACTATGCCACGCGAGTGACGGGCTCCAGCGTGGACCAGCCCTACCTGGGTGAAGTGGAATACTGGAATGCCTCCTGGGCTGAGGTCTCAGCACTGGCCAATGCCTCTGAGTACTGCGAACAGCGGATTGAGTTCCACTGCTACAGCTCTCGCCTGCTCAACACCCCCTGTGAGCACCAGGAGGGAGCAGGGCCGTGGCGTGGGGCTGTGCCACAGGGCTGTGTCCTCAACCCACCCCTGTACCTCCAGCCGGGCTGCCCTACAGCTTCTGGATGGGCCGAAACAACGAGCGGCACTACTACTGGGGCGGCTCACGGCCAGGCATCCAGCGCTGCGCCTGCGGGCTGGACAAGAACTGTGCTGATCCCGAGTACTTCTGCAACTGTGATGCCAACCATGCACTGTGGTGAGTGCCAGGCAGAAGCTGTGGGCAAAGGGAGGGCATGGGTCAGGGGTCCAGGTGGAAACAGGACCTCTGTATGGCACCTCTGATGCATGATCCATTTGCAGGAGGACGGACAAAGGCCTGCTGACCTTCGTGGACCACCTGCCCGTCACACAGGTGGTGGTGGGAGACACCAACCGCTCTGGATCTGAAGCACAGTTCCTGCTGGGCCCCCTGCGGTGCTATGGAGACCGTGAGTGACCAGAGCTGTGTTAGGGTCCGTGCCCACTTTGGGTCTGCACCCACCACTCACCCTGTCCTGCTCCTCACAGGAAACACCTGGAACACCGTCTCCTTCAACAAAGGTGCAGCCCTGCTCTTCCCCACCTTCCAAGCCAACCACAGCCTCGACATCTCCTTCTATTTCAAGACCACTGCCCCATCTGGCGTCTTCCTGGAAAACCCCGGCACACAAAACTACATCCGCGTGGAGCTTAACAGTACGGGTGGGCTGTGGGGCGCAGAGGGCAGCAGGGTACAATGCTGCTGACACTGTGTCCCCACAGCCACCAGGGATGTGGTGTTTGCCTACGACATCGGAAACGGGCACGAGAACCTGACGGTTCGCTCAGCAGTGCCCTGGAATGATGACGAGTGGCACCAGGTGAAGGCAGAGCTCAATGTGAAGCTGGCCCGGCTGCGGGTGGACAGACTGCCCTGGGTGGTGCGGCCGGCCCCGCCACAGAGCTTCGTCCGCCTGGAGTTTGACAGACCCCTCTATGTCGGTGAGAGCCCCTGCCGTGCCCTGTGACCCCGTGTCCCCGCAGCACGCAGCTGATCAGTCCTGGTCCCACTGCAGGCTCGGCGGAGCACAAGATGCGTCCATTCCTGGGGTGTCTGCGGGCGCTGCGGATGAACGGCGTGACGCTCAACCTGGAGGGCAAGGCCAACGAGACAGAGGGCGTGCAGGTGAACTGCACTGGCCACTGCCAGGACCCGCCGGTGCCCTGCCAGAACAGTGGGCTCTGTGTCGAGCGCTACAGCCACTACAGCTGCAACTGCAGCATCTCTGCCTTTGATGGGCCCTTCTGCAACTATGGTGAGCAGTTTGGTGCTGTGGGCACAGCAGGGGGAAGCCTCCATGGGAGAGGAGCTTCCATCACCCTGTGGGTGCCCTGCAGACATCGGTGGGTACTTCGAGGAGGGTGCCTGGGTGCGGTACAACATCCTGCCCATGTCACTGTATGCTGCCCGCGAGTTTGCCAGCATAGTCAGCAGCCCCTGGCAACCCCTGCCCGGCTACAACCTCACTAATGAGGAGATCAGCTTCAGCTTCAGCACCACCTCGGCTCCTGCTGTGCTGCTCTACGTCAGCTCCTTTGTGAAGGACTACATGGCCGTTCTCATCAAGGATGACGGTGAGGGCACAGGGGGCTCCTCCAGCCCTGTGCTGAGGACCAGCCCTGCAGCCTTCACTCGCTCTGCTCGCAGGGAGCCTGCAGCTGCGCTACCAGCTGGGCACCAGCCCCTACATCTTTGCCCTCACCACCAAGCCAGTGACAGATGGGAGACCCCACCACGTCAACATCACCCGCTGGCACCGCACCCTGTACACGCAGGTATGGGACTGGGGCAACTGAAGGTGGGAGGTGCAGAAAGATAGGGGGCTGATGCTGAGTGTTTGCCCCTTAGGTGGATTATCTGCCCGTCATGGAACAGCAGTTCTCACTGTTTGTGGATAGCAAGTTGGACTCACCCAAGAACTTGTACCTCGGGCGTGTGATGGGTGAGCTGGGTCCCGCTGCCAGCACCAACACCCCTCTGCCCAGCACAGCCCTCAGCAGGGATATGCTATTTCCTTTTGTGCCCCCACAGAGACCGGCGTGATTGACCCTGAGATCCAGCGCTACAACACACCTGGATTCTCAGGCTGCCTCTCGGGGGTGAAGTTTAACAGTATTGTCCCCCTCAAAGCCATCTTCCGCCCCACCAGCATTGTGCGGCCCTATAGTGTGCAGGGGGAGGTGGTGGAGTCCAGCTGTGCCTCCATGCTGCCCCTCACCACCATCCTCATCCCGCCTGAGATGGACCCGTGGTACATGGGCACAGGTAGGGTCCCCCTAAAGCATGGGATGCTGCTCGCTGAGGCAGAAGCGATGCTCCAGCACAAACCCCACAGCCTCATCACAAATTCCACTTTATCCCTGCAGAGTTCCCCCATGTGCATGATGATGGCTGGGTTGGGATCATCATCGGATGTAAGTGAGATGCTCAGCTGGCCCCCTGAGCTGTGCCACGCATTGTCCCCCCATCCTCTTCCCAAATCCCTCACCATTCTTTTTCCCCACAGTCGTGACATTCCTGCTCCTGCTGCTTGGGGGCTTGCTGGTGCTGCTCTACTTCTACTACCACCGCTACAAGGGCTCCTACCACACCAATGAGCCCAAGGCCATCCAGGACTACAGCAGCGCCGTCAAACCGCTGTCAGTGCGCAAAGACCAGAACCTGCCCCAGATCCTGGAGGAGCCAAAAGGGGACTAGTGGGAGACCGGGGGTGGAATGGGCTCACAGCGCCCCGCGGCCACTGGGGCTGCCTGGAGACGAGCAAGCATCGCGGGACCAAAGGGCCGAGCACACCTGAACTGCCAGCACTGCCGAGCTGCCCGCTCCCACCTGCGCCTGGAGTGCGGCCACCGGCATCCTCGGCCCCACTGTGGCCCCTCAGCCACAGGCAGGCAGCTGCCCCCCGCTGCCCTTCCACGGAGACCCCGTGCCTGGCAGTCCCACACCCACGGGGGGAGTGCCCGGGCTGCCCCCAGCCCCCTCGCGCTGAATTCCCTGCTGCTTTACTCGCTTAGCAAGAGCCACGAAGGAACCACGCAATACCGCCGCGGCGCAGCCGGGGTGCCCAGCAATACCCGCCCGTGCCGTGCATGATGCCACTGCACTTTGCTGAAATGCTGCTTTCATACAATCAGGTACGGATCCTTTCTACCATTTTTGTTGCTGAATATTCTACTACACTCTAATTTTTTTATTCTATCAGTTTGTATAAAAAACAAAACGAAACTTCACGTCAGGTGTTATATTCCAAGTGTCGTGGTCAGTGGTCTGTAGTTTGCTACTTCTCTGTAAGAAGTGCTCGTCCTGCATTACCGCCAGCCCAGGGAACTCCCTGTTCACGCGCTGTACTGTGGTCAGACAATGTTATAGAAATGCATTTATCTACCCAAAGGCCTAGCTCCACTGGGCACTTTATTTTTTAAAAACCTGTTTTGTTGAATGAGATGTGAAGATACTCCAATAAAGGCAGAATGATGGCGTTTGCCAGCTTGCAGCCTTCTGTTGGCAGCCTGGGCACAGGGTCAGAGCTGCCCCACTGCCCCTGCCCTGCTCAGTGCCCCAGGCTCCATCACACCCCACTCCTCCTCCCCAGCCCAGCACTGGGGGCAGTACTAGACCTGCCCATGCCTGAGAGGAGGGTTCCTGCTGCCCCAGAAGAGATCAGTGGGCAAGAGGTGCCTTGGGTAACAGAACAGTGAGCCCCAGGGGGATGTTCGTTATCGCTTTATTATGACAAAGGCTAGAAGCCACATAAGTTTTAAAGTGCATTATAAGTCACTGTCAACAAACCACAGACACAAGCCTGGCATAGTGCAGATACGGCCAAGGTGGCAGAGGACACTGAGTGGACAGTGGGACTGGGATGAGCTGTGGGACGGAGGCAGGAAAGGGGCAGAGGGCGAAGGAGTGGGACTGGGGTACAAGTGCTGCTCCACACAGACCCAAACCCCCAAGACAGGACTGAGAGCAGGCAGGGCAGGACCACACCTGTGCTGGGGAGGGCTCAGCTCCTGGCGCAGACCCAGGGCGCTCTCTGCACTGGGAGGTGTGCTACTGGGATGGGGCCAAGCCCTGTGTGGGAGCCTCACACTTCCCAGAGCAGCAGGGCAACGGGCCCAATCCTGGGCAAACACCATCCTGCAGCACTGCTCCAGGCTGGCACAGGAATCCAGCAGTGTCCAGCATCTGGCACCAGGCCAGCTGGTGGCATATGTGGCTCCTACAGGACAGCCCCATCCTTCAAGCCCAGCCCCTTGTTCAGGGAAGAGCCAGCCAGCCACCCCTCCAGCCACCCGCTCCAGCCACGCAGCCATCCATTCTTCCAAGCTGCCCAGTCCCAGGCCTGAACAGATGTCCCTGCAAAGGTGCTGCTGAAGGACAGCAGTGGTGTGGAAGGTCTGTGGTCCCTCAGCCTGAGAGCACCCTGGGCGGCGCAAAGGGCCCAGCTGCCTGGCTGAGAAGGCTTAATTTAAAGTGCTTTTTTCTTTCTCTTTTTGCATGGGGTGCTAATGCCAAACCTCACTTTGCCAAAGAACGTTTCCCCCTTTATCCCCAAAGCCAAAGCCAGCACCAGAATGCCAGAAGTATCCACAGAGCTTCCCCTTTGTCAACACACACGGCAGGTATGAGTGCTGTGCTCTGCTCAAACCTCACCACTGCAACATTCAAGCAATTTTGTGCAATGAGAAAGGTTCTCAACCTGAGAGGACCCTGCTGGCTCCTGAAGGGTCTGCAATGTCTCAAAGAGCTCACGTCTCTCTGATAGGGACCATTCCCACAGAGGCTGGAGAAACAACCAGCTTTAGTACTCTGTGGCCAGGATGCACCTGCCTGGAGCACTGACGTTCCAAGCAAAAGCTTGGTTCCCAAGCTGGACGCAGCCACAGCCAAGCACAGTTCCCCACACAGCCTCAGAGCTGCCCCAGCCCCAGAAGACACAGGCAGCAGAGCAGCTGCAGATATGCAAGAACCACGCAGCCAATCCACAGCCTGCCATGAGAGCATGCTGCAGGCAAGGGCTTCCTCGTGCTCCTGGGTGCATGCTTCCTCTGGACTCCTATGGTGCTTGCAGCAGCACTCCTGTAAAATCATCTCTAACCAGCTCAGTGGCTTCCCTGCCCAAAGAGACTTTTGCATAGTGCTGCTCTTCCTGTCCCAAGGAGCCACATGCTGGTGGTCTCTGTCCTCCAGCCAGCTGAGACAGAGGGAAAACAGAGCCCCAGTGATAGTAGCTGAGGAACCTAGGGACGTGCAGGAGTGTGGATACATCTCTATGGCTTCCAATGCTGTCACTGTCCTAGCCAATGCAACAGAACAGGCAGCAAAAGGTAGCACCAGAGACCAGAGCTTGTCCCAGACAGGGGCTGGAGGAGAATGCCAGTCCTGTCACCCTTCAGCCGTGCCCTCCAGGTCTCAAGTGTACTTCACTCACTCTTCTTCTTCTAGCGGTTGACAGAAAATGGAAAGAGACTAAGAACTGGCGACTGTCCCTCCTCCTGCAACACAGCTCTTCTTCAAGCCCCAGCTGCTTGGTCTCTCCAGCACAGGAGATTACCAGCAGTGCAAGGTGCTGGAACCTGCCCCATCCTGGGGCTGGGCAGAGCTGCTGTCCTGGTGGCAGCCACTCATGCTCCTGCCCTGAATCTCTCTCCAGGTGTCTGGGTGGAAAGTAGCACTTGTGACACACACAACAAGGGGAGCATGGGCAGCAGTCATGTCAGCGTGAAGCAAACATGGCATTGCTTACAAGGTGCAGCAGCAAAATGTGTGGGGACCGCCTGGCGCACAGTTCAGATGATATCAGTCTCCCTCTCTATGCCAACATACTTCAGGGCATCTGCCTGGCTGTACCTATAAAACAGGAAATCCACAGCTGCTGTAACAACCTTTGTGCTCCTTGCAAATGTGCACACAAGAAGTGAGGTCAGCCCTGCCACCATAGCCCCCAGACAGCCGCTCCCTGTGTTACCGGTAATCAAAGAAGAGCTCCTCTCCCGCCTGGATGGCCCTCTTGGCAAAGATTCCTATCCGGTGGTCTCCATTCACCATCACAACTGCAACCAGAGAGACAGTATCAGAGATGTGCAACTGTAGCCCAGGTCCAAAGGTCACAGAGCACCATCAGCCCAGCCCGACCGCTGCAGCTGCAGAGCCTAGGCTCCAGAATTGCTGCTCAGCAGGATGGAGTAACATCCTAGCCTGCTCTCTAGCAGTGATCTCCCTGCAAGGTCAGAGCTGCAGCAGAGCTGAGCAGAGCCCCCAACTGTAGGAATGTGATTTGCAGCCACGAGGAGAGTTTGCCTATGTCTTTGATGTTCTGCAGCTGTGACGGACTCAGTGTAACTTGGGATCCCAGTGAACTTCTGTGTTCCCAGAGCTTAGTAGGACTAGAGATTTTTCCTCCACCTTGAATAGCCTCTGTGAGGATAGCTCACCTTTGGCATAGCAATTGGGGTTCACGGAGTGGTTGGCAAAGCGGATTTTGTTTCCTTTGCGAGTGGCATCAACAACAAAATCTATTGAAACAAGAAAGAAGAAAACTCTGCAGTGTCCTGTAAACACAAGATTGCTGCTCACATGACACAGGAACTGAGACTAATCCCCAACAGCCCCTCCCAGGAAGCCCAAGCCTTTACCACCCCATGAAGCCCCCCACAAGTTACCATTGTTGAGGTTGAAGAGGAAACTTGACATGTACTTGTCATAGACCTTTCCTCGCCGGTCAGCTTCATCCTGTGAAATAAGCTGGAGAAAGAGAATGCCTTGAGAGAGCCTCAATACCTGCAGGCACAGAAAGGACTGAAAATGCCTCCTGCCCCTCCACCAAGGGAGGAGCTCAACAGGGCTCAGGAGAAGGAGAAGCAATAGCTGGGCTTTAAGGGACCAGAACACACCACCTTGTGGAGAGCCTAGAAATACTAAGATGAGTCCCAAAATGGTACAAGATTCAACTGGGTCAGAGTGAGCCCGTGGCCATGACTGAACTGGGGAAGGCACACAGTCCCTGCTGGATCAGCTGGAGAATGGAGCACTTCCACAGAGCGCATCCTCCCAAGCACACAGCACAGCAGTCCCAGAAAGGGCACAAACACTGACCTCACCACAGTATTCAGAGATGAATTCATTCTTCTGCACAGATTCTTTGATGAAAGTCCCCCAGCCAGCAACATCTGATGGTGCCAGCAACAAATGCTTGAGCCAAGGTAAAAAAAAAAAAAAAGTTTCAGATGGCAGATCCACTAACCCTCAGCACGCAGGCAGTGCAGATATCACACCCCATGCACATGTATGGTTTAGGGCAGTGCCCAGGAGCAGCCATGCTGTGCAGGCTGCAGTCCTCAAGGTTCCAGTACCACAGGGGCAAACAATGCAAAGAAGCAAACAAGAAATCAATATCCATCCATTGCCCCAGTGTAATGTGACGAGGTCCCTTCAGTTACATATCATAGCATCAATAAGCTGCAGCTGCACAGTACTTAACACTCACTGAATTTCTGCCTCTCTTATTTTCAGTCTCTTGTTCTGACCAGCAAAATTCAACTTTTCTATGGAGTTACTTTTTATAGTCCCCTGTTTTCATGCATTCTCATTCATCTCCCAACTCCTGATTTTCACATCAGTAATCCATGCTCTAAATGCTGTGAAAGCCTGGGGCAGAGCTGCTTCCCTCTTTGACTTTTCTCACTCAGACAGCTTTGAGTGGCCCACAGCCTGTCCTATGTAGTACGAGATCTGTTAATCAACTCTACCCTGGGGCAGCCCTTTGCCAGAGCCACGCTCCTATCAATACCTTTTTGAGACCGCGCTGGATGCTGCAGTTCTTGCAGGACACAACCTTGCAGTCCCAGTGCTCTGATGCCCCACAGGTCAGACAGAGGTCTGGATCACATTCCCGCACGGCCAAGTAGCATGGGCACTGCTTGGTGTTGCACTGGGTCTTACAGCGGCAGCCTGGGAAGCGATTCTGACCTGCAGAAACACGACCCATATTTTTGCATGACAAGATTTTTCATAGAATACGCTCTGCTATTGACACTTAGCAGAGCACAAACCTGTGCACAAAGTCCTTCCCAGTTTCATAGCAAGAGATCCTGATCTGCATCTTAGGACTAATTACATGCAGTTTGGAAACAAATGGCTCTAGTAACACAAACAGGTCTGTACAGAAAAGCCTGGAGTCTGAGTTGTCTCCCGATTGCCCTCTAACCCTTTCAGCCCCAAGCTATAACCCTAAACAAATTCACCTTCAGAAGGCCCAGTTATGTAGGCAAGTGATGTTATCTCCATCACAGAGCTCAGAATGAAAGCACAGAAGGGAAAAACAAGTGTGGCAGAGCAGTGACTCAGCTGACCATACATCCTTCTTTCATGCAATCAGCAGCATCACCCAGGGCTTATTGATGCTGGATACAGACATGCAGGCAAGCATTCTCTAAAGAGGGCACATATCACCAGCTGCTGGGAGTTACAGGGCATCATGGACCATACTTTTCCCTTGGACTTTATCAGACTGATAATTGAGCTGCTGCAGGTGGACCAAAAAGTGAAGGCAGAAATAAAACAGGCCTTCATTAAGCCCCAGGTCTGCACCCTTCCTCTGGTCTGTGTCAGGAGAACAGCTGCTTTCATATGTGACAGTCCTAGGGTTTTCCTTACAGTCAGGGTTGCACTGGCAGAACTTCTCACAGAAATTTTGGGTCATAATGCAAGGGCAGGAGCTGTCACAGGGATGTTCAGGATGGTCACAGGGCTGGTAGTTGTACACCTGCGTAGGTGAATTATCTAGAACAATAGGAGAAATGCCAGGATTAGAAGCTGTACTTTGCAGAAACACTTGAGAGAAAGCACTCCCAGTGCTCTGGAGCAGAGCACATGCAGGTTCCCAATTTGCCTGCAGAGGGCAGGGAGCACACCAGTACTCAGCTCAGCCAAATCCATCCACACACTGCTCTAATTACAAATGTATGACACACATCCATCCCTGCACAGTCCATTTCACACAGACAGCATGCCAAACCTCGTCCCTCCTGACTAGAGAAGGACTGCTCCGCACGCACAGCCTGGCAAAGAATGCTTGCATGGCAGCAGTGCATGAGGCAGAGCCATGGCAGCCCCCAAGAAGGCTCTGCAGAGGGGGCAGCTCACCCCCACATCACTGTAACTGCTGGGATGGAAAACAGGACACAGTGTCCTGCTGTGCAAGCCAGGGCTGGAGAACCATCTCCCACCACACAAACAATGTCTAAGCATAGTCACAGCAAACACTACCTTTCTTCAGCTGAATCTTCCTGCAGTGGGCAGCCCACAGCCTGGAAGAGAAGCAGAGATGTCAGGGGTGGGGGAGTCACAACCTCCACCAGGAGCAACTGGCCAGCACTGTGCTCAGCACTGCCAGCTAGCACAGCAGCAGGGGACGAGCAAGTCCAGCAAGGCTGTCTGGCAGCTTCATGCATTAATAACCATCAGCCAGACACAAAGAGGTGAAAGATGAGAACGACTCAGCTACAGCTGAAGTTATTTAAGGCAAATGTGAGAGCCAGAACAATACTGTGCACGCTGGATCAGCACACAGAATGTAGGTTATAAGCCAGGGAGGGAGCTCAGGCAGAGGCTGCTTTTAGGACAGCGTACTGGACCTCTTGCAGCAGTGCAGCACTTGCTGCAAGACAGCCACTGTGCTGCTCTCTGCTCCAGGGCTGAGCCTGTGACTATAGAACCACACAGCTGCCCAACCAGGATGGCAGCACCAGAGACAGGGCAGGGGCCAGCTCTCAGCCCTGTGTGACGGAGAGAAGTGTGTGCAGATGGGAGCCAGATGCGGATTACCAGGAATGCTCTGGCACAAAAAGCAGTGGATCTGGTTGCGTTTTAAGAACAAAACAAGGCTGTCCAACACTCGCCTGTGCTTCCTTTTTTTCTTCTGTGATGGATTCATCAATTCATTTGTTGGCAGTTTTGTTATAAGTGACTCTTTCACTGCAAACTGAAAGACCTACCAAAAAAAAACAACACAAAAACCAAAAAAAAACAACCAAGAAAAAGAACAGAAATAAAAGAATAAAGTTCAGCGCACTTAAGTTGCCTTTATTTAAGCATAAATGAAGAAAGCGTAAGCACACACACATAGTGTGCACAGTGTGCAGCTCTGCCCCAGTTTCATTAAGTCATGGATATCTTTGATTTTCTTGCCTGGGAAACAAGATCATCCACTTGCCAGTATACCCAGGCCTGGGATAAAACAATCAGAAGAAACCTAGCAGCACTGGACAGCAGCACTACTGTAAAATAATAACACTGAACTTCCAAAGTGTCAGTGCAACACATTCCCCAAAACAGTTTGAGGCAGAGAAGAAGAAAGAATTAAGTGAGCAGCAGCAAAGGCTTCCTTCCTTCCCCTGGGTTAGGTGCTGCCATGCCAGCTTCCCCTGGGTGCATAGCCCAGACTAGAATGTCAGGCCCTACCTGTTTGCATGTCTTTGTTCCCAGCAGTCTGGCGATGGAGCAGAAGTTGTTGAAGTAGGTCCCATGGAAGACACGGAAGAGGGACTCCTCAGCTCCTGTCCACTCAACTGGCTCCTGCTGCGCCTCCACTGCAAACAGCTGGGATGAGGTCGGGCTCAGCTTCTGCTTGGTAGGGGTCTGACAGCGGGAGTTTGCCTCTGGTGAGAAAGGCAGATGTTAGGGACCAAGGATGAGCAAGAATGCAACTCTGCCATCCATGCTTCTGAGGGCAGTGGTGCTCCAAGGGGCCTGAGCCTGCCCTGCCCCATGAGGCACGAGAAGCCCAGCATTTGTCCCAGCACTGAGGAAGCAGCCACCAACTTGCAAGACTGCACACAAGCCCTTGGCCTCAATAACTCACAGGTGGGTTCTCAGCACTACAGTGTGGCCAAGTGCATGAAGAGGAACCCCCAGCAGTGTGCCTGCTGCCCGCACTATGCTCGTGAAAAGCCAAGCAAGGTGTCCTGGGTCAACGAGGCCCCAGCAAAGAACTTGCTATGCCTGACAACAAGGATAATAACCCAAACACAGTGCAGGGAGGCCACAGCCACTGAACATGGACAGAGAGCCTCATGTGCAGCAGTGCCTGCTTATCGTCACTGGTCAGCACCCTAGCTGGGAGAATTGTGTCTCTAAGGATGATGCCATACCCGAGGAACTAGAAGCCCACTCATTGCCTGTGTCTCTGTCGCTGTCTCCCTCTCTTGTCTCAGCAACCGCAGAAGCTGGGGCATTTGAACAGGAGGCACTGACCACATGGTGCCTCCGGCGGCGCCTGCCTGAGCACTTGGACCTGGGATTGTGCAGTGCAGCAAACTCCTTCGCTCCTTCCTGCAAGCAGAGCAGAACACAAGGTAGGTGGCATGCAGCCAGGACATACAGAAAGGCCTTGGGAGGAGCCCTGTCCTGCTGCCACCATGAGAAGGCAGATTTGTCATCTGTGGCCACTTTCATGGCCTCCAAGGCCCTCATAGCTGGCTGCACAGCAGATTTCAGCTTCATTTCCTTCAGCATCACTGCCCGCATGAGCGGGCTCCCTCACCCTGTTCCTCCAGCCTGCTTTGCTGCCTCCTGCCCTGGCAATGACATCCTTCTGGCCTGTTCCGCCTCACCCTGCAGCTCCTTTTGGACAATGATACCCCAGCTAGCTGATTCGAACATTATATGAATATGCTTCCAGTAAGGTTCATATCTGGATTCATGCTTCTCCAGATTCAGTGACAGTTACAACTGATTCTGAGAAATCTCCACAAGAGTGAAGAAGACCCCCAGCCATTCTACAGAGCACAGCTGGCCAGGCCCACTTCTTGGGGTGGTTTCAAAAGTCGCAGTGCAGAAACATACCAGCCAGAGGAAACAGTCTGCTCCGCAAGGATCTGGCTCAATCTTGGTCTCTCTGTTCTTTCGTTTGTACACATTAGGAGTAGCATGAAAAGCTGAAAAAATAAGTTATTTTTAGTATTAGCAACAGGAGTCTTCTAGCAAGAATCTTCCACCACAAAAACAAAGGACAGGGACAGCACAAGAATGAAGGCAAGTGGGAGCAGGATGCAGCCACCAAGAGTACAGGAGGAGATCTTAGGAACAGAGAACAAGGTGAAGGACATGTTGGCCAAGCCCCGCTTCAACCAGTAATGGGAACTTAGCAGCAAAGAGGGAATACTTGGGGAGTAAAATGCCACAAAAAAAAAAAAAAAAAGATCTGCTTTCAGACTGAAACAAAAAGACTGCATGATCTTAATAATAGATCTTTTAATAAATAACTCAGTGGAGAGTGTCCTGTGATTTTCCAAGAGAGCCCTCAGACACAGCAGATCCAACAGCTAAACAGCATCCAAAAGACTTTGGCAGAACAAATAGCAGGAACATAACTAAGATGATGCTGTAAGCTCCAGTGAAGCAACATAGTACATGGGCACGTCCCAACTTCAGAACTGTAACAATCGTGCCTTTCCCTGATGAGCTTCTGCAAACGGAGAGTGAAGTCTAATCACAGCGGTGTTTCTGGCAAAAATTGCAATGATGTTCATCACAGCGTGCTGAACAATGGTAAGAAAGAGGGGACTATGACACAGGTTTCTTTGCCATCCATTTGAGGAATTTAGCAGAGCTATCTTTATAAAAGGCTTCTGGGCACCTCTCAGCTCATAAAGGCTCCACTGCAAATCCCAGGAAGCCACCACCCTCTCACAGCAGCAGCACAGATGCCAAGGCAAGGCCTACAGGAGCACAAAGTACAGACAATAATGCAGAGAAAGGGGATGTGCCCAGCAAGCCTGCACTTACGATGCAGAAAACAGTCATATTTGAAGCAGCGCCGGCAGAAGAGCGTGTGGAAGGAGTGCAGGGACTGCTCCCGCTGCACCGACTTTGCGCATGGCCCGTCGATGTTGGGAGTGCACTGCGGGGGCAGAACATTCGGATCCGACACCTCAGTGAGCTCTCGGTACCTATTCAACAAACACATCCACAGATGCGTGTGCTTACCTAATCTGGGACATTTAACAGGATTTCATGCGACTACACATCTTATGACTCTGGTTCAGATGTCTTTAAGCTAAACCAAAGTTTGTAATACTCAAAAATGTTCCTTCTCACAGTGCCTGAAGCCAAGTGAGCTCTACTTTCCGGCCAGAGCATAGTGCTGTTTTTTGAAATACAACTTTTAACTGCCCCTATCAAAAGCAACAAGCAACTTAAGGAGAGATCTACCTCTCTTTCATGTCATCTGGGAAGCCATATTCAGGAAACATAGAAGAAATGGCAGTGAATATCATGTCATTTGGAAACCGTTTCTTGGAACACTTCTTGTTACCTAAGGGAAAAAAGAAACAACTCCACAGTTAAGCTGGACATGAACGTAACTTTCCTTTTTCCAAAGTGATTCCAGGTGCTCTGGATTGCATTTTAAGAGACAAAAACGTGATCACACACACAAAAAAATTTGTTTTGCAGCTAGGCTAAAGCACTTCTAGATGGTATTCCACTGCTTTCGAAGTAGCATAATGTATTGATTTCCTAAGGAATATCACCATTTATTTATTTATTTTTACCTGGACAGGATTTACATACATTACTTTTCTAAACCTGCAAAAAGTCCTGGTATTTGTTCTACTCCTATCACTATAAACCAAAGATGAAACTACCAATCAGCATTCTCAGATCATGCAGGACACACAAAAATCCCACAGAACAGAGATTCCTCTATTAAACAAGAATTTCAGGTGGCAAAGGAGAAGGAAGAGAAACAGTAATACATGGAGGACAAGGCTGGAAGGGACTAGGAAAGATCCATCTCCCTGTCCTACAGCAAAATCAGATCTACTGACAAACTTACTGACAGACGCTTGCCTTACTGGTAACCAGACCTCACAACTTCCTAAGACAATATCCCTGACTGCTTTGCCAATCCTACATTACATGGTTTTCCAAATCACTTATCTAAATTCCTCCTTGCCACACTTTAATCTGATGACTGCTTAACCTGTCCACAGGGGACAGTGAGAACAACTGATTTCCCTTCTTCTTTCAACTGCTTTGTCAGAACTTGCCAAGCAGATGACTACTCTTAGTGGCACACAACAAACAAAAGAGTGAGAGCAGGAGAGCACTGGCCTGCTCCTCAGGCAAGGCAGGATGGAAACATGATCAACATGCAACCAATTTCTGTAGCCAAACCCACCTTCCACTGCAATTCGTTTTCTTTTCCTTGTGACTGGCAGTTCCTCTTTCCCATCCTCCTGTTTGACTTCAGGATCATTGTGTCCTTCCTCTTCCTCATCTGAGTACTGATTCAGGGCATTCACTAGCTCCAGGAAGACAGCATCACTGATGAGGACTGACCCTGAAATCATTTCTGAAACACAGTGATGTCGGCCAGTTTGTGGGAGGGCCATGGATGTTCCTCAGCCACACAAAGCACTTATCAGTGAGAACTTTCCTGGCGATTTTGGAGGGCCAGGTGGAGTTTTAATACTTTAGAGTCCTAAGAGTGCTGTAACAGTTTTGGCGATCTGAGGACAGCCCATACAACAGAATTTTCTACTGCATTCCGCCCTCTATACAGTTTTATGATGAGCTAGGAAAGCATACAAGCTTTTTGTCTCTGAAAAGCTTCAAGTCATGGCTAGGGTCACAAGTGAAATGACAGCACTCAACTCCTCCTAATCCTGAGCCTAGAACAGAGCAGGGGATCAAAAGGCAAGGCTGCGTCCTTACAAACCATATCTGCAGGCATGCATTTCTGCTCTAAATGATCTCAGATAAAAGATGGTTACTGCTACCACCTTTTGATTTCTTAACTACTTGCATATCTTACTTGCCAGAAACTGAATGAACACTTAAGCGTTCACACTCCCAAATTACCTTCCTCTCCATGAACTTTCCCATCATAGTTATTAATAAGCTCCTCAATGAAGGTTTCGTCCTCTTCCTTCACTTCATCTCCCATGTAAGGGATGTTGCACAGAACAGTTTCATCCTCCACCTGAAAAGCAATTAGATACAATTCAGTAAACCAGCACTTTCTAATTCCCAGCCAAGCTGTGTCTCTGTGACATGCTCCTGTCCGCTGCATGCATAAAACACTGCATAAAGCAAAGGTTCAGCCTCCCCAGCTCAAATTTCATACATCTCATCACTGACATTTCACTGTTATCCTATGCTATCAGAATAACTCTAACCTCAAAAAATGCATTTGATTTTAAAAAGAACCCTATCCAAAGGTTACAGAAACACACACATTGCCAGGAACAATGAAGAGCCAAAAATGTCAAAGTTGTGGTGATTAAGGGAGTAGAACTGGAACAGTGAAGGAGGCAAAAAGGCAATTCATTCCAGGAGAAATACAGCTGAAGCTGAGGAGTGTTCTAGCATTAACTGTAGGAAGCAAGGACATTTGAATTTCATTGAAGTGGCATCACCAAGGGACTCTTTGCATTATAATTGCTAATGCCTCACTGCTCCACCAGTCTGCTACATCTGGCTTTAGAAAGCTTGGACAAGCTGCAGGAATACATTCACTGCCATACTGGGCAAAGGGCAGGCTAGCCACACTGTTTAGCAAATACTCTAAACTAAGCCACAACAAAACCTGCATTTAAATCATCCTCCTAACTACTGTGATAGAGGAACTAATCCTCAGTAGCATCCCTACAAACAGATCAGCAGGATTATCCAATCACAAAGGAAAGGACATGCCTAAAACCCACAAGATTTCATTTAAAAGAAAATGTTTTCAAGTGTTGTTGTTTTTGTTTGTTTTTAATAAAAAGCTAATCAATCCCCCAGTCAATAAAAGAAAACACTTACTGTTAGAATCCTGTGTTATTATAATGGTTGCCCTATCAAGGAGTTGGGTGGAAAAGAACTAATGGCTGAGTAAGACAGCTTGGATGGAAAGCAGGCAACACAAATTTCTACCACGTCTTCCTGAGCAGACATTGCTTGGAACAAGTTATTTTAACCATTCCAGAACCATGTAACAATTACACAATAGTCTCACAAAAATCTTGCATTCCTACCTACCATGAAGTTCTGCTGAAGAGGGGACCAGGAGTACATGATAGGCACCAGTGCCACTGTGTTCAGCGTCCTCATGTACAATGTCTGGCTTGGAAATCCTGGAAAAATGCTCTCAACTGTACACTAGGGTAGAAGTGAAGAGAAGGGTGGTGAGAAAACAGCCCCTGGGAGATTGTCACCATCACAGAAAGAAACAGCACTTCAGGACAAATGTAGCAAAGCACTGTGTTCACGCATGGTGTTTGACAATAAAAGCCTTTTTTACCTCATTTCTGCACCATGAAAGAGTGCTAGCCACAGACTGATACTAACACAGCTCTCCCTACCTGTTTTAGGAAGGGGTGCCCGCTGACTGGCTTCATCAACTGCACTGGTTGAACTCGAAGTTTCTTCCAGTCTTCATTAAGAATTTGAGTCTTTTCATGAACCTTTGCAAAGTTGGCCACAAACAGAGCCTGAAATGAGAGAAAGCACTCAACATTTTAAAATCAAGTGAAGATTTAGAACATTAACATCTCTCCCAAGATCTTGGTTCACATATCAAAATGCAAACAAGGCAGAGCATTTAAAATTGATTAAACTAATTAGAAGGAATTGCATTCAACTCAGTATTGATACAAAACTGTGCTGAAAATTTACCAACAGTTCGCAACTTTAAATAATTCCCTATCAGAGCCAACCTGTTCTAAACTCCTACCTGCCAATGAGAAAAGCAGAAGAGCAAGTCACTTGAAACGCAGTCCCTTTGCACTGCAGAAGATACTTTACAATGCAGCAGAGAAGAGCCCTCCCTGGCACCTTATGCAAGCATCTAGACAGGGAACTGTTCAACCTGCACAGCAGAGCCAACAACACTGCTTTGCTTTAACAGAGAGCACAGAGGTAATACCTCTTCAAACATACCATGGCTGGCAACTGAAGTAGAACTTCACAGTTCTCATCATGAATCACTCATCTGATAAAAGCTCCAATACCCCAAACTGAAGTCTACAGCAGAAATCATTCCAACCAGAGCCACTACGTCTTTACCTTTGCTCCCATGTTTGCCTGAAATCTCTTGAGCTGCCGAAGACGCATGTATTCAGACTTGACTTTTCTTTTCCAGTATATAATACACTTTGATGTTGGAGGAGTGGCGATTTCCATTTTTCTACAAAAATACAGTAAGAATAAATATCAAATAATTGAAAGTATAACGTTATAGACAAGTGCTAAAAGAAACCACAAACCCAACCCTGTGGATTTTAAATGCATCACAGACTTTATTTAGGAAAAACTAATCACCCAAATCTGCACTAATCCTACTTCTGCAATAATTATAGCACAAACTGCACTAAAAAGCGTGCAGAGCGTTTGGACACAAGCAGCAGCATGGCACTACACGTGCTTACAGGGATTCACCTGCTTCTGTACAGTCTGAACCGCTGCGAATCACAGACTCACAGAATGATGAGTTAGAAGGGACCTCACAGCCCCTCCAGCCTCACCCCCTGCCATGAGCTGACTGCTCCCACCAGCTCAGGCCGCCCACGGCCCCATTCAGCCTGGCCTTGGGCACCTCCAAGGATGGGGCACCCACAGCCCCATTCTGTGCCAGGATCTCACCGCCTCTGAGTAAAGAACTCCTTTCTCACATCTGACTTAAATCTCGCCTCTATAGTTTACAAACACCCCCCTTGTCTTGTCACTGTCAGATCATGCAAAACGTTGCTCTCTTCCCTGCTTATAATCTTTCAATTCTGTGTGGTCAGTTTGTTTCCAGCGTTCCACTTTGTGTTTGCACTGGGTGCAGGAAGAACCACACGATAACATCAGGAGCGGTGTTACATCCAGCTCAGAACATCTCATTGCCAGGAGGCTGGGAAGGACGCTGTTTGTTGTGCAGGCTGTCAGAACAGCACAGCTTTTGGCTGGGAATACACAGTGCTACCTGACGGAGAAGCCAGAGCTGGGTTTGCTGGCACCAGGCATGGCCGTGTGAGCCCAAGGGATGCTTCAGCTCTCACGAAGGAAGCCTGAGTGGAACCGAGCGGCTGAAAGCACTGCAGCTACGGCTGGCACAGCTCCACATCCCACGGGGTGAACAGACTCACGCAGCCCCCAGCAGAGGGGTCCACCCCTCCGAGTCCCCGGCCTAGGCTGTAGCCGTACCCAGCGGGCCGCTCCACTCTACCCGTGGGGGCTCCCCGGGCCGACTTCCAGCCCGAATCCTCCCATCACCACGCAGCCCGCGGCCCCGGGAGCCAGAAGGGGGGCGCGGGGGACCCCGGCTGCGGGAAGGCCGACGGCAGCGGAGGCCGCCGGGACACGGGGGGGTCTCCGGAGCAGGCCTCGGCCCGCTGTGCCGCACCGTCAGTGCCCCCAGGCCTCAGCCCGCCCCCGGGGCACAGCCGCCCCCGCAGACCTCGACGCGCCCCAGCTGCCCCGCAGAACCCCCCATGGTCCCGCGGACCCCACGCTGCCCTGCGAGGGCTTGGACTTGCCCCCCAC